TCGCCGCGTACCCAAATCACGCACATGCGAGCGGCATATTCGTTCCAAGAAAAGTGAAAATCCAGCGCAGTAATTGAGTTGAGTCTGACGGTCAGACCAATTTATGGAAATTCACTGGCAACCGAAAAAATAAAAAAGACATTTTTGTGACATATTATTTGGTTAATTGAGGCCTTTAAAAGTTGGCAAAAAAAAATTGAGGCCTTTAAAAAAAGGACATGTTTGTTTTATTACATCTAGGTAATGAGTGAACTTTTATTAAATCATGGATCTTATTGTGTTGCATTTTATGGTAAGTTTTCCTTTAACTAAATCTTATTTTTGGTCCGTGGTTTTTTTAACTGAATTCTTCCATTTTGATTTTACATACTCTATCTTAATGGTTTGATCTCAAAAGCCACTTAAAGAGTAATTAATACTTATTTATTAATTTTATCTGTGTAATTAAGCTTAAATATAACCTTTTGTATTTTTGTCTCTCCTTCACAAACTCATTTAATGTGGATGGTGACAAAGTTGGGAAAATTTTCAATTTAAAAAATTAGCTACTACTTTTTTTATATTAATGAATTGGTTAAAATGACTTATATTGTGGACTGAAAGAAGTACATAGAATTATGTTTCTAGAAATGTTTGTTAGTGTTATTTATTTTTATTGAATGGGTTAACATTTTTGGCATTGGCCTTGAGGGTTTTTTATATAATAATATTAGAGATGGCAAATGGGGGAAGATATTTTTGTATTATGTTGGGGTTAAAATCCATTAATTAATGTATTTCTCTAGATTATTAGTTGCTATGTGAACAGGGATAGGTGAATTTATTTTAGGAATTTGGTTTGGAGTACTCTGAAGTGGTAATGATGATGTTGACGGGTTTAATTTATTAATTGGGGTGTCCATGAATTACGAAACCTGCTGCTTTGAAGATTGCGACGCACTCGATGTTTTCACCAAATTCAATCCTATTTCCCTCTTAGAATAATGGTCAAAGATATGCCACTTGATCAATTGCTCATCATTCAACAGTAAATAAAACCTTTTTCCCCTCAAAAAAACAGAGAGAATTATCATATATATATATATATATATAAGCTCCCATTTTTTGGGATTAAAATAAATAGTATTCCTCCATACCTCATTATAAAAAATAACTCTAAAAATCATGCGATTAACAATATTAGTTAAATTTAGTTAAAAATAATAAATATGTAAAATATATACATATTTTTTATTATATTCTTGTTTTTAAAAAGAGTACATGAAAAAATATTGAATGAAAATTTATTACAGAAAGATAATAAGTAGCATAATGAAAAGACTAGTTTAAAATTTTGGATAAAAAAATTTATTTTTATATTTAGAAATACTAATAAGAAAGAAATTATTTTTTTTATAAAAATCAACAAGAGAGTATACGCACACATATAGTTTATATAGTGTCATGATTGAGAAGCAATCAAAGCCTCCCATTTTTATAAAGAAGAAAAGCTAGATTTTAGCATGATTTTCGGTGAGGTTTCATTTTGCTAAATTTACCACACTTGCATTTTGGAGATTTTGATGAGTCCTTTTAACAGCACACTTCAGTTGTTTTCTTTTTTTCTTTTTTATTAATATTGTTGAAGGTACAATATATCATGTGTTGCTCCAGAGAAAGCTGAATTTAATAAAAAGGAAAAAAAAACCCACGAATTGTAATGTGTACGTCAAAATCATGGAGATGTGATTAGGGAAGGCATCATTATCCATAGATGTGACTGAGTTATTGTAGTTTTACCCTTCCCACTCATTTTCGGTGGGAAACCAAAACAATTTCCTTTAAAATTTTTGAAGCAAAGTAGACTCACAAGGGATAATTTTAAATTAAAATATTTAAAATAAATATAACCTATATAATACTTAAAATTAAAATACTTAAAATAAATATAATCTATATAATACTTATTTAGATGGATGGAGTTTTTTGTTAAGCAATTATGATATGTTTGGTAAAACACTTAACTTAATTTGGTAAGCCACATTAGATTCTAAATTATCCAAATCAGTTTAGGGTAGGTTTTTTTTTTCACCATAGTTTAGGGTAGGTTTTGTGTGTGTGTGTGTGTATAATTCTCTCAGAAGTGTGTTCCACATGCGCATGACCTGTGCTCAAGTCATTGTGAGCCTAGCTCCTTCTCCTATTAATGTCACAATCACATTAATCAATATTAATGTCTTGTAATAAAGTAAATTGCAAGTATAGATTTATTACTCCTCTGTCTTTACTTTAATATAGGACATAATTGAGGGGTTAATATTGATCCTGTGTATAAGACCTATTTCATATGTTTATCATTTTTTTTTACAATTTACCCTATTAATATTTCCAAACAACAATGAAGTAGCCAAGTAGGAGAAGAAACGAGAGAATTAAGAAAGGTACTTAGAATATTAAAAAATTATATTAATTAATTCAATTAACATTTTTAATCTATTCAATTTAATTAATTAAATTTTATATTAAGGATTGGAGGAGTACTTATTTAGTTACTCTTCCGGTCTTAAATATAAGATTTTTATACACACTAATATAAGGGTCTTGTATTTAGGACTTGAGGAGTATTTTATTTTCTAGAATTTTTTGTGGTGGACTAAGTTTAGAATGTTGACATGCTTACGGTGAAATGGCCTCTTCCTCATTTTTATTTAGGAAAACTTACTCGTAAGTGAAAAAAATGAGGAGAGAGAAAATTAAAAAAATTGGAGAGAAAATATTATCATCCTTCTTATTTGGATAAATGATTAAAAAATAGAAGGAAAAAAAGAACAAATATTTAGATGACTAAAATATCCTTATCAAAATATATCATATTTGAAACAAAATCAAATTAAATATTACAATAGGAAAATTATACAAACATTAGCATCATCAAATAATTTAAAATCAAGTTATTTGGTTAATATGTATTTTCATATTATTACATTTTAAAACAATTATTTAATAAAAATATTGTTTTAAGATAAAAAAAATAAAATGTGAATAATTTTTAAATATAATAAAAGAAAATAGATATAAAGAGGAAGAACTCAAAAAATGTAAAAGAATGGGCAATCATGAAAATCTTATTTTTCTCCCCAAATCTCTCCATACGTATATACTTCCTCTGGTCCTATTTATAAGACCTCATTTATAGACTATAAAGAAGATCTTATAATTAAAACTAGATGTAGTATATATATAGACATTTTGAAATCATTTTTCCTCAGGGCTTTTCCCCTCCAAATTCCTTTTTCTATGTATCAAACACAACCTAATAACAACGAAAATAGAATCTCATAATTTGGCTAAGGTCAAACAAGATTTCTCCACTCCACTCATCCTAGCTAGGAAGTTATGGAACAAGAGACGTTCCTTTTGAAATGTATGAAGTGGGGCGGGGATTGATGGAGGATGGTGGAGGCATATGAGAGTCTATCTGTTAAAGTGGGGGCCTCATTGAATTGTTTGGGGGTTAGGTTCAAGAAAACACATGCTTCTTCCCCCAGCCTTCTCTCAACTTCTACACACTTTCTCTAATCATGCTCTGCTTCAACATCACCATTCTTTATATCTCTTTCTGTTTCTCTCACTAGACCCTACATTTTAGTGCTTTCACCCCCATTTCACCTCCATTAATGGCCTCCAGCCCTTTTCTTTCATAAGAACAGTTCATCAAAGTTACAACGTAAGTCCTATGACTCAAAAGGTGTCTATATGTTATTTACTAATAAAATTCTTATACTCAAGGCAAATGTGGGGTATGAAATATGTCCTTTTCTTACTCGTCGGACTAATTTTCATTGGCATGTAAAATGACTGATAAGTAAGCACATGATTGATGAGTTAATTAAGGGTCATTAGATGATGTCTTATTGTGATGTGAAGTCAAAGAAAGAATTAGGGAGTAGAATTGAATGGTATATATGAGTTGAGAATACAGAGAAGGTAAAACAAGTTGGTAAGAGGTCGGTAGATGACATATGAAGGAGTGGAGAGAGAGAGAGGCTTAAAAGTAATCAGTTCCTTAGTTTGGTACATAAGATAAGAAGAAAGGGGGGGGCTAACATGGAGGATGGGCCACAAAGATTAATAATGCAAATGCAAATGAAAACAGCCTCAGATTTCATTTCATGGACCCCCCATCCCTGTGTTCCCTAAAGCTTAGAAACCCCATGTTCTTCGTATCCCACAATTAGCCATCTTCAAAATACTAAAGAATCAGCTCCTTTCATCCTCCTGCAAGCACTAGCAACATGTTGAGATCGTTTTCGCGGGGGGTCCGTTTCTTAGTTTAGTTGCATTGATTGCACCACCGGCTGTTCAAATGTCATTGTTGGTGCATTTAGTCATACTCACTTTCTTTGCCAGCCATTTATTAAAGCCTCTCACCACATGTACTTCAAAGTTCAAACCTAACTTAATTTTACAGGCTTTTCCAAGAACTCAATTTCTTTTTATTTATTGTTAAGTTTCATAATTTTTCATAGTTATCCTCGGGTTAAGGCCCTTGGCATGCCCTACAAACAATATGGGAGGCTACCGAATTAACAAATAGGAACCCTTCCTGGAATTGATTTGATGAGACTTTTTGTGAAGCCATGATTGCCTTTGACCCAACCACTTGCATTGGATTCTGAGGGCTTTGCTGGGCTTCCAGCTTTGGGTTCTCATCTTCATGATGGTCCGGCGATAAATAATGCTTTATCATATTTCAAAAGCCGCAGATTGCATTGTGCGTCATACTGTGGAGCACAATCCTAGTCCCCAGTTCCACACAAAGGCAACCCCCATCCACATTTTCGCAAACCAGTCCTCAATTTATTTGCTACAGAATGGTTTCCATTCTTGTCTTTCAAAAACATTTTTAGTGACTCTGCTCTGTGGATCGTCGTTCGTGTTTTAATCCCGTGATGCATGCATGCCTTTGCTCAATAAGACATAAAGTAAGGGAGGGGAAAAGTGGGGGAAAAGAGAGGGGAAAAGAAAAAAGAAAATGCTGAGCTTTGACTGAAAGCCTACATAGGTGAAGTACAAACCATATTCCGGCCTTGCTGAATACAAGCGCCTACAATAGAATTTCTGTCATCATTCATGACGCTTTTTCTTTTGAGGTTGGGCTATTAACATACTATTTCCCCTTTTCCACCTTGATTCCTCTCAGACAGGCTAGATTTGAAAAGAAGGTATCCCCGTACGCAATCCGTCATACTTGTATCTTCCAGACGAAAAGGAGCTAATGCTATTTGGGGTGCCCAAACAAACTTTTGTTTGAATTTATTCTTCGCCAATAAACTTCGTTGGCCCATGTCCTGCTTATCACAAGACACACTAAAGCCTAGTATGACCATTCCAACAAAATAAACTTGCTTTTGAAAAATAAAAACAGAGGATTGATCCTCAAATTCAATGATTACCCCGAGAAGAATTCGGAAAAATGGGGCCATGAAAGAATTCAATGACACGGTGTATGATCGAACTCTACCTAAGTGTCATCTCCAAAATGCAATTTAATGTAAGATCGAACTCTGCCTAAGTATCATCTCCAAAATGCAATTTAATCAGAAAAAGAACCAAAGAACCAGTAGGGGACTCAAAATTGGCAGTGGCTGCTGAAGACTCAGCCGTCAGAAAGAGTCTGATTTGCGTTGTTTATTCGAACTAGAAATTTCTTGTTTCAAAATTCAAGATAAGGCTCAGCTCTGCAATGTTAGCAATGCAAAGCTCCCTCAGATGCGACTCGAGTCCCTACCGTAGACAAAGCGTCTTGCCCAGTCTGACACCACTAAGGCCCTTGTACGCCAGCTCACTTGCTTGCTGCTCAAAGATGATTGAATTAAGCTTCATAACTTGGTGAAAGAATGCCTTGAACTGCACAGAAATAAGCAAAGGAGAGACGAAGGTTACCTCGCATAGACAGAATACCATAACCATTGCGAACTGTGGCCAATTGATACCCAATCCCCAGGAAGCTGTGCTGCTGTCTGCTCTCCTCCCAGTGGAGCAAATTGTCCAAAATGCTTGTACCTTCACACACGAAGCAATAATCTCATTATATTTATTCTGCAGCAATTTTCGAATATTGTACCAAAGAAGACGGTGTAAAAGATATACCTAAAGGGTTTGAAGCGGTGGCGACCTTCTCCCCTGAACCTTAAAGGACCCTCCGGATTCTTTTCGCACTCCTCCATGCGGTCAAAACACTTGGCTAGGTATGCGCCCTGCTGAGACGCAACCTGATATATTTACGCAGAAACGCATCAGATAAATGATATTGTCAAAAGAAAATGCCACGCACAAGTAACACAAAAGAGTAGAGCTAAAAGCTTGTTTCTATGCTTGTTGTCATGATATATTGATATTAATTTACCACTTCGCGTCACAGTTTTAATTCTTCTTGAATAAAATTATGACAAGACAAGAACCTGTGCTGTAGCCGGAAGAAATTTCATCTGAGAATCCACTTTGGACAATGCTGCTTTGAAGTCTTCGATGTTCAGTTCAGTTGATTCTTTTTTAACATCTCCCTTAGCTTCCTTCAACAGATCAACAATGCTGCGCATCTGCTTGCTCTTCAGATATAATTCCACCTGAGGATACCTTTCACAGATATCGTCAATCACCTCTTGAAATTCTTTCACTGTAAGCGTTCCTGAGTTATCTTTATCTGCCTTCTTAAAAATCGCGGCAATATCCTCCTAAAACCACAAAACACACGCCTTTGTAATTAGCGTGAAAAGGGAGATCATTTAAATTGAAATATATAGCTTAATAAGCATCAAACGAAACAGTTACTCCAGATTATCAGTAAACGAGTTTGTGTTTCAGTAAGACTTTATCTCGACACATATGCTTATTTATAATGATTTGATTTTTATACGTCATGTAGACCAAGTCTACTGATTGTGCCATGTGTTTGTCTTTACAGAAACACAGAACAAAGAAACTTCAAAAATATCAGCCAGGTAGAGAGTAACATGAGCAATTAGGTACCATGACTTTTCGCTGGTTTATGGTAGCACAATCACCAAGAGCATAAACATTGTCACACCCTTCAACTCTCAACCATTCATCGGTAGCCAGGGCACGCCTGCTAGCCTATTATCAAATGAACAATGTTTTAGCTAGCAGTACACGTATTCATATTTGTAGACTGAATAACAGATAGAAAGCAAAAATGGCAAAAAGGATGTATTGGTGTCAGATTTCCTGAAGGCACACCTGGTTAATTTGCTTCATGAAATCTTTGATAAATGGACGAGTGCCCACACCAGTTGACCACACAGCCATTCCATATGGAATTGTAGTAATCCCTCCTCCATTTTTCAGTTCCTTGGTAGAAATTTCCTTTTCCGACACCTTCACAACCATGGATCCTGTTTTCACATCAATGCCATCTCTCTTGAACTTGTCTTCAGCAAATGCAGTGATTCTCTTGTCAAACCTGCAAAACAGAGCATAAAAATATAATAATATATCAAGTTTCATGGGTATATTGATCACGAATGAGGCACGGAGATTTCAGAATATAGCCATGCATGTCTCTAGAGTGTATCAAACACTCATATTTGACATATCAGAATTATTTAACTTATAAACTCTGATCCACTTTCACGACCAGAGATTCAGAGACTTACATGCTCAGAATATGATCGCCAGCCTCCAGAAGCGTGATCTTAACTAAATCTTTTATCCCAGGATATAACTTGACCAAATCCTCATTGACAAAGTCATGAAGGGAGGCTGCGAACTCCACCCCGGTTGGGCCACCTCCAACTATTGCAAAATGAAGAATCCTCTTCTTCTCTTCATCACTTACATTTGGCAAACTTGCTCTCTCAAAGCAATCAATAACTGTTCTTCTAATCTTCTGGGCATCTTCTACTTCCTGAACATGATCATGGCGGCAAGAGTATCAATAAAACAAAATCATGCATAAGTGCGCGGGCATCATAACGTAGTGAAAAAACGAACATGATGAATCAAAAGAGTTTGGCTTAAGAGGAGCTGGCATATCTTATTATTCTCAACATTTTAAAAATAAAGTCAATTCCTCTAGGGTACTTAAGATTGTACGGATATGATACTAAGCTTCTGGCAAAAAAGGGGGGGAAAAAGGGGAAAACATAAGTGGAAGTTACCTTTAAGAAATGGCAATGCTCCTCAACCCCTGGAGTGTTAAATGTGTTGACGTTAGCTCCCACGGCTATGATTAGGTAATCATAGTCCACGACAAATTCTTCTTTCCCGTTCAAATTGTTGTTTATATTGGAGCGGCAGTAAATTTTCCTGTTTTCTGCATCAATCTTCATACACTCGGCTTCGCCATATTCAATGTTCATTTTTTTCTGCTCCGAAAAGAAAAACAGAAAGAAAAATAAAATAAGCGAGAATGCGGCATCGACATTGATCAGGATGTGCCATTAATCATATTCCTATATGTGGCTGTCCCGGTTAAGTTTGAACGCATGAATTGAAGTAACATTTACTTAATTATTATAGGGGAAGTCATTCTACCAACACCCCCCCCCCAAAAAAAAAGAAGTTCTCATTGGACGGTGACCCCAGAATGTTGGAAAGTGCTGAGATAAATATAAAACTATGTTTGAGTCTCTGTTTTTGAACGAAGCAGAAGAACTATATGGTGCATTTTTCGATACCTTCCTAAAAATATTGCGAATAGGTTCGACAATGCTGCGCGCTTCGATAGTACCGCTAGTGACGCTGGGCAACAGAGGAGTGAAAGCAAAATAGTTGCGAGGCGAGACCACCAGAACCTCGTATCTAGGGTTGTCAAGGTTCCTAAGGAAACTCGTGCCTGCCCAGCCGGTTCCCAGCACCACCACCTTTTTCTTTTCCGGAACTGTTTCTGATGAACCAATGTATGCGCCATTGCTTCGATTTGCCTCTGCATATGCCACAAGGGCCCCTGTCCCGCCACTGCACCAAACAAATCGTTCGTGTTCATATAAACCTCACAAATGCCAATGAATAATGAAGCATCCACTTTTGAAATTAAACCAAACATGGGTATTAGACACCAATAGTTCAAATTGAATTTGGACATTAGCTTGTCCTGTGGAATTGCCATATGTGATGTGTTCTTCTAAAGGCCTACAAGATATTAGAACAGCCAAAATATTTGATCGGTTCTTAATCACTTGACTTTAAACCTTAGTCTTAAAACCGATGCACCCTGAATAGAGCTTATGGAAATTATATATAGTTCATCGATTAATTAATTGCAAAGAAAACCTACCGGGAAAAAAGGTTTGAAGATTTACCATTCTATTCTAACATACATATTGAAGCAAGCAATAGTTAATTGTTAAAATTAATATATGTTGCCAGAAGGTTGTTGAAATAGCAATGGCATCCATGAAGAAGAAACCGAGGCGGCGGGAATGTAAGAACACAACTGATGAAAGTCTTTTAAAGAGAAAAGTAAGAGAGAAATAGAAAGCACATACTATACTAAAATGAGACCGGAGAGGAAGAGTTCTGAAGATCAAATCGTATAATACAGTCATATAAATAATGACGATACCTTACGGTGAAGAGCACAAGAAGCTTGGAGAGGGAGGAGGATTCATGGAAAGATTTAGAGACTCGTTGAAAGATAGTGAAGCCCCGCATTGTGTGGTGAAATGGTGATATGTAGAAGAGATCTGAGTCCAATAATGTGGGAGAGAAAACAGAGAGAAAATGGAGGGAAAAGGGACGAGAAAGTATTGTGAGAGGGAGAGAAAAAGAAGAGGTTAGAGGGTTTATGGGAGGTTGGCGTGGGAAGGCAGCAGAAATAGAGGCGGAAGAGAGAGAAAGAGAGGGGGAGTCAAAGAGAATCCGGAAAGGTAGGAGAGAGAAACATCGGGAATGACGGTGCGAAGGTGAGGTGTGAACAACTGTTATGTGATTGCCCTTTTTTGACTTGGCGGCCAAGAAAAGTGCTTCACGTGTCCAGAGAGGAACGCCTTCATTCCAAGTCTCTTTGCTTTGGAATACTTTAATTTTTTGTTTTTTGACCAGCCGGAACACTTTAATTTATTACATTGCCTTTCATATTATTTGGCAAAAAATCTAATAAATTTAATTTTGTTGACCAAAAAATTTAATTTACAATTTGCTATTCCTCCTACTCTAAATATTACCTCCGGTTCTAATTATAAGAGTCATTTGACTAATTTGAGGAGATTAAGAAAATAATTTGAATTAGTTATTTATCCTAAATAAATGTTGTTTTTTCTAAAATATCCTTGATAATCAAATGTATTGACTAAAACTATCATTGTTAGAAAGGTTACTTTGGAACAAAAAATATATAAATATAAGAGACAAAGTGGGTTGGGATCTTATATTTAGGACCAAAATAAAAGTTAAACAGGGTCTTATATTAAGGATCAAAGTTAATATAAGACTTATTTTATAGTGTTTTATATTTAGGACCGAAGGAATATTTTCTAAAAATGTCTTGAATTATAAATACTATTCTTAATTTAGCGTGTTCTTGGAATCTAAAATTTGACAAGGATTATAAAATACAAAAAACATCACTTTTGAAATATGAAATTTCATATTATGAAATATGAAATATGAAATATAATTTTGATACATCAATATTAATAGGAGTATGACATAAAAACATGTAAGATTTTTTATATTATTCATAAGTTATAAGTAATACAATCTAGGGGTTTGAAAAACTCCAGAAATACTTTTTAAAAGCACTTTTTCACAAAATCAATACAAATTCTTCCATATATTTACTTCGTATACCGTAAAAATACTTTTGTAATTATAGTTTTGTTTATACCTAAACACTTTCTAAACTAAATTTGGTGGCATAGAAAGGGAAATAGAAGGGTGAAATCAAATTAAATGATTAATCTACCCTTATTATTCAATCTGTCTTACCCCATTTGCAAAAATTCAATCCAACATTAAAAAAAAAAAAACATTTGTCACGTTAATATTACTATCGGTATAATGCCATAAAGCCTGGGGAGAATGACTTACAGGGTGTTTGGCAATTGCCAAATATACTTCCTAAAAGTATTTTTCTGTAAAACGAGACAAACTCCTCCACATATCTGCTTCGTAGTAAAAACACTTTTAAAACTATGATTTGGTTTCTATCCAAACACCTCTTATAAAGAGTATTATTAAAAATGGTCTATTGGTGCGGTTCTTCGGAATATGTCAGCAGTTAGCGGTTAAGAATTGGACACGTCATAACGGTGGGGCCACCCTCGCTTCGCTGTACTTTCGGCTGCCCCTCCTGACCCTGACCTTGACCCTGAGACTGCGTTCGATTGGTCACTCCCAGATCTGATTGTTCAGAGGGCCCATGACACAGGTTTCAAACCAAATTGCTGGTTACCACCACCGATAATAAAAGTAAATATCATTATTAATTTTTATATTTTAATTATATTATTATTTTATTCTCCATAATTATAAATCGAAAAGCTCGTTAAAAGATTAATTCTTCGTTAAACTCGAGCCAGAAAATTATACTCTTTCAGTTTTTAATATAAGACCTATTTAGTTAATTTGATTAGATTAAGAAAATTAGATAAGTTAGTTAATTATAAGAAATGTAACACGTTTTTTCTAAAATATCATAATCATCTTTCTTAATACCCATTTTCCTCTTCTACTTAATTATGGTTGAAGGAGTATCCATAGGAATAATTTAGAGAAAATTGATAAATATGAAAAATGAATATTATATTTATGATCAAAACCAATTCAACAATTTAGTCTTATATTAAGGACCGGAAGAATAAAACTATAGGATCAAAACTAACTATTTAAAATTGCGAAGAACAAAATTAAAATACAATCAAACCGCTAAAAATGAGATTAATGTTGATAAGAATAAACAGAATTGAAATGAAGGGAAAAAATTGGGTGGTGACTGGTGAGGGGTGGTGTGTTGTTGCTTTTCACAAGGTCTTACACGCAATTCGCATGAGCTGTCCTGCACCGCCACCTTGTACTTTCCGATTTCTCGTTCAACCAATTGCCGCTTCTTTATTTTGGGTGGCAGTGGCCATGCGGGTTTTTTCAAAATAATAATAATATTTCAACTTTAATTTTTTTTTTGCCATTACTTCAACTTTAATTTTTGGGGTTTGGGGTAATAATGCCTTTTATTTTGCATGCACAGTTAGTATTCTTTATTGCAAATATAGACTAACTACTCTCTTTTAAAATATTGTTGAAAAATACTAGTACATGACTAGATTCTTCTAACAAGGGTCACTAATAAATAATGCATCTTTCATGAGTCAAATTTGGCGAGATATTTGGCATACTACTCCTCCGGTCCTTAATATAAGACTCATTTAACTAATTTGATTAGATTAAGGAAGTTAGATACGTTAGTTAATTATAAGAAAAATGACACATTTTTTCTAAAATACCATAATCATCTTTCTTAATAGCTCATCTCCCTCTTTTATTTGATTATGGTTGATGGAGTATCCATAGGGGTAATTTAGAGAAAATTGATAAATATGAGAAATGGGTCTTATATTTAGGACCAAAACTAACTCAAGAATTGGGTCCTATATTAAGGACCGGAGGAGTATTTATCTATTTATTTGACTATATGTCGTGTGATACTATAACTAGCTCTTATATTTAGAACTGAAGGTAGTAATATATTTAGGAAAGGCTTTCAAAAAAAAAACCATTGAAAAAAAAAAGAGGATTTCAGTTAAAAATGGCTACAACTAGTTTGTTTAAGATGAGGATCAAACGATTCTGAGAATATGCTACAAGCTCAAAAATAAAATTAAACTTTGACGGGCAATAACCACAATGCCCTTCATTTATTTAATGAAAAATATTCCTCAAAACATATTGTCAATGTTGTGTGTTGCAGGATTGTTCGGATTGTTCGGTGTTGATTTTAGAAAAGCCAATGATAATGACAAGGGTTTATAACTGAAATTCTCCCAAAAACAGGAGAACAGCAAGGAATATAAAAAAGGCAATGGTGAATGGAGGAGGAAAGGGGGTGAGATGCGGGGATGCGATCGAACGGCTGAGAATGACCTAAGGAATGACGAAAGCGGCTGCCATAAAATTGGAGAAAGAATTGTCCACAGTCAGCTTTCGTCCTAACTTCCTCTAAGCTTCTAGAATAACGCTGCCATTAGCCCCTTTTCAAAAAAATAAAAATAGTTTGTTTATTTATTTGTTTGTTGAGATCTAAAACTGGACAAGACACAGGCTGTTCCCGACCATCCTGGCGTCATTAGCATATTGCTCATCCTCTCTTTCAACTAATTAAAAAATATATATAACATATTTTACATGTTTATTAATTTTTTTAAATTAATCTTATTAATATTCTTCTAATAATAATCAAATAAGAAAAAAATGAGAAAATTAAAAAATATATTTAAGATATTTTTAAAAAAAATATGTTATTAACTTTATTCTATTTAAATTAGTTAATTAAATTTTATATTAAGCGTCATATTACTGATATTATTCTTCCTTACCTTACCACCTTTGATTTTGAATGCCTTCAACGGTCTACGCTTCCCCTCTGATTCCTCGTTTTTCACATATATTATACTCCTCCGGTCCTTAATATAGGACCCAATTGTTGAGTTGATTGGTCCTAAATATAAGACCCATTTATCATATTTATCAATTTTCTCTAAATTACCCTATGGATACTCTATCAACCATAATCAAGTAGAAGATAGAGGGAGTATTAAGAAAGAGATTATGGTATTTTAGGAAAAACATGTCACAATTTTATAATTAACTAACTTCCTAACTTCCTTAATCTAATCAAATTAGTTAAATGGGTCCTATATTAAGGACCAGAGGAGTATTACATTTGAACTATTCGCCGTACTCACATCTCATCTTACCACCAATTGATATTTACGCCTTCTATATTCCCTCAAATACCTTTAATAATGCTGAATTACCGACTTGTTTGGGCATATAAAACTTCCTTCCGCTTATGAGTCCAAAAATGCTAAGGAATTTCCATGCAAGTGATTATTTTTCTGTTTTCATGTGATAACTAGCATTTATTGAAGGGAAAATTACCAAGAGATCTTAAAAAAAAAAATTCAATTACGAAGAAGTTTTAATAACAAGTGATCAATTTGAAATTTTGTGATTCTCCACTCAGAAACTCATCAGTTATCATTACTTACTCTTTACTTGCTAATAAATTTTAAGGTAATTAAATCCCTTCCTTGAAACATGATTATAATTCTCCTTTTAAATAAATTTAAAAGAAGAATTACAATCAGGTCTAAAAAAAAATTATTAAAAAATCCCAATAATAATCTAAGTAATCTATAATGAAAAGTTTCAGAATAAAAAATAACAACTTATAGGACTTGTTTTATAATTATTTTTTTTCTTTAGGACATCGTAAATTCTCCCTTTATTTAATTAGCAGTGTCAACATTATAGACCAATCAATATCTTGACTAAAACTGCTGCTGCGGGGAAAATAAGAAAGATTGAATTGTAAATTTCACCGGGAATTAAACTCCAGTCTATTTACGTGGAGAATAAGAACATTGACTTTCAAATTTTACTTGAAATTTAATTTGAATCCATAGCTTGAATTGATCACAATTCTCCCAGAAAAAAATCAGGGAAATAAAGAAGAGATAGAACTTCACAACCTCAACAAAAAGACAAGAGCTTCACAACTTAGAAACTTCTATAAGAATATTGACTTAGAAAATGACCGAAATTTAGAGTTTTACTTTAATTTAATTGACATAAAAAAAATGTTATAGAAACTTCACAGGCCCAACCTTCACATGGGCCCAATGTGATCCGACCCTTTGGCCCAAAAAACAATCTGACCCATACTGTCGATCTCCACAATATATGATTAATACAAATTCAACTACCAACGGAAGTTAAGTCTAGCAGAAAGAGCTAATATCCCACAATGTGGTGAATTAATATTCGAATTCCTGTTGGACGATGTGCTCACATTTAGTACCCAACAATACCTTGAATAAAATTGCCTCCAATAAGAGGATATCTATTTTAACAAAAAAATACAAGTTCAACTCATGCTTCGTGGGAATGCGGATTTAGACCCACTAAACACATACGCTTTTGTAATATACTCCTCCGGTCCTAATTATAAGACCCAATTGACTTATTTGAGGAGATTAAGGAAGTAAGTTAAGTTGGTTATTTATAATAAATAAGTGTTGTTATTCCTAAAATATCCTTGCTAATTAAGTATATTGGCTAAAACTATCATTATTAGAAGGATTATCTTGGAAAAAAATACATAAATATAAGAGAGAAAATGGATTGGGTCTTATAATTAGGACCAAATAAAAAGTCAAATTGAGTCTTATAATAAGGACCGGAGGAGTATTATCGGTAGATGATATTCATTATATTGTCAATTGCCCTGCCGATAAAAAAGGCAGCCAAATTGAATAGTTGGAATTAGTCAACTTTCTTACACTGAGCAACCCTCAATACAGGAATTTTAAGTCAGTTAAAAAGGTGGAGGAATGATTAGTTAATTAACTAACTAATCCATGACCTAGAATTATCCTTTGCTATATCATTTCATGGTTTGTACGAATCCAAAGCGGATTATATTCTCATCGGTGCTTGGCTGGTGGGCAACCTAGATTTCCTAAAAGTTCAGGGGAACTGATTTCCTGGAACTATTATTATGATCAAAGTATGTCTTAAAACTCACAAAATATTTAGAGATGTAACATTTTCTCTTTTAAAATTTTATCAAACAAGTACATATAACATTTTCTCTTCATTGTATATAAGTCAACTTAAAATACAAAGCATTCCTTACCTATTGGGAGTGAATTACTTAATTAATAATGAAGTGGTTTTCGTGCTCTATCATCCCCAAAAAATATGCCAAACCTGTCCTTTCCCCTGTTTTTACAAAACAGAGCCTGTGAACCCATAAGCCTCACTGAAGACGGCGATCATCATCTCTTTCTTCATCATAGCAACAAACAAAATATGAATATTCATCATGTTCGTGAGAGTTCAAGTTCCCTCTTGTCCAGAGCATAGGTATAAAAGGAAAGAGAGGACCCAAAAAGATTAAGAAGACATCTTCTGCCGGGGGTGGGGGGGAAGGAACACCCGTGCCGGACTGTTACCGAATTCAATACAAATTAAGGGATCACACAGAAACAGAGAATTTTGATTTTTCAAATGTGATTTTCAGCATCATGATAATATCTGGGCATTCATGCAGCTTCGAGAAAGTTATCTGGGAATTCATCAAGCCGGTAATATTTTGTATTTTGATAATATCTGCAAGTGGTCTATCGATTCTCAAATAGCAAATTCTTTTTGGAAAGAAGAACATTCCTCGAGATAATGTGGTCCACTCCATCATCAATCCTAATATCGCTAATCGTTGGACCATTTGGCTTAAAAGGATCAAAGCAAGACACAGAAGAAGCTGTCTCATTAGTGTGTTTCTCGACACACCACTAATTCAACAATTTAAATGGATAAAATCGATCAGCTCCTCTGCATACTCCTCAATTTTCCCTCACTTGGCTTAGACCAACTCTGTTTTGGATTAAAAAGTTCTCACAATCTGCAACAACTTGCTTTGAAGACTCTTCGCATTGTTTATCATGAGAAAAAGTTCGCCAATCCCCCAATCTTTAACTCCGAGTGCTGATACTGTGGAGTTTGTCGGGCTTTTTGTTGATTTTTCTGTTGTGTAGTTTTATAAGCCTTTGTTATCTTCAAGACTCATTACTTGGCCGTGTTAAGAAACTTATTTTGAAATGTGAACCAAATAAGGGATCCTTAACTAATAAGGAATCCATAGAACAACTAAACTACATACGCATTTCATTGTGATCATTATACATCAATGGAACTTTTTTCCAAACAAGGGGTTAGCAATAGGATCATATGTAAAAGAATCATAAAAGAGGATCCATTTGAGTTTTGGATTTTGTCAAGAGCGATCTTGCTTCGAGCTCTTTCCTGTTGTTAAAGATTGTTGGAATGTGATCATAAAAGCAGAAGTGGAGAGAATTGTAATTGGGTTGGATTGAATAAACTGGTCCTGGTGGGGTGTGGCCTCTACCTTTCATATGTCTAGTCCGGAAGTCCCTTTCCCTTCCAACTTTTCAACCACCTTGTTCATTCATGCCTCCTTACATAAATGACATTTCTCTTTTAATTTTTTTTTGGACTTATTTATTGTATAAAATATTATAAAATTAAAACAAAAAATCATAAATAAATATTTTAATCCATCAAAAAAATAAAAAAATTTAAATAATAGATAATATATATTTTTATACATTTACAAGAAAAAATATTTTCTTTTTGAGGGACAACCTAACATATCTTTTTGAAGGATAACCTCTCCCCTCCTTACGCCTTTACTGCACTATTCTCCAATGTCAGCCTTCCATCTACTGTTTGTGTGTTTAATATCTAGAGGACCTTATGGCCACATGTGTCATGTCATGTAATGGAGCCCAACTGAGATTACTTTTTGCATTTATTTATGTGCTTTCATGCAGCACATTACCTTCATATTAATTATTAATTAATTAACATGTAAATATTTTAAGTATGCTCATTAACTAATTAATAAAGCACCTGATTGATATTGATATAAATTAAATTTTCAGAAAGTCATACCATTCATAGTCTACTATTGGGGGATTTTTAGCCTTTTTCACTTTTTAACCATTTTTAATAAGATTTTAAAATAAATTTAATAATGACAAGTATAATCTTTCAAACGATAAGACTCATCATGCAAGATAATTTGCTTTCACTCGTGATATCAGCGCAAGCATACATTTTTTTTAATCTTTGAATGATTTGAAAATTATTCTGTGTTTTACATGGACAAACATATAATAACATATGAATCTCATTTTGGTTCAGAGGCAAATTTTTTGGCTTTCTCTAAGAGTTTTTAAAATCATGTAATTTTTAAACTTGAAAACTGAAATATCATCCTTAATTTATTTCCCGAAATTATTTTATACTTGCTATATTTTTTCATGTTCCCAATACAATAGCATATGAATCTCAGTTTGGTTAAGAAGAAATTTTTTTGGGTGAGGTGATAGAGATATTCCTTCGATTCTTAATATAAGATCTATTTAACTAATTTGATTAGATTAAAGAAATTAGGTAAGGTGGTTAATTATAAGAAATATAATATGTTTTTCCTAAGATACTATAATTATCTTTTTTGATATCCTCCCTCCCTCTTCTACTTGATTATGATTGAGAGAGTATCTATGAGGGTAATTTAGAAAAAAACTGATAAATATGAAAAAATAGGTCTTATATTTAGAACCAAAATCAATTCAACAATTAGATTCAATTAGATCCTATATTAAGGACCGGAGGAGTAATTGACAAGGGACACTAATCAAACATTTTATGCTAAAATAATGAAAAGACAAAAACATAAAACGTAATCAAACATTTGGATCTCTGGGTTTAATGATTAATTAAAGCATAGATATAATACAAGTATACCACGTTAATCAAGGACACAACAAACAAACTCCACAAAAACTCTCACAATATCCCAAAATCTCTATTCTTCCCCTTCGCTCGCACCAACAACCATAGGAGGTGATCCATTACGTTAAAAATATATATCTTTAACTGAGGCTATATATATATATAAAAGAAAAAAAGCTTTAATTAATCTCACATTAGTTGGCACTGATCGCACCGGCGATGACCTCGTTCTCTTGCCGGCAAACCTGTCGTGTCTCGTCGGAGAAATGTCAATTTCAATTAGATTATCTTCGTCAAGCTGAAGCTCCATAGCTATCTTCTTCCCGCCGTCTAAAGCTATCTCAATCAACCCTTCCCTGTCTTCTTCGTCCCACTGGAAGCAAGCGTTCTCCGGCGACTCCCACTGCCCTATCGGCGGAAAACCACGGTCCGTATTCAGGATCAAAACCAATTCAATAATTAGGTTCAATTAAATCTTATATTAAGGACCGGAAGAGTAATTGATAAGGGACACTAATCAAACATTTTATGCTAAAATAATGAAAAGACAAAAACATAAAACGTAATCAAACATTTGGATCTCTGGGTTTAATGATTAATTAAAGCACAGATATAATACAAGTATACCACGTTAATCAAAGACACAACAAACAAACTCCACAAAAACTTCACAGTATCCCAAAATCTCTATTCTTCCCCTTCACTCACCCCAAAAACCATAAGAGGTGATCCATTACGTTAAAAATATATGCTCTTTAACTGAGACAAAAAAAAAAATACATATATATATATAAAAGAAAAAAAGCTTTAATTAATCTCACATTAGTTGGCACTGATCGCACCGGCGATGACCTCGTTCTCGCCGGCAAACCTGTCGTGTCTCCTCGGAGAAATGTCAATTTCAATTAGATTATCTTCCTCAAGCTGAAGCTCCATAGCTATCTTCTTCCCGCCGTCTAAAGCTATCTCAATCAATCCTTCTCTGTCTTCTTCGTCCCACTGGAGCATGGAAGCAAGTGTTCTCCGGCGACTCCCACTGCCCTATCGCCGGAAAACCACGGTCCGACGAGCTATCCGACTCCGATTCTGAATCGGACTCTGGGTAATACCGTGATAACGAGGGGTACTTGGGGTAATCAGCGTATTTTCCGGTGTCTTCTTTCTCATTCGGATCCGTCTCTGCTTCCTCCTCTTCGTGTTCCTCGTATATGACTTCCAACGGCGCTTTCACATCCCATGATTCCACGAAACACTCGGAGCTGAGACACTTCTGGGATTTGAATTCTGTTTTGGAATGTGTCGATATCCATTGCCGAACTTTCTCGAGGGAATCCGATTCCTCTGGTTCAATGCCAAGATTCTCCTCCTCCTCTTTCTCCTCTGCAACTGCTCTGTTTTCATGATTCAAACTCGGTTCTGGCGTGCCGGGTATTCCTGGTTGTTCGTTTTGGGATCTCTGATTTGCTCCAAATCGAAGTATGGTTAGAAGGAGAATTCCAGTGAGAATCAGAACGGGAGAGAGAACGAGTTTCCAGAAAAGGTGAGGAAGATAAAGGAGAATGAGTGTGCATAAGGTAACAGTAAATGAAAACAGAGGATGTGAAGAAATCCCAGGGGGAGAGAGAAAGTGTTTCACACATATGAAGTTCATGAACTTCAATTCCAAGGAAAACTCGCTTTCCTCCATGGAGGACAACGTTTTTGGTTCCCCTGATAGCTACGATTACTACACAACTGGCTGTAAGAGAATCACACCCATGAACAGAGAAAGCAGACTTGTGAGATGATGAAAAGAAGAAAGAAAAAATAAAGCGAAAGATTTTGAAAGGGATTGATAGAAAAGAAAGAAGAATACAGTGCACGAGAGCTTTAGGAAGAGTGCATTGCATTGTGGGGTTTATAAGATAAGGCTTTTGGCGTGAGAAGAAGGCATAGAGGAGGAAGAAGGTAAAAAAGTAGGGTGGTCCTGTAATATGCAGTAACCAAGACGATATTGGAATTGTGGATTTCCAAATTTAATCACATATCATCAAGCACTGATCTTGGTTTTTGTCTGAAGGATCGGCTTTTAATTCTCTGTTGATGGAGAAATCCAAGGCATTGACTCCAAAAGACGTTAGGTTTTCTGTGCAAAGAACAGTCATTCCAGGATAATTTTGCGGCTAAGTTACCACTTTCAACACTTCTTACTGGTTTGGGTCATTCCCCACCATGTGTAATAAGATTTGGTGAGTGTGCTCTTATTTTAATTAATTAGGATTAGAAGGTACGAATTACTGGGATTTAGAAATAGAATTAGAAGGTGGGTGCTGTGCTTTTCTTGGAGTTAAGTACGACTTGCTTTATTATATAAAGATAACTTATCAATAATTCGAGTTTTCTGGCTAATTTTATAATTATGTCCTCCCCACTCTGAGGAAATTGATGATATATATACGAGTTATTTATTAGGTGATTAATTAAATTTCACGAAAGACGAAAGATTACCCTTTTTTTTCATCGAAATGTTACCTTGTTACAATTTATAAGAGGAAGCTTTAAGTCCGACATATATAGCATTTCTCTATAGTCTAGTCTATACTTTTGAAAAGAAGATAAAGTTCCATACAAAGTTAATATAATACCGTATACTCATGGTTATAATAAAGTTTAGTTCATGTATAATCTTATTTGAATGTTTCAAATTTAAAACTTATGATATGTAATTTTTAATAATAAATTTATTTTTTAAAAATTCAGTTATAAAATTATCTTCAATTCAAATTTTGTATTTATTAAAATAAAATAATATTTAAAGCATAAAAAATTAAATTAATTTTTTTTTAATGAAAGTGCAGTGTGCTCCAGAATCAAAAAGAGTAGATGCTCCCTCCAGTTTTATTTCTAAGGCAATCAGAGGAGAGATTTTGTGGTACTTTTCATAAGGTAGCACATTAATTATTTATTATAATTCTTTTATCCATATTAAGTTGATGTAGGAAAGTAAGTGTAAGTAAGAAATTTATTTAATTTTTAAACAGAGTTAATGAACTTTATGATTTTCTTTGATTTCCATCAATATGTGTTGAAAATAACCTATAAAGTATATTTATAAATACAAATATTATACATTGATGCGTAGACCTGGTTAAAAAAAAAAATTACATTGATGCTTGGATGCCGGTTTCCAGAACCTAATTTTTGTCTGCAAAACGTATATAGTTCGCTAAAATCAACTTTTTTTTTTAATTTGCAAAACCTAGTTTGGGGTTAATATTGCATTTTGTAAAAGTAAATTTAGGCCTACTTCCTGTAGAAAATATACCTTTTAGTTTTATGTTTAATATTTTATTTCCAGCTGAGACATTAAATATATATTTTTACAAATAAATATGCTAATTTTTAATACTACTAACATAAATATCCTTATTTTAGGTTTAGCAGAGATATAATTATAAAAGGTATCCTTAGAAACTAATATAAAATATTTAGAAAGTACAGCTTTATGATATTTTATTTGAAAAATTTCTTCCCAAGTTCTAGGAGAAGTTGCCCTTTCACCTTCTCAAAGATTATATTGTTTTATCTCTCAAAATTGTTTTTATTTTAGTTTTTTAAGTCATAGATTTTTTTTCTCAAGTCTAATTTTTTTTCCTTCTAAAACATTAGGTCTTATAATTTAATAAAAATATGGACTATTTTGCTTCTTGAAAGACCAAAACTTATGATTTGAAACTTGAAAAACTAAAATCAAAATTCATACAAATTTAAGAACCAAATATTGTATTAACTCATTTTGAATGCAAGTAGAAGCAAATAAGCTGGTTCCCACGAAATTCATTATTTTGGTTCTCCCGAAATTCTATGTCACCCATGGAAAACAACCCTATGGATTTGAAGGAGGAGGCTAAAGGCATTGCAAGATTGTTCGAAATGGATTGTCGTTCAAATCATTTATTTGTTTATTTATTTTTCTTTGAGTGAATATTAATTTGGAGGGGTTGGGAAAGCTCGAAGTGTTGACAAATTTGAGGGAATTTGCATGAATGAACACAATACAATTTTCAAGACAGGGAAGCAGTGTGAGAAATTAAGACTTTGAGCTGAAGATGCGTGCATTTCACTGAGTAAAACTTCATGATGCATGGATCCAAATAAAGTAATCCCAAACACACCTCATCTCACTTAGAAGTTATAACAGTTAATCCACCTCGATTTCACTCCACTGTTTTGTTCCAATCCAAGATCTATGGCATCATTTGCCTTCGTGTGTGTATATATATATTGTTTGCTTTTAATTTCTCTCACAAGGCATATATTTTTATTCTCTGTTCATACAGAAAGCATGTAATTTTTTTTTTTTTTTTTAATTAATAGGATAGACACTAATCGTTTGGGGTCACCAGCATATATAATCAAACTTACGACCTCCTACTTATCGCGGAGTGTTCATATTACTATGTTACAAGGCTGTTGGTTGGATAACAAAAAATTTTGAGAATCATAAAAATCAGATTCCTATAATTTTTAAAAGAGTGAATTTGAGATTTTTTTTTTTTGAAGATAAATATTGAAGAGGGTGACCTCATTCAATAGAAGGTAAGTTGATTCTTTCAATACTTTCTTTTTATACATCTCTTTTACATCCAATTATTTCTTCTATCTATTTGAGTATGGAAAAAAAAAATTTAAGAGTGTCTGCTTTCTAATTAAAGTTTGATACTACCTTCGGTCTTTAATATAAGATTTTGTTTAATTTTTATTTTGGTCATAAATATAAGACCCCAATCCACTTTGTCTTTTATATTTATGCATTTTTTCCTAAGGTAGTCCTTCTAACAATAGTAGCTTTAACCAATACACTTGATTAGTAAAGATATTTTAGGAAAGACAACACATATTTATTACAAATAACTAACTTAACTTCTTTCTTTAATCTTCTCAAATTAGTCAACTAGCTCTTATAATTATGACCGGAAGTAATATTTGTTATGCTCATATATCAGATTTAATTTAACGGCAAAACCTTTTTTCCTACCCATCTTTTCAAAGTGTTTTTCAAGTAGGCGCAGGGACATTGCCCAATTCATGAATAAGCCTGGTTAGATTCTCTCAATATTAGTTCATTTACTTCGGTTGAAATCATCATCAATGAACTTTACAAAGCGTACACTCGGTTTGGTACGTATAAATATTAATAGCTGGGCTTTTTTATATTACATGTGGCTACTAATTAATTAATTGTGAGGTGGAGACGATGATCTCAGAAAATTCTCTCTCATCTTCAAAATATGAAACTTCAATTATGAACGCCCGTAGTTGCATCGTAGGGAAGCACATGTTCCACCGACTTATAACACACCCCAGCTTAAGTTGGAAGAAAATAGGGCATGATTATTGGACGTTAAATGCAAGCCAGACTTCCCAGTTCTAATAGTCGGTAAAACTGAGTTAGAAGAAAGTAAAGATGAGAATATACGTGCGTAATGGAGACTAGAAGCTCAATCTCATGGCTTTTAATTATCACCATCAACTTTTCTTTCTTTCAAAGCCTTCTTTATTAGTTTGTCTCTGCATAATAAGGGAAAGTGGGATCTCATCAAATGGATTTAGATTTAGAACAGACGTGAGTGGCAGACAGGTAACCTCATTATCGATAGATAGATAGCTAGGTTCGATCAAATATCAGCGGATAGAAAGCTATGGAACCTCACTTTTGGGAAGCTTTTCACATGCTTTGGGCCCCTTTGCATGGCAGGTTCAGATTATCAGATCCTTATTCCTTTTCAACACCCTTGCTTTTCCCCATATATTTGCAGATATAGGTGTGTGTGTGTGTGCGCGCGCATACATATAGGTCCGTGTGTTGCGTGTATTTTTCATCCTCATCATTCCTTGTGCTTCAGCCGTACTCCCTAAGGGTCGAAATCTAAGTTCTCACCACGAAGCTGATGGGTCCATATGTATATTAGGTTGAATTTACAGGTCAGGCATAAACCTTATAAGTTAATTAACAAAGAATCAGAGGGTGGGAGTGGGAGGACTAAATATACGAACTAATTGATATTTATTTTGAGGCTCGAATGAATCGATATGATCGATTCCAAGCAGTAAATTCACTATAAAAAAATTGACTTTTAGCGGCGACAAAATGTCGCCGTCAAAAGTTTTTTGTGGCGACAAGTTGCTGCTGAAAAGTCGTTGCCGTAGCAGCCGTGGCTGAAAACTTTCAGTGGCGACTAAAAAGGTCGCCGCTAAAAGATACTTTCAGCGGCGACTTTTAGAAGTTTCGGCGGCGACACTCTTGTAGCCACTGAAAGACTTTTCAGCGGCGACAAATGTCGCCGCAGAAAGTGTTTTTTGCGGCGACTTTTTTGTCGCCGCTGAAAGTAATGCCTAAGAAGAATTGGCTTTACTAATGTCACGTCATCGTCGTCGGTGCCACGTCATTGTCTCCGGCCGCCACGTCATCACCGTCGACCTCCACGTCATCGCCATCGGCGGCCACATCATCACCGCCGACCGCCACATCATCACTAGCCACCTCCACGTCATTGCCACATCACTCCTCCTCGTCACGTCATCGTCCAAATATTTTCACCTTAAATGTGTCTTCTTCCAGGTTCGAACTCGTGACCGCCTCCTTTCGTGTCCAACCTTCTTGCCGCTGAGCCAGATTGAATTTGTTTATTAATATTGTAAAATAAAATATATATTATTATATTATACTTTCAGCGGCGACAAAAAAAGTCGCCGCTGAAGGTCCACTTTCGGCGGCGACAAAAAAAGTCGCCGCTGAAAGTCTTGGTTTCAATAGCGAACTTTCAGCGGCGACTTTTTGAAAGTCCACTTTCGGTGGCGACAAAAAAAGTTGCCGCCGAAGGTCCACTTTCGGCGGCGACACTTTTGTCGCCGCTGAAAGTCTTGGTTTCAATGGCGAACTTTTAGCGGCGACAAAAAAAGTCGCCGCTGAAAGTCTTAGTTTCTGCGGCGACTTTTTGATGTCACTTTCAGCGGCGACTTTTTTTGTCACCACCTAAAGTCTGTTTTTTTGTAGTGATTGTACACACGCACACTTAAACATCTCAACAAGTCTAATTAGTGAAAAAAAATGAGGAACAAAAATTTTCCTCAAGAAAACGATAGGAAGGGAAATGTGTTCGCAAGCGGTGTGGAAGTGAACCGGTTAATGTTCTCCATGGAATTTCAAAATGGCATTTTAACTTTTCACTGTGACTTCCATGCCTCAGGATTAGGACAATTGGCCATGAAAGATCCCTTACTGATTATAGCCTTTATACTCGACAGTCATATATTCCAAGAGAAATTATAAGAAGCAGCATGATGCTCAGTCTGATTTTTTTTTTTAAAAATTTTTTCTCTTTAGATACATTATATTTGAATCAATATCAATAATATCAACAAAACATGTACAATCTATATGAATATTTCAACTCCTTTTTAGATTCCATATGTAATTTTTAGATCTTCACTCATTCACTTTTGATTCTAAGCTGTAATCTACTTCATCCAAGAGCGTATTTTGATTCATACAAATTTGGAACACGTCACCACTACGACCATCACCTGTACCCTAACAAATCACTCCATATCTAAAGTCACATCAGGCTTGAAGTAACCTGGATGAAGCTGGGTTTGGTCCAAGATGGGGAGTCACTAACTCTACCAAATGTTTTTGTTGCACACATATGCACATCATGTTTGGGCCCAAGACAAGTTGGATTCTCTATTATTCCACTTGGACCTCATTTGAGCTTCCCATAATTTCAAAATTTGAGGTTCTTTAATTTACTCTCAACAAAGAATGAAGATTGAACATGTCAAGCACAAAGAAGGGTACTTGGGAGGGCTAGGTTTTGGTGTTGTGGGCATATGATGAGAATATTGGAGGGTTTTGGAAGGCGCAAGCAAGGAAATGGAAAGGGCCCATCTAACGGTAGCTAATCAAGCTACATATGCGATGAGAAAGCCAAGGAGGTAATTGTGATGGTGATGAAAAGGAAGAATTTAGGTTCTTCCCAAAAGTGAACGGAAACCAAATTGCAGACTTTTGAGTTTGAAATAATGCAGAACATTGAACATGATTTTATCGTCGGTCCTCTTTTTAGTTTAATTAAGTAGCTAGCTAGCATCACATGGTATGTGTTATTATGTTGGATCCAACATATGGTTTTGAATATATGCGTAGTATATAACTGTAATGAGGCGTTTACTATTGTGGCCAATAATATGCAATTGCGGTTAGCTTGGAAGTGTGTGATATGTCCAAGACTTAGTTTAAACTATGCCTATCGTCTTTATATGATCATGAACGTACACTTGACTTAGGGGGGTGACTATGGGATATGGCATGGCCATATATAGACAGATGTATATAGAGAGCATGGGAGAAGCCAACCCCTTGAAACTTACACACACACACATCAAATACTACTTCTGGTCCTAAATATAAAAAATAGTTTATTAATTTTAGTAGATTAAAAAAATAAATTAAACTAGTTATTTGTAATAAATATATGTTGTCTTTTCTAAAATATTTTTGCTAATTAAGTGTATTGGTGAGAATTATTATTATTATTAGAAGAATTATACTAAAAAAATACATAAATATAAGAGACAAAATGAATTAGGATCTTATATTTAGGATCAGAATAAAAGTCAAATGAGATCTTATATTAAAATCCAGAGGTAGTATTACAATATTTCAAATGGAATCAAATTACATAAATAAATTATTGAAAGTTGCGTTACTTACGGAATAACAAGTGAATCAAGACTATGTTACTTTTTATAAGTAAGCGACCTAGTCTTTTGGTTTTCTTTTCTTTGTTTTTAAATACTATAAGATACATTGGTTTCATAAGTAACTAATGTAATACTCCTCTGATTCTAATATAAGACCCATTTTGTAGTATAAATTATACTATAAACACTACAAAATTGGTCTTATATTTAGGATCAAAAGAATATTATTTTAATACTGCAAACTTATTTAAAAAAATACTACCATTTTATTTAGAACCAACATAATAAGGCGACATAGATGGAAACTTTTTCTTCTTTGGTAGTATATGTACTACTAATTGCACAAGATCTTCTCAAATTTTGTTGACGCACGAGCTAAGGGCTGGAAAGAAAAAACAGTTCAGAATTCAATCGGCACTATTTATAGAATTATAAGTAATGTGACGTTTTTTATTGCACAGAATCAATAGTAAGATTTTGTGGACATAAAAAAAAGAAGATTGAGAATTCAATCGCCCTTACTATTGCTTCATAAAAACATGAAATATGCTATATGCAAACGCAATTCTAAACTCTTAATGCTCGATCCATGAATGCATAGGAGGACGTTATAATATATATTATCTATTGATAAAATGAGGAAAATTCCATTCCTTCCATCAGTTTTGTAACTGCAAGAGATGAGGTGGTATGCTCTGTTCATGTTTGAAGAAATTGTCTGGATCAACCCAGGTTTTCACTTGGACTAATCTTTCGAAATTGTCCTTAAAATACTTTCTCCCATAAATATTCGCAGCTTCCATGCTTGTCGCATTACTAGGATTGGCCCCGATATCAAGATCTCTATAGTTAAGGAAAGCCTCCCTCGGAGATTTCGAAACATAGGGGGCCATAAATTCGTAAACCAACCTTGAAAATTTCATATAATGATTAATCTCTTGAACTCCTTCTTCGTCCCAATGAGTATAGTATTGAACCAGAAACAAGTTTCCAGCTCTGTGAGGAAATGGAGTTTCTGATGGTGAAATCTCATGCATCTTTCCACCATAAGGATTCCATTCCATCCTCATTTTCTCACCTTCAATCATCAGCTTCCACATGGATTCTATTGCACTCTTTGGAATAGGCTCTTTCACGTAATCTGATTTGCTTTTGAAGAACTCTGTTGGTCGTTTGTGCTGTGCTAGTAACTCATCAAGTGAGGTTCCAATTGGGTAATCAGCCCAGAAAAGAGTTGAATTCACCCAAGGCATTTCAGTGCAATCACTTTCTTTTAGACCTAATTCTGGGAAGCTCTTGTTCATCAAAGATACTAACCTATCGATTTTCCCTAAGAACTGGCCAATGAAGAAAACCCTTATCGTCTTCTTACCCTCTTGAATTCCATTGATGACTAAAGACCTTACCCTTACGAACAAGTCTTCGTCTAATTCACTCGCAATGAGTTGCCATTTGTAAAGAAGATCAGCCGCACCTTCTTCCAAAGTCTTCTTGACTCCGAACACAGTCACTTGGGGAGGCACAGAAACCAACCTGATCTTCCACGAAAGAACAACCCCAAAACTCGCAGCCCCACCTCCTCTTATGGCCCAAAATAGATCTTCTCCCATCGTCTTCCTGTTAAGAATTCTTCCATTAACATCAACAAGTTCAGCATCAACGATATTATCAATTGAAAGACCATATTTTCTCATCAAATTTCCATAGCCTCCACCAGAAATATGTCCACCAGCTCCTAAAGTGAGCCCGATACCGGCTGGGAAGGCATGGACGTGACTTTCTTTAGCAACATTGTAGTACACTTCTCCCATTGTTGCTCCTGCCTGAACCAGTGCTGTCTCGTTTCTTATGTCAATCTGAATAGAATTAAGATCAAACATGTCAAGAACAATGAAGGGAACTTGTGAGACATACGAAAGGCCTTCGTAATCGTGGCCTCCACTTCGAATACGAATCTGCAGGCCATGGGACTTGGCACATATTATTGTGGCCTGAACATGTGATGGATTTTGAGCAGCTACGATGGCCAGAGGTTTTGGTGTTGTGGGTGTTGTGTATCTACGGTTAGATGTACGATTGAGCAAGAGAGATGTGAATAAGCGATTGTCTGGTGTAAAAATCAGTGAAGAGATTGGAGTAGAGGATTGGGAAATATGGTTTGGAAAACATTGAAGGAAGTTATCAAGGGATGAGGAATCTGAAGTTGCGTGAACAATTGATAGCAAAATTGTTATGATCGCTATGGGAAGGGAAGATAGTTTCATTGCTTTTGAGATGAAGGGAAGTACTTAATTATGAGTTTTAGTGCATTTGAATTGTGGAAACAGAGCTATTTATAGTAAATGTTGTCTTGAATTGGGGAGATGATTAAATGTTTAGGATTCTGCAGAGAAAGCCATAATTAGGTGAATAATTCAGACACATCGTTTGGAAACAATGAATCTTTTTTTTATTTGACTTGATTTTTATTTTATCAATGGCCTGTTAATTTCTATGGGCACTATGCATTTCTAGAATTATTTTTATGATGATGTGGAAATAGATCTTCATATTTTCATTTTGCTAATAATAAGTTCGAATTAATATATCATGATTTTCTGTAAACGATATTTTTTTGGACTTTTGGGATGAAAAATTCACAAATTCGAGATAATTAAATTGAATAATAAATCAAGGTTTTCAAGTTTTTTGGAATATAACAATTGGTTTCTATAACAGTTTTTTTTGGGCCAATGACAGCTAAATAACATTGGAATTGGGCTAATAAGTTTTATGCTAAACAGTAGTTGTGTGTAAACAGATGTGTATGTAAACAATGTATAAATAGTGTAACAAAAGAAACAATATATAAATAATATTTTAATTCAGTTTTAAAGGGTGAGAGTCCAAGAAGACCCTTTTTTTTTTTTTCAAAAAATGCAGCTAGCACATTAATCAAATCTCAAATACAAAAATATACATGAACTTTTTAAAATAAAGCAAAAAAAAGTCATTTTGTTAATTCCTCTTAACGTATGTTTTTAGGGAAAATTTCACTGTAGGACCGCAGAAGACAATTAATCTCAAAGAGCCCTCAAAACTTTCTGAAACCTCACTGCAGGACCAAGGGGCCAATCTGATATTAATTCCACAAACAAAATGACGCCACTGCCCCTAGTAGAAACTTATTTCCTTGAGGGAACAAGTGCGGGAGAGCGTATTTGCAAGGGGAACTAGCCAATTTGCAGAATAAATACATATATTCACATGTAGAATCAGTCCGTTCACATGTGGACTGGTTCAGCTGAAGCATGTGTCCGTGAGGGAACAAGTGCGGGAGAGCGCATTTGCAAGGGGAACTAGCCAATTTGCAGAATAAATACATATATTCACACGTGGAATCAGTCCGTTCACATGTAGACTAGTTCACCTGATACATGCGTCCGTGAGGGAACAAGTGCGGGAGAGCGCATTTGCAAGGGGAACTAGCCAATTTGCAGAATAAATACATATATTCACACGTGGAATCAGTCCGTTCAAATGTGAACTGGTTTACCTAAAGCATGTGTCCGTGAGGGAACAAGTGCGGGAGATCGCATTTGCACGGGGAACTAGCTAATTTGCAGAAGAAATACATATATTCACACGTGGAATCAGTCCGTTTACATGTGGACTGGTTCACCTGATGCTAAGGGTAGTGGCGTCATTTCATTTGTGGAATTAATATCAGATTGGCCCCTTGGTCCTGCAGTGAGGTTTCAGAAAGTTTTAGGGGCTCTTTGAGATTAATTGTCTTGTGCGGTCCTACAGTGAAATTTTCCCATGTTTTTATTTTTTCAATACATGTTTTTGTATGTTGCAAAAACACTCATTATTTTTTTTTCAAGAAAGTGTCGTAGGAAGGTATAAAAGCACCTATATCATATTAATTCTACATATCATCTTCTTTGTCTTCTCCATAGTTACATTACTTCTAATTATTTTTAACATTTTTTAAAAAATGAATTTCTCTTGCTCTTGTTCAGATCTTCTTTGTCGGACAAGTTCTCCGGCACCTTCCTATACCAAGTCACTAGATATCGGGAGAATTTCGGGAGAATTATAACGAGGTTTTAACAAAGAAACATAATTACTAAAAATTCCTTATAACAAATTAGAAGTTGTTATTTTTCACTTTATAATTTGTCATTATAAGTTACTCAGTTATTATTGAGACTTTTTAGTAATTATATTCCTTTCTTAGGACTTTGTTGTAATCCTTCCTTAAATATTTTAGTATAATTATATGATATGATATTCAATATTAGTACGTTAGATTCGAAATAACTCTCTCAATGTGAATTTTGTGTCCAAAACATTTGAACTCTCAACGTTGGTAGAAAGAATTGAATTCTCTGCACTCAATTCAATCATTATATATTAATCCATTTGTTATTTTTTATTAGGAACGAATACATACTTTCTCATATCAAGAAAAGTAGGTAATTCCAGTTACAAAACTTTAAATATGTAATAAATATAAATTTTATTCCAGTAAGATATTGTCTGACATGTTTAAGGATTGGCAATCGGCTTATTATTATTCCTTCATAAAACCTTGTAATATGCTATAGGCAAACACTACTCTCAAGTCTAAACTCTTAAATACTGATCCAAAAAAATAGAAGTGGACATTATATTATATATTTTTTATTCATAAAATAAGGAAAAATATCATCAGTTTTGTAACTACAAGAACTGATGAGGCGGTATGCTCTGTTCATGTTTGAAGAAATTGTCTAAATCAACTTTGGTTTTCACATGAACTAATCTTTCAAAGTTGTCCTTAAAATATTCTCTCCCATAAGTGCTATTAGCAACATCTAAGCTCGTTGCATTACTAGGATTGGCCCCAACATCAAGATCTCTGTAGTTGAGGAAAGCCTCCCTCGGAGATTTCGAAACATATGGAGCCATGAATTCATGAAATGACCTTGAAAAGTTCATATAATGGTTACTTTCCTCATACCCTTCTTTCTTCCAGTAAGTATAGTATTGAATCAGGAACAAGTTTCCAGCTCTGTGAGGAAATGGGGTTTCTGATGGAGAAATCTCACTCATCTTTCCACCATAAGGATTCCATTGCATCCATAAGTTCTCACCTTCAATCATCAGCTTCCACATGGATTCTAATGCACTCTTTGGAATCGGCTCCTTAACGTAATCTGACTTACTTTTGAAGAACTGTGTTGGTTGTTTGTGCTTTACAAGTAACTCATCAGCTGAGGTCCCAATTGGGTAATCATACCAGAAGAGAGTTGAATTCACCCAGGGCATTTCAGTGCAATCATTTTCTTTTAGACCTAATTCTGGGAAGCTCTTCTTCATCAAAGGCATTAACCTATCAATTGTCCCTAAGAATTGGCCAATAAAAGAAACTCGTATTGTCTTCTTACCCTCTTGAGTTCCATTGCTGACTAATGGCATTACCCTTATGAACAGATCTTTATCTAATTCACTGGCAACGAGTTGCCATTTGTAAACAAGATCAGTCGCACCTTCTTCCAAAGTCTTCTTCACTCGGAACACAGTCACTTGTGGAGGCACAGAAACCAACTTGATCTTCCATGAAACGACAACCCCAAAACTCGCAGCCCCACCTCCTCTGATGGCCCAAAATAGATCTTCTCCCATTGTCTTCCTGTTGAGGATTCTGCCATTAACATCTACAAGTTCAGCATCAATGATATTATCAATGGAGAGACCATATTTTCTCATCAAATTTCCATAGCCTCCACCAGAAATGTGTCCACCAGCACCTAAGGTGAAGCAAACACCAGCAGGGAAGGCATGAACGTGACTTTCTTTGGCGATACTATAATAAACTTCACCCATTGTTGCTCCTGCCTGAACCAGCGCTGTCTCGTTTCTGACGTCAATCTGAATAGACTTAAGATTGAACATGTCAAGTAAAATGAAGGGAACTTGTGACACATACGAAAGGCCTTCATAATCGTGGCCTCCACTTCGAATCCGAATCTGCAGGCCATGAGACTTGGCACATATTACTGTGGCCTGAACGTGTGATGGATTTTGAGCAGCTACAATGGCTAGAGGTTTTGGTGTTGTGGGTGTTGTGTATCTGCGGTTAGATGTACGATTGAGCAAGAGAGATGTGAATGAGGAATCGCTTGGCGTAGAAATTACTGAAGAGATTGGAGTAGAGGATTGGGAAATATGGTCCGGGAAACATTGAAGAAAATTTTCCAGGGACGAAGAATCTGAAGTTGAGTGTACAACGAATAACAAAACTGCTAGAATCGCTATGGCAAGGGAAGGGAGTTTCATTGTTTTCATTTAGAAGAATATATCCTTGATTATGAATTTGAGTAGTGCATGCGAATTGTGGAAACTGAGGTATTTATAACTGAACGTAGAAATTGGGTCGATTGAAAACGATCATTTAGTCTGTTATGGGAGAGGGATTAAATGATTCACAGATTCTGCAGAAAGGCGTTAATTCAAGAATAAATCCTATTAATGGTTATGATATTACAAATCTTATATATTCTTTTGTTTAATTTCTATTTTGACCTGCGGTTCATTGATTTCCTTTGATGCTGCACGTTGTTTCTGGGAAATTATCTTTCCTATTGTGAGGAAAGAAATCTTCATATTCCCTTTTGCAGTTTTGCCAATGATTTGAATTATTATAAATCTAAGATTTTTCTATAATTGATGCATTGACTTTTGTGACCAAAACCTAAGTGAGGAAATTGCGGTGCAATTCGTATTATTACCCAAGGCGGTAGTAACAAGTAAGAAGACGTATTTGTGTTGGGCTCAAAAGAGGATAAGAGAGGCGAAGAATTTTAATAAAAGGAAAAAGAAGAGAAGAGAAAAGAAAAGCAGAATTTTAAATTCTTAATATTATCTTATTTGAATTAATAAGGGAAAAGAAAATAGTAGGAATTTTTTATGTTCCCGACATAAGATCAAAAAGGTAATATAAAGATATTAAAAGTTAATATTAGACATATTAATTAAAGCAAAATAAAATATTGTCTTTTCTTTCCAAATCTTCTAATTTGAGAGTGGAGGGTTATGAGGAGAGAGAAGGAAAAATCTTTTTAAAAAAATTTCATCTCCTAGAATTTTAGCAATCCAAAGAAAGAAAGGAGAGTACGTAAAATCCTACCTAGCCCCTCCCCTCCCTAGCTCTCCCCTCGTGCCAAACAAGCCTCGATTTACAATTAGGTTATTCATGTTTTAATTAAATGATTTTCCATTATCTCCCAAAAATCAGCCCTTTACTTCTCTTTTTATTTTTCCTTCCCAAGACTCTTTTGGGGCAATAATACCCAGTTATACGATATAATTTTTGGATATATATGGTACAATTTATAAGATACATTTAAAAAGGATGTCTGAATTTTTTTTTTTTTTGTCTCTATTGATTCCATGTTGAAAGTATCAGTGTTATTAAATTTTAAATTCAATATCTAAATATTAAAATTTATAATCAAGTCTTTACGATATAATTATTTTTTAATTTATTATATTTTATGATGTTTTTACCAATATTTTATCTTATATTTAAGACAAACTTGTAAATTACACGACCTAAACTAAGATAATAATTTAAAATATAATTTTAAAAGTAATTTTTCCCAAATTAAACACATTAATTTAGATAGGGTTGGACTCTATATTTTGCATGCACAAGCCTGGCCCATAGTTTTTTGGCCAAAAAAGAGTGCCAATATTAAAATTCACATTTCATTAGCCCGTCTTTAGATTGTTTAGGCCCATCAGATCATACCACATTTCCTTTTCTTCTTTATTACCTGCCAAGGCATTTGCTCAAAAAAATTTCTACTTATTGAATAAACTTTGAGAGTATCTGAATCTAAAGTTGATAAAGTTAAGCATAAAGTACTAATATTGTAAGTCATATATTTTTTAATGTATATGTAAATAAAAATAACGTGAAATAGTAGTATTTTGTATTTAATTGTCAATTTCAGAACATCACAACTTTAAAGGATTTATATTTACTAAATATTTTATACCATAAGAATGAAATTGAACATATCGAGGACAATTAAGAATATTTTTTTTGTCATCTTTCATTTAGGGGAAAAACTCACAGAGTCAACGTAAATACACAATTTCATATTTACGTAAGATTTAAAAAATGTTTAGTATTAGTTGAGTCAAATGGTATGGTCAATTAAGATTAAGAATATTTATAATATTTTCTCTGACATTTCTTAATATAATCATAGTCAGTAGTGAAGCATTGTTTCTTGAAGAATGGAGTCTGAGAGTCAACAATGCAATTGTATGTTATAAAAAAACTCATTGATCAGAACAATAGAAAATATTCAAAAAAAAAAAAAAAGAGGAATAGGGAGTAGTCCTTTTAATCTATCTATCTATATTTGTACAAGAATTACAGGGGATCTATGTGAATATTTATTATATAAATTTCCTAAATTCAAAGAATCATGAATGCATTAGGTCCCTCAATAAATTAGATTCATGAATAAGAGTATAGAATAAATTGATTCATGAAAATCATAATTAGATTCATTGAATTATGAGAGATGATGAACACACACACACAGACAATAGTATGCATCCATAACAGCCGTTTTACCTTTTGACTTAATTAATTATTACCTACTCTATGCTAGACCATTTCCTTCAACTTTAATTTGACTCCAATATTAATTAAATGTTCTTCAGGCCATAAACAACAAATTAAAGGGCGCTGTTTAGGTTTCTTTGCTCGAAATTTTAATAAAACACCTTTGGTCCTTGAAAATAAAATCAAATTATATAACTGCCCTTCTCCTAACATGTTCCATGTTAAATTTTGAAAAATATGTACATTTCCTAGAACGTTCATCCATAATTAATGTGTGTGTGTCAGCAAAAGAATTCAAAGATATATATGAGACAGAAAGGAAATATAGGCAAAGGAGCCTCTAATCCCAATCTCTAATGGCCCAAGTACCAGATATATATATATATTTTTCATTTATAATTAGATTTTACATAAAATAAGTGATGTTTTAATATATTATGTACATGAAATAGTGTATGTACACATAATAAATTAAAATATCACTTGTTTTACTTAAAATGTGATAATTGATTAAAAAAAATACATCTGAGAACTTGGGACATTACAAATGACACGAGAGAATGGGATATTAGACATGGCTTGCCCTAAAATACTGGCGAATTTAACTTAAACGCACAATTCAAGATGTGACATGAATAACGAAACGATTGAAACTGAAAGAGTTGGGAACCAAACACTTAGAAAAAAGACCTACTCCAGCAAATTGCAAACAGTCAAACGCAAAATGACGAAACAGAAACATATGTCTCCATTACAAGTTTTAGTCCGCAACAACTCCAAAAGATAGCAGCGAAAATAAATGAGTCTTCTCAAGACTCATTTGATGGCCCCACAACCATTTTTGCACTGGATAGCTTAGTTCCTGCATTCATAACTTCAGCACGCAAAAGAACACAATAACTAAGTATATGAAACTCTTATAACCAACATCTTTGAAAACCAACAGAATTAACAAGCTTCGGACCCAGCTAGGTTCATTGGATTTGGCTTCTTTGCTGTGTAACAAATTAAAGAAGCTCACTTGGTGACGATCAGCATCGGTATTTTGTGTGTGTGTGTAGGGGGATTCTCTCTATGTCTCTTAAGTTTCTAAACTTCGGATACTAATTCCTTTTCTTACTACCCTCAGCAAACAAGTTGTGCGGCAGAGAAGCAGACGAGTTATGCAGTGCGTAGAAAGGGCAGAGTCAGTTTTTTTTTTATCAGCATATAAGAGAAGGCCATGTAATTGTGTGTTACCTTAGTGTTGAGATTCCCAAAAATTCTAATTCTTACACTTTGCAATATTCTTTCTTAGAGGGCGAAGTCTATATATATAGAGCTAGCTTGAAAAAGAACTAGACGAAATTAAAGCCGGATGAGTCGTACTCGTTGAAGGTGAAAAGTAAAACATAAGAAGTTGGTGAGCTTGGAAAAACCATCTTGTATTGCATGTATAGAACACTTATCCAATCATGATAAATTCTTTGTGGTCCTTCCTCTTCCTCTCTCTAAACTAAAAGCACTACTTCATACAATAAACTTTCCAATACTAGCTTATAACTAATAGATTTAATTAGCTTATGATTAGTTTGAAGCTAGTTATACAATACTATAAATTAAGATCCCGTTTGATATGAAGCATTGAGAATAAGTAATAGGGATTAAGATCACAATTGAAAAAAATTATTAAAATAATCATAAGTAATTATTTGTTATATGGGATTAAGCAAATTCATAGAAGTAAGATTGAAAAATACCACTCCCCCCATGATATTCCCTTATTCTACATATATGGGTTTGTCTAATATCATGTAATAAGCAATCTTTCATGCTAAACACTAATTTCTCAATCTCAATCCCTATCCCTATTCCTATTCCTCATTTTTAATGCTTCATATCAAACGTTACCTAATTGTCCATATTGATCTTTGTAATTCCAGAGAATTTTCAAAAGCACACGAGTCTATTATCTTCTGTTCTCTTGTTGTCTAAGGTTTTCCCAGACGTCTCTCTGTTTATATTGTCTCTTCTCGTAACCGTTGCATACAATGTATAATATCTATCAATATTAACACATCTATCTTGTACCAAATTGATTACATGCTGTTCCGGTTTAATTTGTTCACATAAATATACGAGCTAGTAGATTTGTCATTGCAAAATTTCTACATCTCAATTGCTTTCTGTTCTCACAATTCTCAGTCTAATTCTTTTTGGCTCTTGGTTCATGCAAGTTTCAAGCTAGCTAATTGTAATTGTACTCTATAACAAGCTAAAAATAAAGATTCATCTTCTTAACTTATACTGTACTACTATTTAGTTCTATTGTTTCATACAGATTGTGTAACTGCCTCAAAATTACTCCATAAAATTATGTCTTGCCGCAAGTTGAATTCACTATTTTATAGGCATCTACGTTTACTTAACCATATACCGATTCGTGTCCTTCAGGCATAGAGGTTATTTTATCCCCCAAAAAGAGTAAGCCATTTATGTATTCTTATAGTTTATCTCTTGGTTGATTAATAAGAAGTTATCGTATCAACAATATATAGGAACTCATGCATGCCTTCTATAGGTATATACTAAATCCTTACTAAGTAAACCAACATTCATTGATTTTATGATCTTTGATAGACATGCATTGCATTTTTTCCCCACGACATTAAATTCTTTAAATACAATGACTATTTTCCTTCTAAATTCAATTTCATTAAGTGATATTTTTATTTTCTATTTCAAACTATCCTTTTTTTCCCCTATGTATGTCTCTTACTCTTCATCTTTTTTACATCTGATCCCTGTCTTCTTGTTTATCGCTTATCCTTGTAGTTACTTATCACAACATTATCGAAAATAAATTTTCAAACAATTGATAAAAAGGGCCAAGATTTAGTAATTAAAAAAAAATCAAATTCAATCTACATAAAACATCTTATAAATAACGAACTAACAAAACAATCATAAAAACGTAGAATAACTCTAACCAAATAATTTAGATTAATAGGAAAAAAATTAAAAAATTGGCTGCAGAAAACTTACCCCTCTTTCTCCGCATAATTGCCAGCCTGGTCCTCATTGATCATAAGCTGTAGGCATTTGAAAACGACACAGAGGGCAAGTGTTGCGATTTTGTAACCAATTAATGATGCATTTGCCATGAAATAAGTGGGAGCATGGCAATCGAAGAACTTCTGAATCAATTGCAAAATCTTCAAAGCAAATTGTGCAGTTACCATATTTTCCCACACTGGTCCCTTCTATTTGCTCTACCTTCACCCTTTCCAACCCCTCAATGGCTGACTTGCACGCAGGGTCGGCTCTCAGAACTTCATCTTCATCATTCATTGATTCTTCCAAAATCCTACGAAGACGATATTCATACTGATAAATTAGAGTAGTATTTGTTATAACAACACGCATACCCATAATCCTGTGGTTCTTGTGCGTCACATTCGCCATGTGTTGGGCACAAGCCAAGATTTTTGCTGCACTACGAGGTCGATCATTCTCAGGAACATTAAAGTAAGACAAAAGCATATGTACCGACCGTTCTATGTCTTGCTTTCTGATATTTGAGAAACCACACTCAGTGGAATTAGTAAAACGGTCTACACCGATACCATCCCAAACAAGATAGCGTTTGCATTCGACCTCGATCTTAAAGTACTGTTCGCTTGAAGAAGATGAGATGAAATTGTCGGAAGAAATTATGGTGCTGGCGTCTGCGGGGTATACTTCACATGAATGTTCCATTTCCATGGTGTTAATGGAGCAAGAGGGGAGAGATTTGGAGCACTAAAGAAAGGGAAAACTACAGGGAGGGAGGGAAGGAGAGAGATATGGCAAAAATATCACTTGAAAAGAAAATGGGTTGGCTTTTAGTGTTGATACAAACTTATAGAAAGTAAGAAAAATAGGTATATGGGGATCATTTCTGTATATATACGGGTCCCACAATAGTTATGTAAAATGCGTTTGCATGTTGATATAAACTTATAAAAAGTTAAAAAAAAAAAAAAGATACGAGTATCATTTTTGTATATATGGGTCCCACAATATTGTTGTAGCTATATGGAATGCGTGTTGTGAGTCCCATGTCCTTTCACTTTACGAATTAACTTTTATAAAAATTAATTCAAACACAAATTACATTGCCCAATCTAACTTTTATCCAATCTCATTTTTTTAAAAGTTAGATTGAAAATAAGTTACTTTTTTTATTGCCAATCCAAACAGACTTGATATGTAAATCTATCTAGTTATGGAATATGATATAGAGGTCATATGAATAAATGTATTTTTTTTGGGGAAGGGGTGGAGGGTTAGTACACTCCTTCCTTAATTTCTTTACTTCGTTTTAATATTACCTACAATTTATTTATTTTTATTCATTAAACATTTAAGATACCTTAATGTCACCTATTTTTAACTTTTTGTTCCTTTATGATCTTTTAATTACTCTAATCTTTTCATGCAATATACTTCTCGAAAAATAATTAATGACAACCTCTTTTTTGAATTTAAATTTCATGGGCGCAATTTTATGTATTTTTTTTTCATATATAGTGTGTGAGTGTATATATGACTCTAGCTATGATCTCTCTCTCTCTGCCCGTCTCGATCGTCTTTTGTGCTTGTACTTCTTTTAGGAGCTTTGACGCTTGTACTTGCTAACTAGAGTAATTGTCACATCACGATCGATTTCTTCAGAAAAAGAAATATTTTTTATGAAATCGAAAACCTAATTAAATTCAACGACAAATCTTTTTTGACCAGCTAGTTCAAACGCTATTCTTTCTGGTCAAAAATAAACGTTCACCCTCTCGAAGTCCTCATTTCATTATTTACTTTGCAGGAAACAGCTCATAACCGTAAATGTAATGTGTTTTGACTGATACATTATTGTCGACATAACTCCTTTTCCAAACAGAATCTTGTGGTTCTTGTGATGAGTAGCGATGTTGTTCTATTGATGATTGCTTCCCTTGGAATAGTATTTGAGAAACCATACCTAAAAGCATCGAAATAATTTAAAGCACCATTCGAAATGAAAACTAAGGCATATTGATCGATGATGTCTAATTTGTTGAAAAGCTTTCATTAAAGTCTTCAGGATTCATGCCAGTTAAATATATGGAACAACCTAGGACGGGATATTTGGAACACTAGAAAAGAGAATGAACCACGTATACGAGGAAAGGTCTCAGACAGAGGAGCCATCCGAACAGAATGAGTTGGTGTCCATTCATGTATAGAACGCATGTTGCTATACACTTAGCCAAAGCAATGAAGATCGGCACACGATAGGCCGCATTTCTATGCATATGGATTCCACAAAGACACTGAGATACATATAAATCTCACCGTTCTATGTATTTGTCTTCTTTTTTTTCACGTAACTGCAAACGGTGTGTTGTGGGTCCCACCACCTTCTAATTTTCTTGGATGTATTTTTTTGGAAATATTAAAGGTTAACGCCCTCTAAGTTCTAACCGAAAATTTTTTAAAAAAATATACAGCATAAAATATCTTTTCATGATTTGGAGCTGAAAAAATATCTTATCATGATACACAGTAATAAAATAACTCATAAGAAATAATGTTTTGTTTCAAATTTTAAAAATTAATATGTTTTATAAAGGATATACATAATTTTATTGTTATTTTACTATTTGTTGATATGATTATTATTAATCAAAATTAAAGCAGCAAATGGTAAAAAAAATTAAAATTAAAGCGCACTAGATATGTAACTATCTTGTTATGTCTTCCTTTGATTTTCTGTCCAGCGTTCCCAATCTCTTTTTCTATATTATTAATCAATCACAAAGAGTAGATGGGGTGAGAACTAATTAATGACGCAGAAAAAATGGATTAAATTGATTCATTCAAATTTTAAATTTTTAAATTTTTTTAAAAGATTTATTAAACTTAAAAATACATGACAACGATCTCATTAAATATAAAATAAATATACCAATATTTTTATAAGATTAATCTTCGTTAATATTTCTTAAAAATTATTAAATTTTTATATATAAAATTAGAATTCTTTAAAAGTAAATTATCTCATACATTAATAATTATTTCTAATTTATATTATCAAAAATTATTTTCAAATTATATTAATAAAAATTTATTTTCACACGGGTGCCATACTCATCCGATACCCGTGCATTGCACAGGATCTGTACTAGTTTCTTATCAATAACGCAGTAATATACATTATTTTAGAATCTAGAAATCTTAAACATATAATTTGGATAATGAAAAACTTCAAATGGAAACCCAAAAAAAAAAAAAAAAAAGGATTCATCGTAACCCAGCTTATCATCTCTGTGTTGCATTATAAACCAGCTTCGTCTTCATTCATCATCTTCTGTAGGCATTTGAAATCGACACAGAGGACAAGTATTGCGATTATGCAGCCAGGTAGTGATGCATATCTTGTGAAATAAATGAAAGCAAGGCATACGAACAGCTTCAGAATCAGTTGAAAAATCTTCAAGACAAATTGCACAATTAAACTTTCCTTTTGAACTTCCTTCTTTTTGTTCGAAGTTTACCTTCTCTAATCCTTCAATCGATGACTCGCTTGCTGGAATAATTCTCATATCTTCATTTTCGTTCATCGATTCCTCTACAGCCCCATCATCATCATCATCAGCAGCAGCAGCATCATCATCATAGTAATGAACATGACTAGTATGGACTAAAACAATATACAAATCCAGAATCTGCTGGTTCTTGGGCGCCTCATTCACAATCTCTTCTGCACATCGCAAGATCTTTGCCGCCATGTGAGGTTGAGCATTTTCAGGAACATCAAAATAAGCAAAAACCATATATATGAATTGTTCTATGTTCTCCTTTGGGACCATTGTGACACCACATTCAATAGTATCGGTAGCAGCATCCATAATGACACCATTAGAAGCATAAAAGATTTTGCATTCAACCTCAATGCTAAAGTATTGATCAACTGAAGGTGATGATGAGATGAAATAATCGGCAGGAACAATGGTGTTGGAGTTTGTTGAATAAGATCCATTGGAGTATTCATCATGAGGATCCATGGCAATATAATATGGAACAAGAGGAGAGGTCTGGAACACTAAATAAAAGAGAGAGTCATTACAAGGAGAAGTAGATGAGTCCTTCAATGGCGTACATATGCTATAAACTTATATAAAGTAATAAAGATGGGCATGCGTGCCGTTTCTGTATATATGGGTCCCACAGAAACACTGAGATGCATATGAATCCTACCGTTTTATGTGTTTGTTTGTTTTGGTATAGCCGTATAAAACATGTGTTTGTGGACCCCTTTTGCCCTCTATTTCATGTGGATGTACCATCCTACAAGAAAGAGTGGGTGTCCAGTGTGTTGGCCAAAAAATATTAAAAAAAAAAAACAAGAGGGGGTTACACATAGGTGCATTTGTTAGAGAGAACCTAAGTATCATTTGTGTCACCAATATAACTCAAATAGTTTACAGGGCAACATTAATTGAATATCTTGTTTCAAATTCAACAATTCATAGATGGTGATTGGAAGTGAGGTGAGGGTCTTTTTGCACAAATTAAAACTTATTAGGCGACATGATATTTACTTTAATTTGGCAAAAATATTCAAGAACATTCAAAAAAGAAACAAGTAAAAGGAAAAAGAGAGAGATCCAAGGGAGAGTATGAAATAAAATGTAAAATCTATAATAGGCCAGTTGGCAAAAAAAAAAATTCTATAATAAGCCACAATTATTTACTAATTCATGAATACTGCAGTTATACGATGAATACTTTTTGTTTCATTATTTGGCATTTTGATTCAGATCACGATGTCATTTTTTATGTAAGTGCCAATGTATCTGCCGCAATTAGCAATTCCTTTTCAATATGTTGATGAAACGTATCATATTCTTGAAAATTAATGACAACCTTCCTTTTGAATTTAAATTTCGTTTCTATTTTTAATTTCTATGTGATGTTATATATATTATTCTATTTCTGTCTCTCATTCAATCTTTCTATTCTTTTATGCTTGTACTTGTTTGCAGTAATTATAGTATTATGGTTAAGTTTTTATCGAAATAAATTTTCTAGTAGTTGGTATCTTAATTGATAAAAAGAAATGAAATGTGGTAATTGAAAAATAATCAAATTTAAATTTCAGGAAACATGTCATCAATAACGCTGTAAAAAAAACAATATTTTAGAATATATAACTCTAAACATTTAATTTAGATCGGTTCCTCCTCAATCTCACCATTGTCATCAATAGCATGTTCATCATAGTGATGTTGGCATTGGCAATAACAATGTTATATGGGCTTGTTAAATAAGCTTCACTGAAGATCCTATATATGGAACAAGATGAGAGATTTAGAACACTAAAGAAAAGATAGAGCTACAAAAACAGATCCCAAAATAGAAGAGTAGTCCTCCAAGACAGAATGAGTTGGCATATGTGCAAAAAGCGCCATTTTTGCATATATGGATCTCACAGCAACACTAAAACGCATATGAATCCCATCGTTCTATGTATTTATCTTTCTTGAAGTAGCCGTATAAAACGTGTATTGTAGGCCCTCCTACCCTTGGTTTTTGTGTAAAGAGTAACGTACTATATCATCAATATATAATTTAAATAGTTGATGGGGCAGCATTAAATATTTTGTTTCAAATTTAATAGTTTTTAAATGTCAATTGGAAGTGATATGAGGGCCTTTTGCAGAGATCCAAAGTTATCAACTAAATCTGGCTAGCATAGGCATAGCATTGCCCTTCTTCATCGTCACCAGCAGACATTTGAAAATGAAACAAAGGATAAGTGTTGTGATTCTGAAACCAATTAGTAATCCAAAAAGCTTTAGGTAACAACTATAAGCACGTGCGACAGAAACAGTGAACAACTTCTTGAGAACTAATGGCGCAGTTATGCTTTTCTGTCATATATATGCGCTTCTTTTACTTCAACACACACACACACACACACACATTCACCCTCTCCAGTTCATTGATATTGGTGATTTATTTGCAAGAACCAGTTCAATATATAATTATTAGCCTGACTGATTGACATAACCACACTCAAACGCGTGGTTCTTATGAGTGATATACTGATATTGGCCATGTTTACTGCTAAAGCCAAATGTTTAAAATAACTGATAACAAGAGATAAAATCTAGTAATTGAAAACCAAACTCATTCATCAAATGACATGAAATGACTCATTAATAACGCAGTAAAAAGACGATACTTTAGAATCAAGAACTCTTAAACATGTAATTTGCATTAAGAAGAGCTTAATATTCTGAGACAACAGATTCATTGTAACCCAATTTATATTCTCTGTCTTCAATTGTCATTAGCTGTAGGCATTTGAAATCGACAAAGAGGACAAGTATTGCGAGTATGAAGCCAGCCAGTGATGCATTTTGTGTGAAACAAATGGGAGCAAGGCATACGAGTGGCTTCATTGTCGTTGGAGAAATCTTCAAAACAAATAGGACACTCACACTTCGCCATTGAGCTTCCTTCTTTCTGTTCAACAATCAACTTCTCCAATCCTTCAATGGATGACTCAGTTGCAGGATTGGTCAATCTCTGACTTTCATTTTCATCGTTCGTTATCGTCAAATCTTCATTTTGGGTGGCCGTCGTCGTCATTTGTTGCACAAACCTACCAATATCATCATGGACTTGTCTAATGTTTCTTTCTTGGTTCCTCATCAATTCCTCCATTAATGCATCAAAACCAACATGTCCATCGTCGGGGATATCAAGTTGATTGGCGGTTATAGGAAAAGAAGCCAACATATCGAAAATGTTAACCAAGTCATCACCTAAAGATGATGGGTTGATGACATGATTATCGGCAGATCTGTCGGCGGTATTGTTCAAATCACCTTCAGTGGGGTGTTGAGGATCCATGGCAATATGGAACAAGACAAGAGAGATTTGGAACACTAAAGAGAAGACTGAACTATATGGAGAGATTTAGAACACCAAAATGAGTTGGGATACATGTACAGGATGTATGTTGTACTTATAGACTTGTGAAAAGTAACGGAGTATCATTTCTGTATATATGAGGCCCACAAAAACAGTAAGATACATGAATCACACTGTTCTATGTATCTGACAAAAATATTTATGAAAATTAAAGAAAAAAAGAAGCAAGAGAAATAAGATACAAAGAAGAGCATAAAAATAAGGAAATTTAGTAGCCATAATATTAATTTTCAGATATCATTAATACAGTTCATTCACCAAGAATAGAGTTCATTCACCAAAATTTGTGTCATGCATGATGAGTCCATGTTGTCATAGAATAATAGGATTATCTTAATAAATGTATTCATGTAGTCTTTTAACTCTTTTTTTAATATTTTTTTCAAATGATTTCATTTTTATATTAATAAAACAATTAAGATAGTTATAAACTTATAATGCTATATATTTTAAATTCCTTGTCTGTTTTTGGGCTTTAAATTGAGGACATAATATCAATTTTTATGTAATTATCAATGTATCTGCCGCAACGCTTTCATAATATTTACATGCAGCGTATTAAATTCTTGAAAATTGATTACAAAACAACCTTCCCTTTGAATTTAAATTTTATAAGTGCTGTTGCAAAAAACATCATGTGCCATTTATTGAAAAAATCTAGTATAGATTATAAACTATATGCTAAAATAATGCTTGAATGCCCAATTATATTTTCAGAGAAAAAAATGATACAATAAAGTTGACTTTGTCTTTGCCGTTAAATCCTTTTTTTCCAAACCAAAAAAAAAAAAAACCCTTCAAGGTTAAAAGGACCCCAAAAAAAAATCGCTCATTTTGTCGCCTTCTTCCCTGTTTCCTAGTGTGGTCCGGCAGTAGGACATACAATGGGGACCAATAAGACAGCATCTCAGGGGAATGGATCTGCAAGTTAATTCTAAATTACAGAGTTGTTGTTTTAAATGGAATCGCTAGAAAATAATCATTCATGCACACACGTTTATTTTATATATATATATATATATAAATAATTGGTAATTGATTCAATGAAAGACAAGTGCATCATGATTTTTAAAGCTTTCAAGATTATATGATACTTTTCTGGTTCTAAATATAAGAAATATTTTGTAATAAAAATTACATTATAAAATGGTTTTTATGTTTAGGACCGGAGGGGTATCAATTTTTATGGGATTAAAATGACATGTTAAAGAGGATGCTTCTTTTTTTTTTCCCTCACGAATCATGAACTCATTGTTAGTATATGATTACATATCTAATAAAGGCATTAGGCTATCACCAATGGCCTTATTATTATATTTTAAATGAAAAATTACTCATAGATTTGAAATAAAAAACATTAAAGGATAGAGAAGTATCAGTGCTTTCAAATTTTTATAAATTTGACTAGTAAACTAAAGAAATTAAATTATAATCTATAAATACGCAAGTTTGACTTTTATATATATATATATATTTGTTGGGGTCACTATAAATTTAATTTTTTTTCCATGAGACTTATCAATAATTTGTTATTTTAAATTTAAAATATAGATATCTTCCTATTATAGACAATCCTATTTAAGGAACTGTCCAGTACTAAATGTGAACACCTTTTCTAATTGAAAGTTGAAAATTGATTTATCATATGTGAGAAACTAGCTCCTAATGCTAGACTTAATGCCATTGGTGGCGGGTTTGTTGTTTGTGCTTCAATTATACACTCAATTCATCGTTGAATTAGAGCTTGGTCTCCTTTACTAAAGAGCTTGGTCTTTTTCGTGTACATAAGGGTGTGTTTGGGTGACATCCCAAACCATGGTTTGGGGAATAAATCACCCAAACACTCATCCAAAAACCAAAATCATGGTTTTGGAAAAAGCAAAATTTTTTTGCTTTTGGAGAAAAAAGGGAGAGTGTGAGAGCTTATAGGATATGTATCTTGTTATTTTTTTTATAAACATATTTTTTATAAACATATTTAATCTTATATTTTATAAATATATATACATATTAATTATTTATTAATTATATTATCTTATGTATTATTAAATATGTTGGTAAAAAATATATTATTAACAATTTTATTCCTTCAAATTAAAATATATCATAAAATCTATTTTTTCTGTAATTATCATATTAACTTATGTCTTTTTTTTAGTAATTTGTATATATAAAAAATGTTTCTGATAACAACTATCCAAACACTCTCACTTCTCAAAATCACTTTTTCATAAAATCTATTCTTTTCAGAATCTATTTTTCAGAATTACTTTTTTAAACCACGGTTTGATTTCATCCAAACATATTCTAAGGGTGTGTTTGGATGACTTCAAACCGTGGTTTGGAAAAGTGATTCTGGAGAATAGATTCTGTGGAGAATAGATTCTGTGGAGAATAGATTCTGAGAAAAAGTGATTCTGAGAAGTGAGAGTGTTTGGATAGTTATTACCAGAAGTGCTTTTGACATGTGGAAATGACCAAAAAGGGTATAAGTTAATATGATAATTATATAAGGGATAGATTTTATGATTTATTTTGATTTGAAGAAATAAAATTGTTAATGAAATAATTTTTACTAACATAATTAATAATATATAAGATAATATAATTAATACATAATTAATATGTGTACATATATTTATAAAACATAATATTAAATGTTTATAGAAAAATGATTTTTTTTAGAACAGAAAAATATTAATTTTGTTTAAAGATTGTAAACGTGAAATCCCATAACATTTTTTCATAACTACTTTTTGTAATAACATACTACATGTATAATAACCTCTGATGTTTAATACAATTAATTAATTAATTGTCACCACACATATATATTCATAAAATATTAGAGTGAAAAATATTTTTAGAGAAGATGAATTATTTTGTTGCAAAATAGAATAAACACGTCTTAAAATAATTTATTAATTATTCAAGTAAGTAATAATTAGCTTGAGAATATAAGGCATAATATTAATAAGAGAAATATAAATAAAGAAGTGTCATAATCATTAAGATGATGCATCGATACAAAGCATTTGTAATAGGTTTTGTTTTTAACTACATATTACAATCTATGATAAAAGGAAATAAATAAGACATGACTACTATCCTCGTATTGAATTAACAAGTTCGTCTCTTATGCTGTCACGAACCTGAGCCATGTAAGATGAAGATTGAATTGATGAATGTATACGTGAAAATCTAACCCCATCATCATCATCTTCTGCATAAGTACCTTCTTCTTCCAACTGAACGAATCCAGGATCAGTAATAGATGTCGTTCTAATAAAATTATGTATAGCCATCGTTGCACAAACGATTTTAACTTGTGTTTCAAAATCATAAGATGGCATGTTTTGTAAGATTGCGAATTTTTTTTCCAAACTCCGAAAGTTCTTTCAATTGTACTCCTTAAACTTGAATGGAAATAATTAAAGATTTCATTGTCATTTTCAAACCCAGATGTCCTTCGAAAATCAGGCAAATGGTAACGCTCCCGTCTGTATGGGCCGAGATATCCATTCGGTGTTGGGTATCCAGCATCCACCAAATAATATTTTCCTATATAAAAAATGAAATTATTGTAAATTATGTTTCTATTGTTAAGCTAAATATAAAAAAAATATAGGAAATAAAAAAATACCTTCAGGTGGATGGGGAAAGTTCATTGAAGGAGTTGTGAGGGCATGATCAAATATCCGAGCATCATGTGCGCTACCTTCCCATCCGGCCAAGACAAAAGTAAAACACATGTCCCAATCACAAACCGCCATGACATTTTGTGACACTGTTCCTTTCCTAGAGATAAATTTAGTTTGATCTGTTGCACTGACAACGCAGGAAACATGTGTGCCATCAATTGCTCCAATAGCATGTTTAAAAAAAGGCCAGTATTTACCAAACCGAATTTTTGTATGAACATGCCGGAATGTTGGATCTTTTGGTTTGATATTAGACATGGCAAGTCTACAGCATGCCATTAGGACATTATGAAAATGTCTGCTAATTGTCTCCCCTGAATGTTGAAATCTTTCTTGCTGCATTCTGCTACTAAGTGCATGCCCAACGGTATGTAAAAACATTGCAACTGATTCATGTATCCCTATATTTTTAGTTTCTTTTAGACCATGTTGTTGCAATTGTTCCACCAGACTTAAGAACACATCCCGTTCCATCCTAAACATGTTATAACAACGACTGGAGTTGCCATCTAAAACATCCCTTACCCATATGCAGCCTGTATAAGCACTTGTATGCCGAGGCTCCTTACACAAGTTCAAAGTAGCGTATGCACCAACCAATGCTGCAACTTTGTTAACTCTTTTTTTCCGTCCCTTAGCATGCTCTTCCACATGTTTAATTTCATCATCCATATTCGTTTTATCCTGTGCACATACACATAAAGTTTAGAATTCCTACGTAGAAATTACGAAACATTTATAAAAGTTACAGAGTTGTCTGATTCATATAACAATCCACTGGTCACATAAAACATACACATATGGAACTGTCTAATATAATAAACAAGTCATAAATCCCTAGTAAAATGCTCTAAAATGAGTAGAAGCTGTTCCTTCTGATCCTTCAGAGCTGCATACATTTCTCGTGCATCCTGCCGTTCCATAAGGAGTTGTGTGCACCGTCTAAAGAAATCAGGATCACTGACAACTTCAGGAACTGTTTTCAGGTGAGACAGGACTCCCCTAATTGAAACCTCATAAGCACGCGCTTCTTCTTCCAACCTTCTAGCTTCTGCTCGTGAAATGACCTCATTTCCACGCTCGGCCTCAGAAATATTTGTTTCAGCAATCTTGCTAATTGCATCCGCTATTTTCATAGAGGGAGATGTGCGTTTCTTCTTGACTTCACTCTTCCTTCTGACCCCCAGTGAGCTACTAGGTCGACTCCTACCTCTGCTTGTACCCCCACCACTGGTATCCTGCCTCAATTCAGTGTTGCCTCCACTACCTCCACTATTATCATTGAAGTTCACTGTGTTAAATTCCCCACTTATACCAGTTGGTGCACCTAAAATTTCATCACTATCTCCGGACCCTTCTTCCAAATCTTCATTCGGTGTTCCTTCACTTGGAAGTGTCATGGAAGAAGGTGCCCATGCTTGTGGTCCAGTTGCAGCCACACTTCCAAATAGTTGAGTCAATTCATCCCTAAATTGAAGTCCTCTTTCTCTGAATTTTTCGTAGTTTGGAACTTCCTGCACATTAGACACCAATAATATCATAAAATATTCCAAAAACAGTAAATATACACAAAATTTTAACAAGTAGAGAAAATGTAAAATCAAAAGGTTCAATAATTACCCTTATTTTTCTCTCCCACCAATCATCAGTTGCACTGACAGTATTCCTTTCAGTATCCCATCCCAATCCTGTCTCACGAAGCAGCCTATCCCATGTCTGCCACTCCTTTCGTAGGGAATCATATTTATTCTTAAATTGAGATTTTTCATACACTCTTCCAGTTTTGGCAGTAAAGTTATCACTAAGAATATCCCAAGCTTTCTTTGTTAAGCTAGTACCTTTTCTTTCCCCTTGTTGCACAAGTTCAATGCAGAGGTCAATAAACACTTTTGTGGTTCGTAGGTCCCAGGAAGCTTTCACCGTATTCTTACGCATTATGCTATAGCACAATTATAGCTCTTCAGTCATCACAGGTTGATCAACTCAAAATCAATTGAAATAACACAAGAAAATTGTAATTTTAAATGGCCAGAAAAAATACACCCTTTCTATTCGGAACTTCATTATCTATTTTTGTTTAAAAATACTAACTTTTAAAACGTCAAAACTAACTAAATAATTATATATATATTTTTTCCTTTTCTTAACTATTGTACAAAGATGATTGAAAGACAAAATAATAAGATAAATCATATTTGAACCATCATGCACCATAAATCATATTGTACTCAACTTTTACAACAACTGTGTATTACAAATAATTTTCGAAAAAATTCGTTCATGTGTGTAATTAATACAAATATTCATGATGAATGTAATTATTGATTTGTCAACTGAAAATATAAAACACCAGCAATATAAACCTCTAACCAAAATACAAATCACTTCTTTCAATATATACACGGATTTGAGTTGTGATTCTATTTGTCCTGGCTCTCAAAAATTAGCCATAAATTTATCAAAGTCATTAATACAATAATTCATGACAACACATTCCTGCCTCACATTCCAAAAATAAAAGCAATGTCCCAATATATTGTTCGACTTCACAGGCTTCTTCTGGGCGAATTTGGACAGGAAAAAGGGATCCCACGCCAAGCAACCAGAGCAAAACGAATTTGCATTTTATATACCCAGTGGAATTCAATTCGCAGGCTTTATCGTCTCCAAAACAATATCACCAAATATATTCCCTGCCTCCAGAACCACATTCGTTTCATACAAAAATCAAGCAATAACCAGCAATCAAATTTTCGGTTTACCAAAGAGGAAAATACTGAAGCCAATCGTTCAAAATCAAGCAATAAACCAGCAATCAAGCAATAATATCTCATTCCTTCGATCAACATGCCAGTCATCAACAATTTCAAAAGCAAAAGTGGGAGGAAAATACTGAAGCCAATCGTTCAAAATCAAGCAATCAGCAATCAAGCAATAATATCTCATTCCTTCGATCAACATGCCAGTCATCAACAATTTCAAAAGCAAAAGTGGGAGGAAAATACTGAAGCCAATCGTTCGGTTTAACAGGGAAAATACTGAAGCCAGCGATAAATTTTTTTTTTTCACCGGAGATAGCTTACCTGACCAACGGCGACCTCACCAACCCGAGGACGAGTTGCCACGATCGGGCCTTCCACTGAGCTTTGCCCCTATCGACTTCGATGCGGAGGTGCAGCACTCAGAAGATGAGTGAAGATCGAAGGCCTGACTGGGCGAACTACCGAGGTAAGAGATCGGAGCAGGGCCGGCGAAAGAAGGGGGAAGAGCTCAGCTGATGAAGCTCAGAGACGAGCTGAGTGAAGATCGACGGCGAGCAGCGACGGCGAAGTGAAGATCGACGGTGAAGTGAAGATCGACGGTGGAATTCGGAGCAGCTCCACGAGAAGAGCGAACCGGCGAGTAGAGAAAGAGGCGAGCTTCCTCTGATGAAGGTGCGAGCAGAGCGAGCTTCCTCTGAGGATGAAGGCGCGAGCAGAGCGAGCTTCCTCTGAGGATGAAGGCGCGAGCGAAGCGGATGGCGCGACGAAGCGAGAAGAGCCTGAGGATGAAGGCGCGAGCGAAGCGGATGGCGCGACGAGAAAGCGAGAAGAGCCTGAGGATGAAGGAGCGGACGAAGCGGATGAAGGAGCGGGCGAAGTGTCGGTCAGGGTATTTTGGGATCAGAGGTTGCCTTCAATTATTAGAGCCAGGAAGCGAAAAATTTTGGCTTATGCTGAAACCATGGTTTCACCGGTGGAAACCATGGTTTCAGCCAGGACCACGGTTTGCAGCTGGAGCAGGGCTGTTTGGATGACTTCAGGAGCAAACCATGGTTTCAGCTTCCAAACCATGGTTTGCTTGGTCATCCAAACGCAGCCTAAATTCCTTAAGCGAAACGCGCTTTAATGGACCCACGTATCTCACTTGAATGGGCCTACATATCGTTAGATTCTCTCTCCCCCGTCCCCTACGCAAGGGCACTTTCTCTTCACCGCAAAGAAATCAAACACATTGGATTTTCTCCCCATGAGTCAGAATATCCACGTAGGGAGAAAGAGAGGATGAAAATTTTGGTGGTCCATAACATGTCTTTATTTCTCTCTCCATTTAGACTCCCTCTTCACACAAGAAAAACCCTTTTTTAATTTTCATGACAGAATTATTGATTTGATTCACATGATTTATACTCCGTTACATTGCAGTTCACTTTCTAAAACTTAACTTGATATAGTTCATTCTTTTATGTTCTAACTTTTGACCATATAAATATATAATCTCGGTGACTATTCATATGACTCAGTTAAAATTCAACGCTTGACAAGTTAGATATTTTTTTAAAAAAAGCAATACTTATATCAAGTTTCTTATATTCATTATGTCACATTTTCCAATCATACATGAGCATGTGTCCTATTTTTATGATATTAGTATTTAATTAAAAATTCAAATGAAACAAAAAAGAATACATGATCATGTGTATTTTGGAAAACTTAACATAATAAATATAAGGTACTTGAACAAAATTTTTTTCCTTTTTAAAAATGTAGAAAACAAATAATTAAATGACTAAAATTTAAGAAAACGAGTCCAATGACTTTAAAACTCAAAAACTGAATTCTAATTAAGTTAAAATTATAGACATTACTAATATCTCCCATCATTTTTTTTCTAGGTACGAGTATCTTTTTACTAGAAATAATCTTATTCGAAGTATTACAGATTACTAAATGTGGACATCTCTCTTAATAAAAATTCAAGCATTAGTTTGTTATATTAAAACAGATGATTTTTGTCATCGCTTCCTTTTACGAAAGTAACATGCGGAGGTCAAGGCCTAAATACTCAGAAGAAGAAACTGAAGGTGAAATCCATTAACTGCATCTTGCACTGATTTTTCAGGAGGAACGTGAAGCATCCCGTCTCTCATAAAAGTTAAGATCCCTATCTGCACAGTTATATATTATTAATTATTAGCCAAGCAATCAGGACAAAAATTGCCATCCCTGTGACCGAACAAACAATTACAAAAAAATAATTAGATTTTTTTTTCCATGTCACAAAGCTAGGGCATAAAAAGGTCGCTGTGCCTAGGATTCTCTGATTCAGCGAACCTGTTTGTATTTCTTGTTTTGTCGCCAGAACACTCTAAAGAGTTAAGTAAATAATGGTTTCAGCAAATCTGATCTTCAAAAAAGATAAATTTAGCTATCTTACTTCCACGATGAATTCTCTATAAGCAAACACCCCCCCCCGGGGGGAACTTTTTACACGAATGCTAAAATCTTGCATAAATCCACCTTCATGGTGTAGGAATCTTCTTAAAGCAAATACATTTCATTATCTCTCGCACAGTTTTTCATGGCCTTGTATTTGAAAAAAAGGATAAATTGAACCATCAGCATAAATATTAAAAGTCAACTCAAATTTATCATATGAACGGAAAGAATTCAAAACTCTCAAATGATATATCCGGGTGAGGAGCATTTCTGCCAATAATTGATGATCAAAATTTACGTTTGCCCCGATTTTTCCGCAGAGAATTTGCATGAGATAGATAGATCCTAGCTGTCTCCAGAAAACACCAGCTGTGTCCTTAACCGATAAAGTATCAAAATCACGGCCTTTTTTCAATCCTTTAATTATTCAAACCTTTTTTGCTCAATGCTCATGAAGCTTACTCAAAATCTCACATTCGTGAAGACTTACATCGGACAATCCCGAGCATTCTCTAGAACAATGTCAGCAATCATTTTTTGGGTGAGCTTTAGACTATCATTGACAAGATGCATGATGACAAAGCCATGAGTGATAGCTTACTCTGTCGGACCAGATTCCAAGTCCAAACTACACATATAATTCTTAAAGTTGCCTTCCAGAACTATCATTTTATTTAAAAAATTAAAAAGAATAAATCGCTTGGAAAGTTATTTGACAGATAGGTCATAGTTGTCTCACGCCCATAACAGCAGCTGGCTTCTCAACTAAGAAAACAAAAATTACAGCTTATAATCAATTTTTCCTCATAACACTTGTTGGGAACTGTTCACATAATAATCACTATTTCTTTGAAATAAACTCTATCGAAGCATAAGCTGTAGCTGCAATGATATATTCAGAAAAAATCAAGGAAAGAAATCCTTTAGGAAAAAAATTCCAGGAACAAGCTCAATATCATAAAAGTTGGAAACTAGAATCATTTATTAAGTACAAAGAGCATGCAGAATCAACTGTACACTCCCAAATTTATCAGACAAGAAGGGCCCCGCCTATTAGACTGCCCTCCAAACAAAATCCCCACAATCTCTCTCTCTCTGCCTATACACTGAAAGTCTGAAACATTATACACAGGCCAGAGCAACGCAACCTTCAAATGAAAGATTTGAAGATATGACCGGCTTGCAAAAGATTTCTTTTTAAGTGTAAAATCAGCTAAGAAGATCTGATCCAGGAGATCTTATCCTCTCCAGTGTATGCCTATTTAATCTACAAACAACAGATTCGACCTATCTATTTACATACACAGAATCTTAACTCCCTGATCCATCATTGCTCTAAGCAAATAAGGCAACTGAGATGTCGGACAGCTTCTTCCCACTTAGCCTTGACTTATATTTCCTCAATGGAGCATTTGGAGCTTCAATCTCTGGGATCTCATTTTCATCATCCAACTCAATTGAAGTTCGAAGAGCGAAAGTTTTCTTCTTCGGAGTACTGTATTCAAAATGCCATTGCTTCGCAATTAGAGCCTGAAATAGCAAGAAGTAGAAGTTACCAATCAGAACCACCAAAAACTAAATGAATCACAATGAGCAAGAACAAAGTTATTGATACTCACTGCTTCTTTTATTGTTTTCGAAACATGATAAAGCTGCTTCAAATCTTCATGATCAACCCCGCACAAAACCCTTATCTGCGATTTGTCAAGAAAACAGAGAAAATTTAGGCAACCCGTTACATAAATTAGAAATGCAATCAAACCCCGAGCTTGAACTGTTAATAATGATACTTACCAGAATGTCCTGAGGCAGGGCTTCGAGACGAGACTTTTCAGAGTTCAGAGTGAATGTCCCGCTACGCATTCTCTTCAACGGAGTCACTGAACTCGAGTCGAGGGGCGAAGTATCCACATTGGTTGAAACCACAATCCTCTTCCTGCTAAGTGATCGAGTATAACCGCCAAACCCTAGAGCCATATTCCCAAATGCCGATTTCACTCAAACAGAGCCAGAAGCAGAACACTAAAATTTCACCGAGTAAAAACCAAGCCGTTCCAATCTGCATTACCGAATTGACAATAATATTAATTATCAGAGACTTAACCACAAACCTAGAGCATAAATTCAAACTCAAAAAGGAGACTGTGAAATCCAATTTGGGGAAACAATTAATTGATTTCCTAAAACGACTTGACTCTTCCGGAGAGAAAATGGTAAGGAAATCTCGCAATAAATAAGACAGGATTCGAACCTGTTTCAGATGAGAGGTGCTGGATTGAATAGAGAGAGCTTCGACTTCTTCCTGTTGCCACAAGAGGGGAAACTAGAATCGCCTTCTTCAACTGCGCAAGTTGCGTCAAAAAGAAGAAGAAGGGCCCTTTATATTTCAATCCCAGCCAACAAATGACTGTTTTCTATTTATTTTCTTCTTTTTTATAAAAACGCGTGAGGAAATTACGGGAACTTTCCAAGAAAAAATCTTGGCCCAGGGTGTGTTTTACTGTACAGGGTTTATGTTTATCCTTATAGCTTTGGCGGTTAAAAAAAATGGAGTAAGGAGGGAGAAAAAAACTAGCCGTTGTAATGGGACACGTGGCGAGGACTGAGAGGGCGTATTGTGGAAGTGGGGCTGACGTGGTGGTTTGGTCGGTCTGAGTCGGCTTTGTCGGTAGCTTCTCGAACAAGTTCCGTGTACATGGACGTGCTATGGAGTAAAGATATGGTGACGGTGAAAGCGCGGGTGACAGAATGGAGATGCATTGTGGTTTCGACACGTGTAAAGACGACTGGGAATGAATAAAGTGGGTGAACAAAGATTAGGAGGGGCCGGTGGTGGCTTTAGTGGGCAGGCGGACCCAACTATGGTTTGACGGAGAATTCTATATAGACGGCTGGCGGCTGTTGCTAGTTTGGCATTGGCTTATACAGGTTTTACACGGTGCCTTATTTCGAATCCGAGGCTTATTTTGCCTTTTTATTTACCTTTTTTTTTTTTCCCTTTCATTTTAAGCAAAGCGGGTCAACCTTTGGCGGGGCCAAGTGAAATGGGTCAACCTGCGTCAAAGAGTGCAGAAGAATATTTAATATTACCGTGATGGAGTCGCACGAAGGGCGTATATTTTTCATGTTGGGAAAGGTGAGTTCATGGTCAAAGTGGGAGAGCTTTAAGATGTGAGATCCCTCTGTTATGGTAGGTGAATTTAAATAGTTTATTTTTTTATATTTTAATTCTCCTTCGTAATTGAGAATTTAGATTATGCAGGTTGGATTGGATTATGCTATGCTCAAAATTAATTTGTTAAATTTAATTAGATTTCATGAATCGGACCGATATGCCAAGTTTGTCTTGACCAATTAACAGCTGTTTTTTGGATCATGGAAATAACAGCTTTTGCTCAATCAAGCAAACTCCATAAAATTATCATCTATGGCCGAAAATTATATTGAGATGGATTATTTCAATATGAAACTTAAATAATCTATTAGGTACAGAGAGCAAGCAGAATCAAGGCTTGTGATGACTTATATATAAACAACTTTTTAATTATGGTTTACTAAATACAAAATAAATATATATAAAAATATTATTTTGATTTACGTGAAATGTTTTTGAATGTAAGTTCGAACAAGTCCTTAAAAAATATGTACTCTTGAATTTATCAGACTAGAAGGGTCTCGTAAAGATTACCCTCCAAACAAGATTATCAAGCAGGCAATGCATGCGTAATCTTCAAACGAAGGATTTGAAGATATGGCTGGCTAAATCTGCTCAAGTAAATCTCAGATCCTCCCGTATATATTCCTATTTAATCTAGAAACAATAGATTCAATCTATCTATTTTTATCTACACATAAACAATTCAAGCTTTCTGATCCATCAAACGCTTTCTTTCTTGGCCACTTATGTTCGTCCGGGGAAGCAAATAAGGCAACGGTAATGTTAGCTAGATTCCTCCCACTTAGCCTCGGCTCAAATTTCCTCAATGGAGCTAAGAAATTATATTCATCTTCCATCTCAATCGGAATTGAAAAAGCACTAGCATTCTTCTTTGGCGTGACAAACTCAAAATGAGATTGATTCGCAATAGCCTGAAATTACAATAACCAAAACTTACCAATTAGACTCATTAATTAATTAAAGACTAATTAAATCACAACTAACATGGACAGAACAGCGTTGTTGATACAATGATACTACTCACTGCTTCTTTTATTGCTTTGGATACGCGATACAGCTGCTCCAAATCTTCATGATCTACCCCACATAAGATCTTTACCTGCGATTTAGAAAGCAAAACAAAAAGGAAATTTCAAGCTATCCGTAGCAAAAAAAAAACACAATCAAACCTGGACTTGAATTGTTCATAGTACTTACCAGAATGTGCCGACAACTAACATGAACAGAACAGCGTTGTTTTGATACAATGATACTACTCACTGCTTCTTTTATTGCTTTGGATACGCGATACAGCTGCTCCAAATCTTCATGATCTACCCCACACAAGATCTTTACCTGCGATTTAGAAAGCAAAACAAAAAGGAAATTTCAAGCTATCCGTAGCAATAAAAAAACACAATCAAACCTGGACTTGAATTGTTCATAGTACTTACCAGAATGTGCCGAGGCAGATCCTCGAGACGAGACCTTCCACGATTCATCATACAGAGAGAGTATCGCTAGGTATTCTCTGCAATGGAGTCACAGAACTCGAATCTAGTGGAGAAGCTTCTCCATTGTCTGAAATCGCAATCCTCTTCCTGCTAAGTGATCGAATGCAATCCTCAAATCATTGTGCTGTATAAGCAAAGACCAATTCACTCTGAAGAATCAACAGCAGAGCGCTCAAATTTCTGCAAATTCGAGTCGTTCCAAGCTGCGATACCAGAAAATTATGGTGAGAAATTGATAGAGAATGGGAAGAAAATCGCAATCAATGAGACGGAATCCGAACTTGTTTTGGAATAGAGGTCCTAGTCTCGTAGATTCAAGAGCGAGAGAGATTCAATTTCTGCTTGCCGCGAGAGGGGAAAACCGAATCGCCTTGTATGCTACGCAAGTTGATTTAAAGGCGCAATTTGCTTTGCGCGGTAATTTTCACACTGAATAGCAATTTCGAATGAAGAATGAAATTTTAAATGAAAATAAGCTTTACAGAAATAGAATAATTACATATTGGATCCCTTAAAAAATATTATATTTGATATTTTATGGAATTTTCATTTTGAACTTATGCGGCTGCGACCTCTCAAATTTTTTTTGGCTCCAAAACTTTAAAGGCTTCAAAATGTATTTTGAAAATATAATTCTATTATCTATATTTAAATAAAATATAGATAATAGTAATAAATATTTGCTTAGAGTTCTTTGAAAGATTTATCATTTATTCATGACCACAAATAAAACATAATTATTACATGGCAGATTCAATGAAGGTCCATCTCCTTTCTGTATTTTGCATATATACGGTCAATTACATCAAAATTTTAAAATCAACCAAACAACAGCACACCAATATAATTAAGCGGCGAATATATATATATATATATATATATATATAAAATACAAACAAAAAAGGATTTTCTAACAACAACGAGACCCATTTTTTTAAAAATTTTTTAATGCAAAAAAATCCATATCAAAATTCACATTAAATTTTGACCACTGAGGATTGATGTGAATCAAGCCCTTAAACAAGATATTACTCCTAATTCTTAATATAAAAGCTACTTAGGGTTTATATCAAGGACACAAGGTACTTACTGACATCACACTCTCTGGTTGGACTAACACATAAGCTACTTGGGGTTTATATTAAGAACACAAGTTACTTGCTAACATCACACTCTCTGGTTGGACTAACACATGTTAGTGAGCTGATATGATTTTTCTTACTTCACAAGAGTTCTCATTTTGAATAATATCAAATTCATTTTTTTAACTGAAAATACCAAAATTGAATCGTAATCCATTCAATATTTTGAGAGTATATAAAAAATTCGAACATGTCCTAATCATTTTTTTCAGTGGGAATATATATGCTGGTGGTGGTACGTATGGTAGAATAGTTACGTTAAATCCTTCACTTAATTTTTTTTTCCTTTTTTTTTTTTGCGTGATTAAATTAAGGAAGTGTTTGATATGATAAAATCATTCATTATTTAAACATAAATCCCTTGAAACAGTCTAGATAAAGATAACTGGATTGTTCTGGCCAAAACTTGTGTATATATATCTCTCTCGTTGTTTGTCTGTGATATATATATAGAGAGAGAGGGGGGAAGGGGAAGAAAGAGAGAGAGAGAGAAAGACAAGATAGACTTAACAAGCAGTATTCAATATATAGCAAACTTTAACATTTATATCGTCGGCTTTTTTTTTTTTTTGGTTGAGTACAGTTTAAAATATTTGGAATTAATTAATATAATCGAGTAAAAGACTAGACTGACTTTTTTTTTTGTGTGACAAAAGACAAGATGGACTTATGTAGCAAGTAGCTGTTTCAGGCTTTTTTCTGGTAAATATCTATATTTTATGTTTGAAATACTTCTTAATTTTTTATTTACTATTGAGTTCTTTAGATTTTCAAATCTGATCAATTTTGTGAGCCAGTATGCACTGCTCCGTCCCAAAATCTAAATTTTTCTCTAAATTTTATTACCGTCTGAAAGTCTTATTTGATCCTAATATTTAGGGGGGATCAAATTCTTTTTTTACATGATTTATCCTTGCTTGTAATTAAATGTAAGAGAACCAATGCATCTTATAGAATTTGATGGAGATAACAGTGAAAATTAACGTAATTTTCTTATAAAATTTTTGTTGCGTGTGAAATTAGTTAAACCATGCATACATATCTACATATAGATATATATATATATATATATATATTTGTATATAGATCAGCGAGAAGAGAAAGTAATGTTCATAACAGAAACAGACATATATAAATATATAGGACAGCACAGTACAGTCAACACTCGACATAGCAGTACAGCACATATCACTGTCCTATTATATGTTTTCCTAATGATCATAACAACAACACTAAATAACCAGAAAAAGCACACACACTCTAAACCTTTCATTAATTAAACTGCATATTAAAACCCTTATATATCATTCCTTATTGATGAGACCTGTGAAGATGGAATGAAATCCCCACGAAAAGCAGCCCACCAGCTGTTTAATTCATTTCTTCTTGATCGATCAGTCTAAAACTTTGGGTGGGTTGGACACTTGCTTTGATCATTACGATGTTCGTACAAGAACATTTTGGCTGTTGGAGACACAGTCCAGGAGCGAAAGAGGTGGTTGTAGTATGTTGCATCAGCCGCTTGAACCAACGTCGTACGGTTGTTTCTGGGTAGAACGAAGACCATAGATTCCAGCTTCACAGACTTCTGAAGAAGAACTTTCACCAACTCTATTTCATACTCTGCAAACTTGAAACCTATGAGCTTCACGAACTTCAGCCGACTGAACTCATATGCGAAGTTGTCCAGCATAGGTTTCTCATGCAGTTTCCAGTACAATCCACATTCAAAATTGTAATTATTCAGCTACAAACCACAGTCCAACATGGATTAACACATCAAAACACTCAAGGACTCAATCAGAATAGAGATATCTCAGGATTTGGGTTGTCAGCTACTGCCTCATCTTTGTTACCCCTCTACTATTGTCTCTCAAATTTTCCCTACTTGCCAAATGTTTTTTCTTGTTTCTTTTTATCATTAAATTTTACATAAAATGGGTGAAATTTTGGTATCTTATAGGTGAAAAATGGTACTCTTTTCAATTTTTCAAGGGATTTATATCTAAATTAAAAATAAACTAAAACGATTTAGAGCACTTTCTTTGAAAAATCATAAAAAAAATTGAAAGCAGCATCATTTTTTCCCATAAAGTATTAAAATCCCATTCATTTTATGTAGAATCGAATGCTAAAAAGAAACAATAAAAAAAACATTTGGAAAGTAAGGGAAAATTGAGGAGAGATAAGACAGCCGGTACCCCAAATCCGATATCTCATTACTCAAAAGAATATTATATGCATAAAATATGGATATATATATATATATATATATGAATATTATGCATAGTTGTGAAATCATTTTGAGCGATCAAATTGATCAAATGAATTACTTTGGGTTGAGAACAATATTGATAGTAGTACTCACATCGATGAACAAGGTCTCCAAAGTTGGACAGCTTTTCAGAAACACAGCAATATCATATGGATTGCAAAAAATTCCTCCCTCCATGAATATCTGAAGTTCTCTCAGCCCCGCTAAGCAAAAAGGCGCTTCTTTATATTCTCCATTTCTCATCCTCGGCGCCAAAGGCTTTTAAAAACAAAACAAAATCTGTAATAAATGATCCAGTCGATCTAGCAAAACAATTATTATATGAAAAGAACTCAATAAAATATAGATCATATATGTTTATATACCTCAATAAAAGTGCTGGAGGTTGTGAGGACAGTGGCGTAAAAGAGGTCGATGACCAAACGATCCACCTTATGAGACAGCAAGTATCCTCTGGTAGGAAAAAATTTGAAGAAAGCCTCCTTCAATGGTAAAGCCTTTTTAAATTCGATTCTGATGACAGCCCCACGATAAAATATGGACCTAAGGCTTGGGACATCGATGTTAAGATCCTCCACGCTAGGGCAATAAGCAATTTTTAAGGTCTTAAAGTACCTACTGTCCCTCGCACATATATCCATAACCCTTATTCCTAAACATTCCGATAGCTCTAAAGTGTTGAGAAGCTTACAGTTTGATAACAAAGTTTTGAGTTCATTTTCAGTGAGGTTGATTCTTGAGAAGACAATAGTGTTTAGGAATTGCAGGCCAGTTAAGACCTGTGGCAGTTGGATTTCACAGTTGGTGAGCTTCAGGATCCGAAGTGTTTGGATGTCGAGAAAATGAGACTCGAGAAGAAAAGGCTGGGAAAATTGGAGTTCCAGTTCTTTGACTTGTTTGAGAGCACATATCCCAAGCCATTTCTCGATGAATGCTCCTACTCCCTGTGGATCGATGTGCAGGCAGAAAGCTTGGATTTCTGGAGCCTTATTGACATCGAAGACTCGTTCAATCAAATCCACGAGCTCTTGTTGATCAAATCTTGCAAATTCTGTGCCAAACAGCAACATTCGATTCAAATGCCAAGCATTCTTGAATCTGGTTGATACAGGACCCACCTGGACTGCTTCTTTGATGGGTAAGAAGGAAAATAAGTGATCATCATGCACAGTTTCATCAATCTCAATTTTTATTTTCTTCTGAGGTTGACGACTCATTTTGGGAATTTTCTCAATTCACATGAAAGGTACAGTAAGAGTGAAAAGGAAGTAGAGCTGAGAGAAACTATTTATACTCCCCCAGTGAGAAAAATTAGGGCTATGTTGGATTTTTTTCTTTTTCAAAAGATAATACCTGACTTTATTTGTCTGTTTAGAAAGAATTAATTACTTTTTGCAGATTTTCTGAGGTTGACGACTCATCATTTGGGAATTTTCTCAATTCACATGAAAGGTACAGTAAGAGTGAAAAGGAAGTAGAGCTGAGAGAAACTATTTATACTCCCCCAGTGAGAAAAATTAGGGCTATGTTGGATATTTTTTTCTTTTTCAAAAGATAATACCTGACTTTATTTGTCTGTTTAGAAAGAATTAATTACTTTTTGCAGATTCATTGACCCTCTCTGAGGGTTATTAAAGGTTAAAAGGAAAAACCAATGGGGAATCTCCCTTATCTGACATTTCTGTGGACAAAGGAAATTGCTCAGTACATAGCATTCACACCAACATGTTTTTGTGTACACTGTACTGAATTTAAAATTAAAAAAAATGATTTGTATTACATTTGACTTATGAAGAGGGTAACTTTTGTTGTAGACTTAATTATATGTATTAATATTGCTCCCTCCCAATCTAAATATAAAAGCTACTTAGGAAACTTACTTTGTTTCAAATTATAATACCTCAATCCATTTTATATTTTAATTTTACAATTTTTCAAACTATTTATATTAATTACACCTGTTAAGCAGGCTTTTGTTAAAATGTAGTTCTAATGCAAATGATTAAAGACGATATTTTAAGAAAACCAGCATATTTTTAATAAATAACTAATTTAATTTTTTTTTAATCTCTCCACAAATTAGTTATACAGCTATTTGTTAGTATAAAAAGAAAAAGAAGGGTGGGGTTGTTTTGAGTTTTACTGAACCAGGGATCCATTTTAGTGTGGTGAAAATGAAAATTTATTTCGAAACTGGCTTGGGGTTTGTATGCGCCAAGATTTGCTAGAGAACGGATTATATGGTATATTTGCTTTAAAAAAAGAGGCTTTTCTTGTGTGAAATTTCATTTACGGCTTATTCTTTTTTACAATTGTATTAAATGCCTTTAGAACAGATGCAGAATCCAAAAAAATTATTGTGAATGAATTTTTATTTTTGGTCATGAATATTTACAGATAGACTGTATCTGGGAAGATGAAAAACAGCATAATTACTTAAAAAATTTGTTTAGTAATCTTGTTTGCTCGCACACAAGAAACTGAATTGTGTTTCTTGGGGGAAGAAAATTAAAGATGCAGCATGAAAATGTATATCCAAATTAAATTCTAGATTTAGGTCCTTTAATTTACTCCTTGGATTCTATATTATATATTGTTGTTCTAGAAAAAAGATAGGTGCTTTACTTGTATCTAGTTGAGTTTTCTTTTATGCAATTCTAAATTGTTCAGATCATAATTTTATCGACGGTGATTACTTGTGCTTTTTAAAGCCAGCAAATTTAAATCTTCGTTTAATTTGACGATCCTAGAAATGTTAGTTTCTGTTTCTTTCTATTTATTTAAGATATAGCTAGATTATTCATTCTTTTAGCATTAATAAATAGGCGGGTTCCATATTTTATCAAGTTTGATAAATAATCATACTATACATAATTTATAATAATATAATTTGATAAATAAATAATATTGATTATTTATAGCTACCATATGTGGTACAAAGCATTAAAAATAAAGAATAGGGATTGTGATTGATATTGAGAAAATAGTGTTCATAGGATTAGACAAATCTATATATATGAGATTGAGAAATATCATAGGAGAAAGTGGTATTCTTCAATCTTACTTTCATAGATTTGTCTAATCCTATGTAACAAACAATTATTCATATTAAAAAAATTAATAATTTTTTTAATTACAATCCTAGTTCGTATTCTTAATTTTCAATATTTCGTGTCAAAGAAAACCATACTTCACTTCACTTGCCAGCGCCTTAGAGGGGGAGAATTGAACATACCTCACCTCTTCCTTCACGATCTTTCTTTAGCATGTAAGTGAATTTATTTCGTTGGATAGTTTTATTACACAAGCCACTCATAAGAATTTGGCTCCCCAGTTGACAAATTCTAAAATTCTAATATCGAGCCTAGTTTGGCTTTTAACAAGTTTGATGGAATCCAAAACACATGAAAGATATAGATTTGGATCCTTAATTAATACTCCTCCGGCCCTTAATATAGAACCTAATTGTTGAGTTGGTTTTGGTTCTAAATAATAAAAATATAAGACCCATTTATCATATTTATCAATTTTTTGTAAATTACCCTTATGGATACTCCTGAGCCGTAATCAAGTAGAAGAAAAAGGGGGTATCAAAAAAGATGATTATGATGATTTTAGGAAAAACGTGTCACATTTCTTATAATTAACTAACTTACCTAACTTTCTTAATCTAATCAAATTAGTTGAATGGATCTTATATTAAGGATCGGAGGAGTAGATATTAACCATTAAATTACGATCTAATAGCATTAAAAAACTAGTTACAACTTTTTTAAAGATAGAATCAATACTCCTCTATTCTTATTTACCAAAAATCAAGAAAAACCTAGCTTATACATGAAATATGAGTAAAGCTGAAAAGTTATAAAATTTTAAAATAGAATTAATGAAATTAAGATTTTTCTTCATTTTGATCTAATATGTTGAAAGTTTCTTATAAATAAGATCAAATAAGTATTTTTCAATTAAGCCTCAAGCAAGAGATCCTTAATTGAGTATTAGGATAGTTAAACAAGATCAACTAAAGGTAAAGGCACCACAAATAAGAATACTTCAAATCTCATTAGGGTGTTTGAAATACCCAAAATCACTTGAGAAAGTGCTTTCCCACAAATTAAAACAAAACTACACTCATATACTTGTTTTGTATATCATAAAATAGTTTGATTTTCACTCAAAGAGGAAGACGAAGACGAAGACGAATAGTTCTCTTCACATCTTTGTCTCAGATGCTTCTTACTTATTAGCCGCATATGGGAGAAAAAGTCGCTATTATACTCACACACATCATTCCTTTCTTTCATTAATAGTCAATCTTCAATGATTAAGTAGTATTGATTTAATAATTCACATTTCAGTTGGCCTTGGCTTCTTTTAACACCAAAGCAGTGTGGCTCATTCAACATTTAATAAAATTACGGCCACTCTCTGTATGTACGATAGACAGTGAGTTTCTTTCGTCAAATTTATGATTTATCCCAAAAAAAAAGCTCCTTTTAGCATTCATCTTGCATTACTGTAGGAATATTTTATGAAAAAAATTACTCATAGGTCTTAAATAAAAAAATTAAATATAAATCGATCTCTTGAATTTTATTTAATATTAATAGGTTTCAAAGAATTTAATATCTACAATTTTAGCTTATAAACGACACAACGGTCAACTTGTACACATGAAAATTTGATTTTATAAACATGAATTTGTATTTGGCCCAAAAACAAAAACATTAATTTGTAAAATTGACTTGCAAATAATGCAACCCTGATGGCAAATAAAAAGTTTGACTTATAAATATTAATTTTTTTTGGGAACATATTAATATCAACGAACATATTTGTATTTAATACTTTTGTCTGTGACCTATGGTTAAATTTCCCATATTTGGTCGCCATCATCGCTCTGCATTGAATAATACAGTATGAAAATTTGAATACTTGCAGTTTAACAATGTTTTCGGTCCATGTCGAAAAGAGGGGCCCAGCAAGAACGACTTGATCCAATGTTTGTTCCCGAGTGGATTCTCAACGAGCCCATTTAGAGTCTCGATCCAATAATCAAAACTCTGTCAAAGTTTCTTTCAATTGTTGTGATTTTGTCATTTATTTTTCAATTATAATCATAGCACAAATGAATGAATAATCACATCGCCATCAGAACAAAAAATAATCCTTCAGATTATTTCTCACAGTAAATTTGTCAAGAGCTGATTAAAGATATATCAACAGGCAAAACCAGCACCCATAAGAGAATCAAATTATCGAATTCAAATAAAGTGATTTTGATTTATTTCTGGATATGCATGTTCTATAATTTAATGAGCATGGCATTCGAACAGTTTGATCTGACTGAGTCAGTCAGTTTACAGGGAAGAAGAAAGAAGTTTTGAAACTAAGAGTAAATCAGTATTTCTAGCCCAAATAGCAGGCTTTCTGGGACAATAAAATCTGAGAGCTCAAAGGATTCTTACCCAAGAGATCAACAGAATTAATCTTGTGAAGCCAATGAATGACCTGCACCACATCGCTATGAGCTTCTTAAATATGGGTCATTCTTGTAACTTGAATACAAGGGAAGATCAAGGGCTCTTTCAGCAATTCTGCGATCTTCATGAATCTTAGCCACCAGGCTTTCAAGGGATGGAAAATTGGCCTATCATTCATCGTTCTTGAAGTTCAGTGAAACTATGAGAGCAGGACTAGGACAAGCAATGACAAGAAGAACATTGAAAGTACCTCAGGACGTATATAACCAACGATAACAAGCCGCAGTTCTTCGCCATAGAAATCCTCATTAAAGTCATGAAGTAACCAGGGTTCCTACATCACAAGCGCACCATAAGAAAATTCTTAGGGAAAAAGGTAAAGATAGAGGTGGTGTGTTGATCTTGATCACAATGCACTTACTATAGTCTTTTCCTTGTTGTTGAAATATAGATTCCAGCCTATGCTCATGACCATTTTGTAAACACCTCTTGTAGATAATCCAGCCCACCCAAAATAAACACCCGCAGGATGTTCCATAAGGAGATCTGAGTAGCCTTCAGTTGACAAATTAGCTGGAAAATTCAGCGTGCCAAATACTATCAGTACATTAATTAATAAAAAGAAGTTTCAAGATAGTTTAATCCAAATGCTTCAGGGGGCAAATGAAAAAAAATCATGGTCTCAACAAGCACCCACAAAATAGAAGGGCTACAAGCATAAAACCTCTCAGGAGGATAGATTTAGTCGACAGTGTGCTTTTCCACTTGCTTTGTGTTGTAACATCATATTACACAATAGGCAACATGCATTGCTCCATTTCAATCCAGATATCCTAAGAAGACACGGACACCTCTAGAACAGAAAATTTTAAAGTGTTTTACACACCTGTAGGGATCCCCAGTACTTTTGAGCCACGACCAAATCCCTTGATAACAGGACCACCAATACGCCCAGGATCTATTGGCAAAGTACCCTCCACCCCTGCAAAAATTCAGAATACTAGCTCAAAAATGTGAATGACATATGGGGGGAAAAAAGGATTTTGGGAGGAGGGGGAAGGACAAAATGATCTTTCACATCCCAAATGTTATTGACAATTTCAACTGAACACCAAAAACTCTGATGTCTTCCTGAATCCTAATAAAATCCAATGTCGGAGGCAAGTACGGCTTGGAAGGGTGCAAGGGAAGAGGATGATGGCTCTTTCAATCTACAGGTTGTATGATGACTTTTGTAAGAAGATGAAGAGGTCAAACCTCTAGATAAGAAAGGTACTTGTCCCAAGAGGTAGAAGGCACCAAGAAAAGACAGGACAAAAGAAAGATAATACATATAAAAAGGACATTGTAAGGCCTTCGGATCTTACAATCTTCGAATGGAGGCAGACCCCACTTCTCAAGGTGTAAATCAAGCAGCGAATTGATCACCTCATCTGCAGCAGTGTAGAGATGGGACTGTTTAGGAAGTGATGGTACAGCAATTACTTCCATTCCAGCCGCTTTACCTGCAGTAACACCAGGTCTGGAGTAGCCAAATATAGAGGCACTTAGAAAAATATTGAAGAATAAAAACAATCCCTATAGAAACAACTTGGTATGAAATTCCTTTATGAAACTCTTGGCCAAAAAAAATCAAGCTCTCTTGAATAATCCCAGAGCAAAAGCCTAAAATGCGTAAAACACAACAACCACAATAGATCATATTAGAAAAGTTTCACCCAAAACATAATCAGAATTGAACAATTAAAATAAGCATGTCTATCATATTAACAGCAAAGATACACCACAGATAGTGCTGGAATAATTCTTCACAACAGGCTAAGCGTTCAACACAGGCACAGTCCTAGTTTCATATCCAGCACTTTACCTTATTGATTTGAAGACAGAAAATACATACATCTATCTATAGAGGGTTGGCCACAGAAAATAGCCACTGAAGACAAACAACCAAAAAAGAAGGAAAATAAATGAGAACTAAAGCAAAAGAGAAAATCATAATAAATAATAGCACACAGTAATTCAGGTTGACCAATTTTCCCCTGTTGAAATTATGAAAAACTCTAATAAGCAAACCAGAATACAATGTCTCTCAATATTCTATCACAAGCCCAAAATTTTATTGCACCCAGGTTTACAGTTTTCCCCTTTCTACCCCTCCAACCAAAAAAAAGAAAAAGAAAAAGAAAAAAAGCTATGCGAGTAAGAAATCAGAAACCACAAAAAAAAAAAAAACATTATTTGTCAGTCATGTCCTTTTGGCTGGCCAAGCCATCAACACAGAAGCATCCCTCAGCCAATAGGAGATTTATTTGACAGTCAAACATCTCACCTAAGCAGATCATCAACTTAAAGTCGTAATGACTAGGCTACAAATCCCAACCAAAACTACTGGGGGCAAGAGATTCTACCATAGTACTCCTCCGATCTTTAATTATAAGGAAGTTAAGTAAGTTAGTTAATTATAAGAAATATGACATGTTTTTTTTAAAATACCATAATCATCTTTCTTGATATCTTTCCTCTTTTACTTACTTGATTATGATTGAGAGAATATCTATAGGGGTAATTTAAAAAAAATTGATAAATATGAGAAATAGGTCTTATATTTAAAAACAAAGTTAACTTATCAATTAGGTCCTATATTAAGGACCGGAAGAGTAGTTTTTATTCCGGGGAGTGGGAGGATGGGACAAGTAAAGGTAATTTATATTATCAATATATTTTTCTTTCTTTTTTTTAATTTTGTTATTATTATTATTATTATTATTATGGTATGGACAACTGTCTTTAAACTCCTGGGAAGTGTAACTAAAATTTAAAAAATAATAATAATAATAATAATAAAACTATTCCAATCGAAAATGTACCTCTAAAAAAGGAGAGGAAGCAACAACAGGAAATCATTTGTGAAAATTAGTAGCAGGAAAAAAACCAAGGATAAAGCAACTTACAGAGAGTCCTCAATGACAAGACAGCTGGAATGCTCAACATTTAACCTCTTAGCAGCTTCAAGAAATCTGACACAATTAAGCATAACATTTGAGAGTTTATAAGAAAAATAATATGAGACAAATAATCCTCAATCTAATACACGAGAACAAAAAAGACTTCATTGTATCTCACATTTCAGGAGAAGGTTTCCCAGTTCTGACTTCATCTCCACCAAGTATAACAGAGAAAGAATTTTTCCATCCTACATGTAAACAAAGGAAAAATGATCATGAATACCCCCTCCCAAAAAAAAAAAAAATAGCACAATAAGATGAAGGATTTTAAATACAAATCAACCATCATGGTAAGATATTTTGGCTTCTATGCTTTCCCTTGGAGAGTTTGATGCCAAGGCCATTGGAACCCCATGATTCCTCAAATGTTTAATCAGCCGATTGGCACCAGGAAGTGCTTTGATGTTGCACCACACCTAAAATAAGAATAAAGAATGTTAGAATCGAAGAATTGATTGCAACAGATTTCCTAGCCGTTAGAATCTTATCACTAATTATATGCTCTTTCCTTAGTAACCTAGAATCATGGGATTAAATATAGATTATTACCCATTATTACCCATATTATTTCCATTTATATGATCAGATTTCATGCCCTCTGTAAGAAATCTGATCCCTATTTATGTAATATAGCAATCAGTGGAATAAGATACAGAAATATTCAGTTCTTTCCGATAAAGAAACTTGAAAGAAAAGGCACCTAATAGTGGGAAAACAAGTTTATCATTCATGTAAATGGATCTAGGGGCTAAACCACATCTTACATCTAGAAGCTATTGACAAAGAGCATAGCCCTTGAAAGCCTCTTTAATAGAAAACCACCAACTTTTATTATTATTATTTTAAAAAAAAGACTAATATAATTGATGTAATGGTCATAAAACTGGCAAATTCAAGCCTAAAAACATCTGCACCGAAAATTAAGTATATTTTTTGCACGGTATTTTTCCATTTTAGCTCAAGGTCAAGCTCCAGTTTAAGATACAGTAATTTTCACAGCAACAACATCAGAAGCTAAAAAAGGGCAAATTATAAACAAAGAGAAGAAAAGAATTTTAATGAAAACAAAGGTACAGCAGCATTACTTGAATCATACATAATGAAGTTTCGGAAGATATCCTAGCTTGTTCCAAAACATTTTCTTAGCTTGTCTAGATTTGCAAAAAATAAAATAAAATAAAATAAAATAAATAACCCTGGACAGGAGGGGCCAGTTACACCCACATATCGAACTGTTCCTAGGTGCAGAGAGTTAACTAATGAGAAAAATAATGGTATAAATCATCTGAACTGGGCTCTTTAGTGTATAGTTGTGAAAAAAAGGTCGCAAACTAAAGCACGTGAGATGGAAGAAAGGCTAGGCAAGATTGAACAGCAACTTGCAAAGCTGGATACAGCACATGCCACTTATTTGAAGAAGTTTGTAAACGGTAACTGGCAGCATCAAGCACCAAAAATTGGAAATACAAATTACATAATAATACCATATCTTTGGCCCATGAATGAAATGCACAGAAACAGTGGAATAACAGCTACATACTGATCAGAAAAAATTGGTGAAATTCCACAGAGAAATTCACTAGTTGAGCAAGGAAGACCATAATCTTCCACTATTGCGGCAGCCGCTTCAAATGGTGTCTTTCCTACTATCTTATGAGCTTCTCTTCCATCCCATTGCTTTCCATATTTACCTAGGAAAGCTTTTAAGACGTTGCCTACGATGCCATCTGTCATCATCAATCAATAATGAACTTGTGTTATTTAACAAGTGACAGAACACCAACAAGAAAAAAGCATCAATTTACTTGATTCTATGCCAACATCACTCGTGTAAAGAAACATGTAATCAACATAAGTCCTTATGAATTGTATGCTATGCCTCAATGTAAAGAATAGGACTTGATACTTTCTGCGAAATAAATTGTTTTAAGAACTTTAAATCAATAATTGCTTTGGGAGGAAGAAACCAGTAAACTGAAAGGATACCGCTTCAACACCCCTCCCTAAATGAAAAATAGGAAGAGGAAGAAGCTACCAAATCCAAGCATTGATCGCACAATGTAAGAATAATACAAGGACGTATATACAATTAAAATTAATAAGCAGTGATTGACCTGTGTTAAGCAAAGTGCCATCCAAATCAAGAATAACACCTCTTATTAATTTCTTCAAAGGCTCGGTCATAGACAATTTCTCAGCCATAAGACTATCTACTGCTGAGAGACAATGCTCCTATTGGAGGATCCTGAAACAGAAAAGAATCTAGATTAGTCAATGACAGTAGTATAACGAAACTTCTAAATTCCATACACAGGCCAATACTTCATATACAGGAAATTAGCCCACTTCACCGCGAACGAAAATTATCTTTCAAGCAGTCACATAATTATCCTTCACAATTCCATCATAAAAGCTGCACTAACAGAACCATATACATGTATAGTTTGTAAAACAAAGGGGGGGGGAGGGAGGGCAAAACAAAAAATGTAGACTAGTTTACCATGAGTGATAATCATGCATCTAAGTTCACACTGGTTAATAGGATTGCAATACAATCAGGGGAAGAAAGAATAGCCATGTTATCAAACAGGAGTTCCAACCCACAGTAAAAAAGCTATATGATGATTGCAGAACAGAAATTCTATACACTGCACAACAATGTTGCAAGTACCCTACGTCCTATAATCACTCAGATAGACGACGACACCAAAACAATTCAAAACATTGGTTGGTTGCAAATAAAACCGAGCATAGACAGAACTACTGACTTAAACGTCGAAATTGGCGAAGAAACACAGAAGTATGGTCCCGAAGCAACAAACATCATTAAGATTGAAAGCACGCACTGAAGGACCAGCAGGAAGTGCTAGAGGCAAGATTCCTATCAATCACGAGATTCCAATGCTGCGCGGTTTGTATTGAATTATGACCGACACAGAATATCACCTACCAGTAACACCCTTTCTGGTTGAGAGAGAGAGCCCTGAATGTGCAGCATATTCCATGGACGCTTCCGGATTCGTTGCCTGGAGGAATAAACAACCTCGATTTGGTTTCTTCTAATCACCTGCGACCAGCTGAAGTCAATCACAACCGTCCATCAAATACCATTTATTTGCCGGCGGCAGTTGGTTTCTCGTTCGTTGGTGTCTTTCCGAGTCAGAAGCACTCCAGCGGAGAAAATCCCCTTCGCCTTTTTATAAAAGGCCAAAAGCATGCACTACCCCTCAATTTTTTTTTAAAAGAAAAATAACATTAAAAAAATTAGAAATTACAATATTTTAATTCAGGTATTTAAGAGTTCAAAATTTGAGAAGAAGTGGTGTCTGATTTGATATTTTGTAAATATAGTCAAATAATTAAAATACCCTAATATCATTTTTTTTAAAAAAGCTATTAAATTTGTTATTGTCAATACATTTTTAGTAATTAATTGTTTAACACTTGTCATTTTTAGTTCACAATTTATTAGTAGATAACTTATCATTACCAATACATGTCTTGTCATTTGCTGTTCCATATATTTTATTACTAGTTTATAACTTGTTAATAAACATTTCGATACTAGAATATTTTTGTCATTTAACTATATTTGCAAAATATTCTATCGGGCATCACTTTCTTTCTTGAGATTTTGAAGTCTCAGATGCCTGAATTAGAATATTGCAATTGGAATTTTTAACTTCTTTTTATGTTTTTTTCCTTCTTTTTTTTAATTGGTTGCGTATGACTTCAAGTTCTAATTTTAAAAATTTTTATCATTTAAAAATACCAAACACCAGAATTGCTGATTCTTTCAAATAATGGTATGAGTGTATTAATTATTTATTTCATAAACAATTCTGTGTTGATTACATTCTAACGTAATTATAAGTTTTATAATCCTTTGTAATAAATATTAATTGTTTTATGTCCTCCAGGGTAACTAAACATAAAACCCCCTTATTTAACTGATTGATAAAAGCTGCCACATCACATTAAATAAATAAACATTAGGCAATTTGAAATGGATTTTCGTTCACTCAATTTATAATTTTATACTATTAATTGAAAATAAAATATTTACAGTAAAAAAATTATTTTATTGCTTTTTATAATAAATTATATGTTTATACATGAATATAAAATATTATATAATTCCCTATATTCAACAAAAACTTGATAAACATTTACAAAATGAAATCGAAAACCCTTTAGTATAAATAAATCAATTACAAATTAAAAACATTTAAAACTGAATAAATATAGAATTTTAACGGGACGTGAAAGCATAATTTATTATCCTTTTGTTTTGTTTTGCACCAAAAGCAAAAAAAAAAAAAAACTCCTTTCGATTATTATTAAAAAAAAGGGTTGAAAGAACAGCATTTTTCCTTGTGATAATTGCGGACCCATGACCAGACGTTCCGAACCAAAAATTACCCAATCCATTTTTTTTTTTACAAATTCAGGAAAAAAATGAATAGAGAAAAATATGTTAAAACATTTAATGGCAAGATTTACGTCCAATGCCGGTTTGATTCGTTATATCTATCCTATCATGGAAATTATTATCCTCGTGAAAAATAATACCCAACGCCCAAACTCGCAACATGATCAAATTATTATCCTCCATTTTGGCATGATCTAAAATGAAAGTAATATAATAAGAGCTAAGGGCACCAAAAAGACTGGCTAAAAAAAGACTACTGTGACTACAAGCTGTTAATAAAATGATAAGCAGTCTTGACCCCTTAAAAAAAAAAACACACACAAATTCAAATCTTAAAAAACACACTTATTGAAAGAACTTTATCGTTTTCGGCTCAACAAATGAGCCTCAAGCCAAGATAACTTAAACCTTTGAATTATACCAAAATTATATTGAAAAAACAAATAATAAAAGACGGCTATTGTGGCGATTGCAAACAATCTACTGTCAAACACCCATCAATCCAATCTATGGCCTAAAAGAACCCCCCACAGAACACACGTGCGCACGCGCAGATAAACAACCCATATAAACAACCCATCACATCAGTACATTGTAAGATTAATAACTCAAAATAGCCCAACAGTGAAGACGGCTTGAATTCCCCCCGAAAGAATAAAAGAAAGAAAAGAAAAGTGTCTTGAACGGAGGCCAATAGAGGTACCACTCAAACACAAATCCTCGTTGTCATCATCGTCAGGGATTATAAATCTTCGGTGTCCTGAGGAGGATACTGCAAGTGGCAGAAATGGATGGAAAGAGAAGCCATTCACCGTGTCTACAAAAGAAACAATCAGAAAAGCTCGTTAAGTTGGAAAATAGTACAGTAAGCCCCTGCTTTCAACCAGCTATAAAGTAGTCAAGTAGATATTTAACACGCTAACAAAGTTGTATATACGAATTAGTGCAGGAACAACAATAGAAGCTGTCGTGCAAATTTACACTTTTTTTTTGGGGGGGGGGGTTTGGGGATGCTCAATAAAATTAGGATGAAAGGTGTCAGCAAAAAAGTCATGAGACTAAAGCACTGTTACGATCTATATTTTTCACAGGAACATTCATTTAATTGGCAAAATCTTGAATGCCATAGTTCATTGTATGTCCACTATTTTACTAGACTGTAAAAATGAGAGATTCACAAATTGAGCATAACAAGGGAGAGCAACATGGGGATCAGAATTGAAAATGGGGATAGCATCAAAACTGAGCTACGCTGAGAGATTAAACGGACAGGCAATCAAGATGGTTTTGGAGATAGGATTGCATAACCATGAGGGAGAAATGTTATGCAATTAGTTAACGGAGATTCTTTGTTATTCCTTTGGCTGTTAATTCCGAGGAGTGAAGAGGTGAGCAGAGAAAACAATATAAAGATGGATCATTGCACAAGCAACAAGTTTGAGATCAAAGCCATTTGAGAAGACACAAAAGCTTACAGCCACTAGCATTCTTTAAGGATACAAGATTTCAGTACCTGATGCAGCTTGGAAACATGAAACCCATTGCCCAGTTTGAAGATCATAGATATGAACTAAGCCATTCTGACACCAAAACATGCAAAAATTATTTAGAACACCAAAACGGATTTCAAGGCAAAATTGTTGCTACATAATAGGAACAATTAACATGCTTTACCCTGACCACCTGTACCTAGATGCCGTCCAGAAGGCTCAATATCAAACAGTATCCGCTGATTGGTGTTTTCTGATGATCTTATAACCTAGTAACAAGGTCCATACATGCAGCCATCTCAGATTTCAACAGGTATTATAACAAAATAAATGAAAAATCTTAAACAAAAACACTATAATGTCAAGGAAAACCAATGCAGTTTAATAATTAATTTTTGGTTATCATGAGATACCAAACAAGCATATGTTCCCTGTTTAAAAAATACAGTCTAGATTGTGGTTGAATTTCATCAAGAAGTTTGGCATAACTTTCCTACATTCCCAATGATTCCGCATGTGATCGTGTACACTTGATAATCCCATACATATACCTCATAATTTTCTTGCATTCATATAAAACATACATACATATGCCACATTAAGTGTAGTTAGAGAATAGTACTTGTAGACACAATCAACGGTTTTGCGCACATCCCAGCAGAGTATATAAGGGTCCTTCAAGAAATGAGTGTTAGAAATAAGCCAATAGGATATAAGAAGCTAGAAAATGCTGACATAGAAAAAGCTATATTTGTCAGAGAATGTATGGTCAGAGGACCAATTATCTGTAACAAGAATACGATCTGCATAGTTGAAAAGAATTTTAGGCTGTGAGAGTTTGCAAATGGAAGTCGAAGCAAATGGCAATCAAATATAAACGACAATCAAAATTCAAATTTTGCAAATCAGGATAACATCTATAATCCATGCAAGTAATAATAAGAAACTATGTATTCATTTTCCACCTTCAAAAGCACTATCTTTAGCACCATGATTACAGATCGCATTTCTTTATTTCACCATCTTTAATTTTAAGCAGCAGCAAAGATTTCTCAAATTGAAATGGCATCTAAGACTCTACGATTGAAGATTATGAAAGGATTCAAGTGTTAAACTTGTATAATAATTTTATGCCGAATCAATATCCCATCATCCTACCAAGCACAGAAGTTTTATACTTCTCTATATTCACAAGCGAAACTAGCAGCCTCATAAATCAAAGAAATATTGGTAAGAGAGGTGAAACAAAATATATAATCTTGACAATATTGTTTAAAGATTTTCTTGAGATTATATTTGTGGTTCACTGTCTAAATATTTAAGATCAAACCCAAGGTAGGTACATCCCTACTTTACCTCAAATACCAAGGAACGTACAACGTAATGCACCACAAGAAAGAATTGAAAAGCAGAGCTTTGCCGTTGGAAAATAAAAGTCCCCGCTTTCTCCATCATATTTACTTAAGGAAATGCTAACTTACGAGAAAATACTTTCCTTGTTTATCCATAATGGAGGTATGAATTCAGACAACAATCAGCAAAAAAATAAAGCAAGTGTATTCGATGCTTTCACTCTATATTATATCTGGTGATGATTGGAATTCACTTTTTAAGGTTTAGTCATAAGCTCACGGTAACAGGATTGTTCTCAGAGCAATTAACTCTAAGAAGCACATTAACAAACATTCCAAGGATTATTTCTTCCGTAGCATTTTATTATCCTTAGTCTAGATAAAGTGAAAAAAGCAAAATAATTAAACATTACCTTCCGGCCTCCAGTGTATAAATAGTTTCCATCTCTGGCGAACTGGACCTGAATGAGGGGCAAGCTTTTGCTTACAATGTGATAATATCAAGAGAACCAGTCATTGACAAGGAATCTTGACTTACATGAGTAATCCCACCTTCTTGCCCATGCAAAACGTACAAGAGTTCCATGTTATCTTCCCTGTATATGGCAGTACTTTGATTGTATGAACCCATAGCTAGCATCCCCATATGAGATGGAGAGAAAGCCATCGCAGATATAATGCCTGAGTTAATGAAAATGGATTATAACTAATATTTTTAGCATTTCACCAGAAAATTTGTCCCAAATAATTGCCAAAAAATACACCAGTAGCTACAATTAGAAAACTTACCCATTTGGCCTTCTTTGTTATCTTTCACTGTAGAATGCAAATCAAAATCCCTGCCAGGGCGATGTAAATCAAACACCCTAATACATTTGTTGTATCCAGCAAATATCCTGCATGATGAAGCAAGAGCAATAGCTTTTAGTTCATCTAAGGACTACGATGCAAGCATTCATCTATCTACCAAGTCTGGGTATACACCAACAGGTGTGTGTGTGTGTGTGTGTGTGTACATAGATAGAGAGAGAGAGAGAGAGAGAGGAGAGAGAGAGAGAGAGAGAGAGACCAAATATTGTATGAAACTGGAAATTAAGACGACAAATCATAATTACAGGACAATTTTAAATGGAAAAATCCATGATGTTAATATTGTCATCTCAGTGGAGTAAGGCATGTATCTTTTGTTAACAGCATTGGTTTAAACTTTTAATTTTCTACGGAGGTTCATGAAAAGACTGATAAGCAAAAGAAATTACATATGTAATGACTCCGTAAAAACTATTGATCCTTGAAAAGAAATATCTTGCATGAAAAGACTGATAAGAAAAAGAAATTACATATGTAATGACTCCGTAAAAACTATTGATCCTTGAAAAGAAATATCTTGCATACTTAGTCCCAGCAGGGTTAAATGCAATCGAAAAGGCAGCAATGATTTCGTCCATAGCATCATAGGCTCTGTATGTGCAACGTAACTGCAAGTTTCAGTGAAAGCAGCAGTCAGAAAATATAATATCCATGACAATACAAAAACCAGTGTGGCTTCAATTGTGCTTGTCACATCAGTGAGGCCCTCTATTTTAAAATTAGTGAGTTAAATGGTAAAACTTCAATGTTCAACACTTGTTGAACACTTTCTAGATAGACATGATTCAAGCTGCTTGTTTGATTTTGTTGAGTGTTTAATTTTCTACGGAGGTTCATGAAAAGACTGATAAGCAAAAGAAATTACATATGTAATGACTCCGTAAAAACTATTGATCCTTGAAAAGAAATATCTTGCATGAAAAGACTGATAAGAAAAAGAAATTACATATGTAATGACTCCGTAAAAACTATTGATCCTTGAAAAGAAATATCTTGCATACTTAGTCCCAGCAGGGTTAAATGCAATCGAAAAGGCAGCAATGATTTCGTCCATAGCATCATAGGCTCTGTATGTGCAACGTAACTGCAAGTTTCAGTGAAAGCAGCAGTCAGAAAATATAATATCCATGACAATACAAAAACCAGTGTGGCTTCAATTGTGCTTGTCACATCAGTGAGGCCCTCTATTTTAAAATTAGTGAGTTAAATGGTAAAACTTCAATGTTCAACACTTGTTGAACACTTTCTAGATAGACATGATTCAAGCTGCTTGTTTGATTTTGTTGAGTGTCCTTGTGTATGCACATTTTTCACATGGTACGTTTGTGTGCAGTAACACAACATGATCATAAATTAACTGGCACATTACAAGACTCCTATCCTATTGAATAGATAATGATTTAAAATGACTCCCATCAGTGAGTATACCGGATAGCCTCTGTACTACACAGCAGAACATATTTTACAACAAAGGAAGGGAGGGGGGCAAAAAAAAAAAAAACAACAACAATGTCAACAAATGAATGGTTGGATGGAGTGCTGCACACAGAAGAGCAGAATATCCAAGTCCATCACAATAGTACCTGGCCTAAACTAGCATCCCATAGATGTATTGGATGGTCTCGGGTGGTAGTTGCAAAAACATTGGTCACCGGATCTGCAACATAACCAAACTTACTAGATATGTCAGTTGAAGATTGGAGAATGAATTTTAGTGTCCAGTAGAAACTGAAGTATACATATTCTCACGTTAAGAACATTCTATTGAAGCACCTGAGGCAGACATGTAGGGGTACCAACAATAATCATACACAGACTCTCCTTCAACCATGACTAGATTTGCAGCAAATGAATCTGCAGGCAAACAGTAATCATAACACAGTGTAATGCTCTTCAAAATTTAGAAGTTTAGTCAAATTTGAAATTGAAACTTTTAGGAGGGTTTACCATCTTCTGTAGCTACAGAATAAGGATCAGGAGGATTCCGCTTTCATTTTTCTGGTCTGTAAGAATACATACTACGTCATTACATGGTAATATGCTGATATTGAAACATACAGATACTAGGAATAATAAATAAATGCAATTGAAAAGGCGAAACACTCGAATCAAAGAATCCAAGCATTAAATGCTACAATCAATAAAAGCATCTGAACCATGTCATGACGAGGGGTTGACAGCAATATCAAACATCTGCACTCGTTACATTTCAATTTTCTTCAATATAAAACACACGAGCATAGTAGCATCTCATTGCATCCACTCTTACTTGGCAAAAAATAAAATTTGCATCCACTTTTACAAGCTAAATATCAAATTAAAAATGTGAAAAAGACGGAGCAGTTAAGCAGGCTTACAGTGTGAAAAGTCGGAGAGTATTATCGTCGGAACTCGTAAGAAAGGATGAACCATCAGGTGACTGAGAGCAAAAGGAAAAAGTAAAACAACAAAGCTCGCTTGCTTTTGCTCATGCAACAAATGGCGATAGCAAAGAGCGAGGGAACGTAAGAATGTGGTACCATTTAACGCCCTTGAGAAAATTGTTAGGGTTTGTAGGAGTCGCGAACTGTTGATGAAAATGGTAAATCCGCTGCGGAGGGACATTGAAGTTAAGCACAGGCCAGGAGTATTCTTGCCTGCTAGCTTCGGTACCTTCGTCGGCCAAACCGTGGTGAAGGTTCTCTTCTTCCATCATATCTCTCTCCTGCAAGAGCCGAAACGCCGATGCACAGACGAGTCTCGACTCCAACAGTGAACACTCAGTATGGCCGCCACGGTTCCCCGCTCAGCTTCCTTCTGGAACCCCGTCTAGCTGCGGCCACTGACCGGGAGGGGAAAGGGGGAAGAGTCAAAATAATAATCAATACAGCTATTCTTTTTCTGAAAAAAGACAGAAAAATGCTATTTTAACTTCAGAATGACCAGAACATCTGCTGAATTTGTAAAATACTATTTTGGTTATATGAGATTAAATTGGAATTATTATATCAAATGAAAAGACCAAATTGTCTTTTCTTTTAAATATTGTTTTAAAAGCATCACAGCCCCACTGGCCGGCTCCGGCGACCGGCAGACAATTGGTCACTGGAACTCCGTCAGTCGGAAAATTTTTTAAAAAATTTTTTTATAATTTCAGTATAATGGTAAACAAATTTTGTGACGCTATTAACAATTTCAATATAATAGTTAACAACAGGTTTTCTGAAAAATTCAACAAGTTCCGGCCGCCGGAAATAAATTTTTTGGAAATTTTTACAACTTCACTATAACATTTAACAACTTTTGTAACGCTATTAACAACTTCAGTATAACGGTTAACAACAGTTTTTTGGAAAAATTAATAATTAGACGTCGGAGCTCCGGCGGTCAGAAACAATTTTTTTGAAATTTTTACAACTTTAGTATAACGGTTAACAACTTTGTAACGTATTAACAACTTTAGTATAGCAATTAACAACAGGTTTTCTGAGAAATTCAACAAGTTCCGGTGTCAGGAAACAATTTTTTTGAAAATTTTTACAACTTCAGTATAATGATTAACAATTTGTAACGCTATTAACAACTTCAATATAGCGGTTAACAACAGGTTTTTGGGAAATTCAACAATTGGTCGCTAGAGCTCTGGCGACTAGAAACAATTTTTTAAAAAAAAAAAAATATAACTTCAGTATAACGGTTAACAATTTTTATAATGTTATTAACAACTTCAATATAGTAGTTAACAATAAGTTTTCACAAAATTCAAAAAGTAACATTTTTACAACTTCAATAATGTCGTTAAGAAGTTCTGTAACTCTATCAACAACTTTAGTATAGGATTTAACAATAGTTTTCTAAAAAAATTCGAAAAATGGCATTTTTATAACTTTAACAACTATGTTTGGAAAATTTTTACAATTTCAGTATAATGGTTAACAACTTTTGTATCTCTATAACAACTTTCATATAACAGTTAACAACAAGTTTTTGAGTTTGTTAACGGCATTACTAAAGTTGTAAAAATGTTATTTTTTGAATTTTCTGAAAAACCTGTTGTTAACCGCTATACTGAATTGTAATAACGTTACAAAAGTTGTTAACCGTTATACTGAAGTTGTAAAAATTTTCAAAAAAATTATTTCCGGACACCGGAGCTTGTTGAATTTTCCAAAAAACCTGTTGGTTAACTGCTATATTAAAGTTGTTAATAGCATTACAAAAGTTGTTAACCGTTATATTGAAGTTGTAAAAATTTTCAAGAAAATTATTTCCGATCGCCGGAGCTCCAGCATCCAATTATTGAATTTTCCCAAAAACCTGTTGTTAACCGGTATACTGAAGTTATTAATAGCGTTATAAAAGTTGTTAACTGTTACACTGAAGTTGTAAAAATTTTCAAAAAATTTATTTCCGGCTGCCAGAACTTGTTGAACTTTTCAATAAACCTGTTGTTAACTGTTATACTGAAGTTGTTAATAGTGGCACAAAAGTTATTAACCATTATACTGAAATTGTAAAAATTTTCAAAAAAAAAATTCTGACCGACGGAGTTCCGGTGACCAATTGTCGGCTGGTCGCCGAAGCTCCGTTAGTGGGACTGTAATACTTTAAAAACAATATTTAAAAGAAAAGGTAATTTGGTCTTTTCATTTGATATAATAATGCCAATTTGGTCTCATGTGACCAAAATGACATTTTGCAAATTCAGCAGATGTTCTGGTCATTCTGAAGTTAAAATAGTATTTTTCTGTCTTTTTCCCTTCTTTTTTTCAATCATTAATCAATAATCAATATATAAATATCATCAGTTATGTCTCAGCCAGGAAAATAATTGAAAGATATTATTACATGTATTTTTTTTTAAAGAAAATTACATTTTTTATAAGTTACGTGTATTGGGATTGTAAGTTCCATATAATATTGAAGAAATTGTATATAGTTATAATAAAATTCTGTACCGAACTTTTACCAAAAAAAAATTCAACATTAAATTAAGATTCTTTGACTGAGATGTTAAGCGATCTCACCCTCATAAAGAGATGAATATGAGTTTAAATCTTGATAAACACACTTATTAAGAAGTTTTAATCTTAATACTCCCCTACCCGATAGAAATTAATCCAAAAACCAAAGTAACTTGAGAATTGAAAAAAACTCTACATAAAAGCTACTAGTTTATAGTGCAAATTATACTATAAATTAGCTCTTAATTTATGTTAGAAATTAGTATTAGTTTATATTACCTCTGGTCCTTAATATAAAACCCTGTTTGACTTTTATTTTGGTCTTAAATATAATATCCCAATTTACTTTATCTCTCATATTTATACATTTTTTTTCAAAGTAACTATTCTAACAGTGATAGTTCTAGTCAATACACCTGATTAGTAAGGATATTTTAGGAAAGACAACACCTATTTAGGACAAATAATTAACTTAAATTAGTCAACTGGCTCTTATAATTAAGACCGGCGGTAGTATTTAATATCAAAGCTAATATGAATCTGTAAATAGTTTATTGTGCAAATTATACTGTAAAATAGCTCTTAATTTATGTTAGAAATTAGTATTAGTTTATATTTAATATCAAAGCTAATATGAATCTGTTCATATACATGCAAAAATCAGTTAAAATAAAGAATCCTGGTTGATAACCATATATTGAAAAACAAATCCTTGATTCCATTTAATTTACTATATCACTGTCATTTTTTTATTTTAGTGAAACAATACCCAGCTAGCTCCTAGGTAGTTTGTGGGAGCTGCTCAAATCATCATCACTTTATTTGTCAACTCTTGCGTAATGAGAAGGTTTTCAACATCATGGAGGATATGGTTTACATGGGGGAGAAGAACGGCATTGCCTTAATTAATTATTAAACATTGGCATTAACATTAAGCGAAGTAATTAGTGTATTCTTCACCGATATTATTTCTAATATGTCATCTTCCCTGCTTACCTTCCAGTTTTACAGATTATTTTTATAGATTCATTGAAGTTGTAATTCCAAATGCAGGAATAGAGTCCAGAAACCTCAAACATAATACACATTCATATAGATAATAAATTTCCAAGATACTCAAATACAAAATGTGACTGGAATGTAATGTTAACGCATTGCTGGAAGTTGTATTCTCTAGAAATTTGAGATTATACTTGAGATTACACGAGTTCACATAATAAGAGAAATCCAAATATAAAAGACGAGACTAGACATCTATCTGACTTTTATCCCAATTTCAGTTTGCGAGAGTTAATTGGAATAAAAGTCCCTTTTATTAACATTAATCCAAACACAGAACTCTAAGAGGTGAACAAATGAGAACGAGACCTACTACCCACATGTATAATATCCATCTAACTAACTAGTTTTTGTGGGAGCTGATCAATTAACTTTCCCAGCAATACACACCCATTGACCCACAAAAATTTGATTACAATTGATGTTGGGATTGATCTCAAGAAAGTGACCTGCTTCCAAGCTGAACATTTGAGCAATAGAGGAGCAAGTTTCATCCTTTTCCACTCCATGAATGCCAGTACACAGAACTGCAAAATTCATACAAGTTTAGAACTCATACCACAATCATATATTATGCATACTTATCTCAAGTAGTCCAACCACATTATCACTATGTAATATTGTATTGTGTGAATATATTGGATGTGGGTTTTTCTCATGTAAATTGGTTCTGATTGAGTTGTGTTTATATGAAATGATCATTCTAACATGTTTATGTCGATCGATAAATCGACCTCATGTTTTTAATTGTTGCATTTAAATAAATTAAGACCAGAGAAAAAATAGCCGAAGAAATTAAAAGATTGATCCAATCATATTATTGCTTGCCCAATTAAGATATTCTTCACTTACCTTGTGGTGTTGCGCCCCTGCTCTCAATAACGAGTGACATGGCAAGAAGGAATGAGAAAAGCAAGGCATAGCTGATGTGGGCAGACTTGGCCATTTAATTAATTTCTTCAACAAACTCACTCTTCAGTATATTTGTAACTCTACTTAATTAAGATGATGGGTTTAAAAGAGTGAAGAAGTTTGGTTTATATAGGAGAGGAGACCGGCCTCACCTTCATTAATTAATTGAACCGCGTCAATACTTCCCAAGTTCACAATCATATAAGTGAATACTAATGACATTGGAGAGTTCGTTAAACAACGTGGGAATAATAATATCCAACGATTATCTTGACCTTTTATATCCTTCTGCAAGCCGGCTTTCGCCTAACTTTGAACTTAATTACAAACCAAAGAAGTATATATAACTGATTAAGGAGAAATGTGGCTATTTAATTACTCCTCCGGTCCTTAATATAGGACCAAATTCTCAAGTTGGTTTTGGTCCTAAATATAAGACCCCTTTCTTATATTTATCAATTTTCTCTAAATTACCCCTATGAATACTCCCTCAACCATAATCAAGTAAAAGAGGGAGATGGGGTATTAAGAAAAATGATTATGGTGTTTTAGGAAAAATGTCTCACTTTTCTTATAATTAACTAACTTACCTAACTTCCTTAATCTAATCAAATTAGTTAAATGGGTCTTATATTAAGGACCGGAGGAGTATTATATAGGTTTAAATTCTTTAGTCATTTGTTATAAACCTATTTTCTATACGTTTGGAAAAAGACAGATTGTTGTGAAACTCCATTCGTTTTGTTTCTCACAATTTCTAATACAGCGTGGAAAATTTTCTCACTTGGCGTTGTACGTACACATGTATATGCATGCATGCAGAAAATTCTAAATTTACAGTCCATCCATTAACAAATTTATATTATTTATGTTTTTTTTTCCAACATAGGTATCTCTCTATTAAAGAAAATCTTAATCAAAGCACTATTGGATATTAAACGTCAGCACATCTTTTAATGGGAATTTAAACATTAGTTCGTCATATTGCAAAAGACTAATTCCTTCTACTCTACTTAAACCCTGCTAGTAAATTATTAATGCGTCACAGCAACATACATAGTTTTTTTTTTCTCGGTTTTACAAAAAGTTTAGGTGAGTTTGATCCTAATGGCGTATCAGGATTAGGGCATGCCTTTAGGATTATAAAACATTTACAAAAATACTTACAAATTACCCACTAACAAAGTTCTTATATCAATAGCGAGATTTGAACTCATAATTCTTATTGGTTGGTTAGAAAGCTAATTTCAAAATCACCATGAATGAACACGGGGCGGCCCACGTTTAGCTAGACAAAAAAAATGGGGGGGGGGAAGCTCATTTTTTATCTTACCCATATTAATTTCTAAACCTACTATCATCTTCTTTCATTCTTTTACATGTTTTACAAATTACTTTTGTATGTTTCAAAATGTATTGAAATTCTAATATATGCACGAGATTTTATTTGGTCGTGACAAACTTGGCGAAGGAATTCCCATGATAAACCTTGAATCATCAAAAGTAATCGACAATGTTGAGACATTATTATTGTAATTAGGTTTAGTGTTTTCACTTTTCAGATTTGGAGGTGTTTGGAAGCATCTAAAAGTGCTTCTCAGAAACATTTTTTCGCAAAACGAGACAAATTCTTCTACATATTTACTTTATATACTGTAAAAGCACTTTTTAAATCATGATTTGGTTTCTATCCAAACACCCTCTTAATTATCCATTATCAATTATAGTGTTAAAGGACGATAACACTGCAAGTACTATTTGCATTTACTAACTTGGATGCTCCTTAGGAAAAAAGGGTCAGTTCTATCTCCATGCAAATGAGTTTATAATGAATTATATTCTTGTATATGTTATATGAGCTTAATGCCCTTTCATGGTTAATGGTGTTGTAATTATTATGTTTAAGTGTGTCAAAGAAAACTAAAATTCTCACTTTTTCATGATACATAATCCACTTAATAATCTTATCCATGTAATATATTCTCTACTTAACAGGTCTTGTCACTTCAATAAATGCTTCCTATTCTTGTCATTTTATTTCTTCTTTCCCAAGCTAATGATAACTCATATCCTACTTGGCAATGTTGTCACTTTGCTAATTACTTTCTTATCCTACAGGCATCAATAGCCTATAAAAGGGGACTTGAGGCTCAACTTCATATGCTAACTCTTAAATTTTTTATCTTTACTCATTTCTTATCTACTTAATGCTGAGTTCACTATTTATATTTTCTGCTGTTCTATCACTCTGTTTTCTTGCAAGAAGAGTTTGTTTAATCACAAAGAGTGCCGCCTCTTATTATTATTATCATTCTAATTTGGTGTGGCGAAATAACTCCTAAAAATAGTGTTATTGGGCATGACTCGAACAATATTTTTGTTTGTTATTTTGACAGTTTTTTCCAACAAATGGATACGGTTTCTTCGTTTTGTTCAATCTTGTTTAATTACGAGAATATATAATGAAGCAATCTACGTACGGATGACAAATTAAGAAGACGACCATATTTATATATCACATTTCTTGATGTGAATTTATTCATACAAGCACATATTACGCTTGAAATTACAAAAGATAACAATAACAAAGTAACGATGATACGATCGACGATTAAGAAATTAACTTGGACCCATGGATGCCCCTTAGATTATCATATATTATTAATTATTGGCATCTTTATTCCCAGATGACGATGTAAATATACGTAGTACGTAGGTAGCTAATTTTGTGGGAGCGAGCTCAAGCCACTGTGCCAGCAACACAAACCCATTGACCCACAAAGATATGCTCACAGTTGATATTGGGATTGATCGAAAGGAAGTGAGGTAGGTCCAGCTTGAAACTTTGGGCGATGGAGCTGCAAGTTTCATCTTCTTCCACTCCATGAATGCTCGTACATGCTGCCACTGCAGCTACAAAAATTACAATTCATGCAAAGTTAGTTTGGAGTTCGAATTTACACCCCACCATGTTATTTTCTTCAAATTTAAACTACCATAAACTTGACCGTTACAAAATCCGAAATTATTGGTGGAGATAAATAAAAATACATTGAGAACTCAGTAATGAGATAATATATATAAATGAACTCGACATCACATGTTAATTCAGAAGTTTAAAACAACAATGAGTTTCTGGGTTATTCTACTTACATAATAACTTTGTGTATTAGATCAAGTTTACTCACACTTAACGTCCTAACCTCTCATTTGGCAGCTAGGGAGGAAGAGTTTTTTTTTTTTTTTTGGGGAAATGGAGACGGAGATAAAAGTGAATATGCATTATCCTATTAATATCTGAACTGGTATATAACCTCTTCTAAGACGTTATTTGGCAATGCATGAAAGAAAAATTCGTGACAGAATTCTGCTGCAATTTAATTATGTACCGGTTGGTTCCATCGCAAATAAGAGCAACAACACAGGATTTTTTGGCCAAGGAAAATTGCATAAATTCTATCACAAATTTTAAATTTTGTTGCGGAATATGGATTTATTGCATAAATGTTGACTTACCGTCAGTCGGAGTTGGTCTGCCCTCAGCAATGAAAACTGTGGCAAGAAGGAAGGAAAGAAGCAAAGCAAGGCCAACAATATGAGCAGACATAGCCATTCTGATTTATTCCTCACTATAAACTGGCCCTTCAATCTAGGTTTTTTTTTGTAAGCCAATTGTTAAGATGGTTTTTAATAGTGGAGGGTCTGGTTTATATAGGAGAGAGCACCGGCTTTACTGTAATTAATTTAATTACCTTGGTATTATAAATTAATAGCAGTATAACTTGCTAGCTAGTTCGTTAATGAATATATTTGACATTAATTAATTGAAGGGCTATGCTATACATCCAACATTGTGGCAATTGCAGGCTATAGCCGCACAATGATTGTGGTTTTTAATCTTTTCCTGCTCTCTCGGCAAGCCGGCTGCCGTGAAAACTTCGAACATTCGGGGAACAACAAAAAATTTGAACCTTAGCCTGTAGAATAATTTAACTTGAATTTTTTTTTGTTGGCGCAAGTATCTTTTTATTAGAAATAATTTTATTTAAAAGGACTAAATATAGGCATTTAAATCTTCGTTCACACATCATGGAGATTAGCTATTTCTGCTACACTCAACTCCTATAGATTAATTTAACTTGAATTATTATTATTAATGTATAGATAACAATAACTACATTCCAATGTCCCTAATTAAGCCCAAGCCCGAAGGCAGAAGGATCCCAGATTTTATATTGTGACATGAATTTATATGTTCATTAAAATATAACCCCAAGAATTATCTTCTTGATGGATTTAGCAGGAGTTGCATTTATTTTCATTATACGGATTTAAATTTTTGACTCATTTGTCATTAGAAAAGTCTCCTTTTTTTTAACTTCAGGAATAATCTGTACCAACAAGAAAGATATCTCTTTTTATCGAGAGTTAAAAAATAAATGTACATAGATCGTGATCCTAATTTTCAATCACTAATTTAAGTGATGAAAGCTTTTATTATTCACATCAACTTGGATTAGTTAAAAATACTGGTTTATCTTTTTAAATGTATAAAAAGGACATCAAATGAAAATCCTTTTTGAAAATATCTGCAGTTGTTGAGCAAGGCAAAAGAAGCTTGACATCTCCTAAACCAATTATGAGGGTAAATTAATAATTAAAATTTTAGCATAATTTCAATTAATAAAATTACTTATTTCAGAATCTTTAATAAAGTATTTTTACAGTATTAAAATTGAGCTAAAATACTTCCTCCTGATTAAAATATAAGCTAAACTTTATTCATTATGTTTATCAAGAAACTAATTAAAATCAATTTAAAATAATAAATGTATAAAGAATATATTTGTTTTTCTTAATATGCCCTTATTAATGAAGAAAATGAGTCAAAGATGTAATAAACGAATTAAAAAAGAAAGAGAATATATGGAAATAAAATTAAAAAAAAATATTAAATCCTTAGATAAAAGTGAATGTTATATGATAAAAAAAATCAATCTTTTAAAAAAAATTTAGCTTATATTTTGCACCACGAGAGTATAAATTTTAGAAATAAAAGCGTGGTTGGAGCAAATCAACTGAGAGTCGTTGGATGCGATTAACGTTTCAGATGCCCGCATTGTGGCGCCCTGCTGAGAGGGCATCCACTTCCGCCGGGAAATTAAACGCGGAAAAATCCCGCCATTCTTGATCGCCCACCCCAGCCCTCTAGCTAAGCCCTCCCGCTCTTCAGCTACTTTCCATCTACGTTTCTGTCTCCAGGTAATGAATTTATCTTCTACTTTCAGTTGTTTAATTTCTGAAGTCTCACAGGTTGCACCGCCTCACTGCCATCATGCTCATGATATCATTTCTCTGCTTACTGATTTCTTAGTGGATACCTTACTTTATAACATGAATTTATCTTTTTAGCGGCATTCAAAATTCACTCTGGTCAATTACCTCGTCTGGATTGATGACCCGGCAATAATAACCATAATAACGAGTCATTTCAAACAGAAATTTGGGTTCTAAACACTAGCAAAAGGGGGGAAATGAAATGAAGATATCTCTGTCCCCATGCTCACTCTACTGTCTTACCAGAACATCCTATCCAATATTTTAGTGCTTTTTGTAGCTTCAATGTAGTTCATTTATGGCTTCCAATGTACTGTTTATATCCAAAAATTGTGCACTTTAACTGTTTGATATAATGATTCAACCACGCTCCTTGATTCCATCAGCCACTTGGCGTGCAACTTCGTAGGTACATACCTTTATCTGTGTCTGCAGGCTGAAGTCGGGAGAAAAAAATGTGGGATAAGAAAAACCTACGATAAATTCGGCAATTGAGTTTGGTTTTCTGCTACTTACCTTTCAAATTGGCTTTCAATTTTATTAGATAAATGTATGGGTGGAATTCTGACTTAAGAAATCCAATTCGAAAGATTACCTTTATTACAGATATTTGATTATCGCATTTTAGTTTCTCCGTTTCTCTTTTATTCAAGGTTTTATATTTCCTGAACTCAGTGGTAGATATGGAAACCGATGAGTCATCTCGGGTGCTTCCTTTTCAGCTACAATTCGATAAGCCTGTTGCTTCCCAGGTTTTCTTTTTATCTTCCAACATGTTAGCTTGACTCTCTTCCTGCATTTTTTCTAATGTTTTATATTTGGCTCATAGATAAAAATTGCAGAGTGGAATCCAGAGAAGGACCTACTGGCCATGGTTACAGAGGACTCAAAGATCTTGCTACATCGTTTTAATTGGCAGAGATTGTGGACTATAGCACTAGGTGAGCACCCCTTCTTCAAACTTCATTTTGTTGATTCAGCTATAGTATTTTCTGACATGTCTGGTAGTGAAATGAGTTTCTTGACTACTGATTCTTTTTTCCCAGTGACAAGACTCATTGATTTTTGAGTTAGGGTATTATCACACTTCACACCAATTTGGCTCTAGTACGTTATTTATGTAGGATATGAAATCAATGTTGAAGACAAGATTGTTAAGCTTCTAAAGTGGTCCTTAAATATTCTTCCCCTTAGAATCAATCCTTGATGACATAATTTGCTTCTATTATTGTCATGTTTCCGATGAATTGCAAACTGTATAAAATTGCCTGGACATCAAACACTTGGTTCTGTGTTGCTCTAATTTTATATTTGGAATTTGAAATATTTGTTGAATATTAACTTTTGCTACAACTGCTAGCTTGTGTGATAGATTAGTGCCTTTCTTCCTGTAGGGAAGTGCATAACATCCTTGTGTTGGCGTCCTGATGGTAAAGCAATAGCTGTTGGAGTTGAAGATGGAACAGTGTCACTGCATGATGTTGAAGTGGGTAGCAGTTTTTGATTTTCTGATATGATTTTTTTTTTTCCTTACTCATTTGTTCCTCATTAGTTTGCTTATGCAGCTAAGGCTGTGTGATGAAGCTTTTATCTCATAAACTTCCTGAATATTAAAAAAAAAAAAAGCATTTCTGGAGGATTGAAGGAGTCCCTGGAATGGCTATTTTTGTTATGAAATATATCAGAGTAAATAAGCTATATGTACTGTCCCAAATAAGGCTTTGTTTCTTATTTCCCATTCTAGAGAGGTACATGATTCTGAGTCTCTTATTTCTCTGTACTTTTGACAATGATTGTAAGATATATGAAAAATGGTTAGTCTAACAAGTGATTAATGCTATAGTTTTTATTCCAATGACAAAAATCCAGTAGAAGCCCAAAGATTCAAAATGCTTGCATTTTGGTTGGTCTTTTTGTTGATTTTCCTAGGAAAATGTGATTATGCCTCAGAAATGTCTTGCTGATAGGGTAAGAGGAGCTGTTCTTTTTGTAGTGGTGCTTTTGACTATGTATAGTTTTGGAGTTTTTGGTCTTATTGTACTTTTATCCTAACAGAATGGGAAGTTGTTAAGAAGTTTAAAATCACATGGCGCTGCCGTCACATGTCTGAACTGGGGGGAAGACAGTCACCTCATTACAGTATGCTTCTTCCTGTCTAATGGCTGGTTTATGCTTTATTGATTGGTCTTTCCTGTCCACTAGAAAAAGAATGTTTCCATATGTACACTGAATCACTGATATCTATGAAATGTTATTAGTATTACGCAACAGCCATGTGTCAATGCTATGGAATTTATTTTCTCATGCAGTGGTCTGACTTTTGCTTGCATTGAATGAAACATAAAAATATGCTGGTTAGTATAGCTTGAGATGAGGAAAAAAAGAAAGAATCCAGCTATACAAAAGTAGCTGTGATAAAATATAATCTTTAACATCATATCACAGGTATTGTTATTGGATTAGTCAGTGACTTTGGTTTATGTTTCATATATTATTGGACTTGAAATTAAAGGATTTGAAGCACATAATTTGCGTAAGAATATATTTTTATGCCACGAAAAACAAAATACATTTTCCTGGTTTATTTGCTTTCGTGTTTTCTTTGACTGATAAAATTTGTCCAAACATACCTATTGAGGCATTGTTTTACCTTGAACTTGAACAGAAACTGTACTCAAGTGTGCCCAAGGGCCTTTTTTTTTATTAGTGTGCCTGTTATTTTACTTTCTCTTGGTGTGAGTTTTCTTTTTTTTGTAAGTATTCCCCACCATAAATTGTCTTTCAGAATGACTGTGGTCACATGGCAAAGTATGAAGATAGAACTCCTCGTTTCTTCCCTCCTGCTCCAAGTGTTCCTCGGATGCCTGGATTGGTATCTGGAGATAGTGGCTTCATGGAGGATGGTGAAGATTCATTTCAGGAGCTGTCAAATTCTTCTCATCGACGTTTTAATATCCTATGCAGCGGAGATCAAGATGGAAATATCTGTTTTACTATATTTGGCATCTTCCCCATAGGAAAAATTGTAAGTCACTGATTTTCCTGGTGTTTGTTTTTTTTTATGCATATTCGTATCTGACGCATGATAAGTTCAAAGAGTACAAATTCTGATCTCTGGTGTTTTTCTATCTGCCTATTTACTACTAACTCCCCCTCCGAACAATTTAATTTACATTTGAAAAACTTATCTTCAATTTCAAATATTGAAATTGACTGCTCAAGATTAAATGCTAAGTGTCACACCAGAGATAAATATAAAGTACATTATTCAACAACAACCAGAATACGTGCTTACTCCTATTTATCATAGAGGTGTAATGTAAGGTACTTCTGCAAGCTATATTCCGACTACCAGAAACTGACAGCACAATCATTGAGAAACTAGTAGCCAACTATTTATTCTCAACTGCTGATAACATTTCTGGCCCTCAAAACAGTTGATTAGGATAGTTTGTAGGGAGGTATGGGATAGCTGGGCTCAGCACAATAAGTGCAAATGCTCTTAAACTAGTGGTTGATTTCTTCACTAATCTAGGGCTGGTTTATGACATTTAACCTATCCGTGCATGTCAAACTTAGAAGTTTGATTTTACCCCAATATTATCCCCTTATTTTATATGAAAAAAGTTCATGCTATCTTGTGCAGGCTTTTGAGTTTAGAATGGATTGATCTAGGTAATGTTGACTGTTCTGTACTTGGGAAATCAATAACATGTAGCTGGTAGACTGATGATATATTCATTTTCTTTGCATGTGAGCTTCTTTCCCTTTATTTATAGCATGCTTAGTTTACAATATAATATACATTCTTGATAGTACTCTACAACTTTTACAAGACAATATTTTTTTTGGATAAATATTGTATGCTCCAACTAACTGCAGCTGAAAAAGAAACCACGGAAGCTATCAAAGTGCCCTATTCTGTTTATTTGTTTTTCATTCCATCATTCTGTTTTTTATTGCTGCTTAGTTCCCTTTTTACTTCGTCGTTCATTTAACTCTTATTTTTGGGTTAAATCCCCGTTGGTGTTTCAGAACATACACAACCTCACTTTTCCTGCTTCCTGTACGGGTGCAGAGGCAGCATACCAACTTTTAAATGCTTCTATTCACAAGGTAAACTCTTTTGTTTTGATTAGTAAATTTCTTTTCTCTCACCAAAGCAGGGGCAGCAGTGGGAAAGAACAAAACATAGTTTGATGCTTGACACTAGTTAGTATGATTCTTTAACAACATGAATAAGTATGGTCCACTTGGTGGAGATGAAAACAGATCACTTAATAATAACCATTGGAGTGAGATAATGAACTGTGCGAAGGAGACCAACCATTATGGTCTCTGTTCAAAATCCCGGTTCCTCTAGCATATTATGACCTATTGGATCTAATATTTCTGCTACCTGTTCTGCTTTTGCGCTATTTATGCTAGTCTTAAAGGAAGGAGATGGAATTTAGCTGCGTAACCCTTGTTTGAAAGATCAAAAGAGGGAGGGGAATGGAAAAGATAATAAGTTTGAAGTTTCGATAAAACACTTTTACATTTTAACCAATTCATAGTTTGGGTTTAAAATGGCAAAATATAGTCTGCGTTGCCCTTACTATCCCTTCCATTCCTTCCACCCCATGGGGGAAAACAGAAAGAAAAGAAAAAATTTTAGAGAAAAATGAGGTGAAAGTGGGATACCAACTTTGGCACATATTGATAAATAAAGAATAAAATTAACAGAATAATTGGAATAAACATATAGCTTAGCAATTTACATTTGGAATCTGATGTTACACATCTCCAGGCCTCTTTATCAAAAGATCTTTGCCGTTTGGTAGTCATGTGCTCAGGAGACCTTGTTGAAGTTAACAATGACTCAAGACAAATTCATATGGATGAAGATGTTCATGGCCTGCACTGCTTAGCATTAAATACTGCCATATTTTGGAATCGGTAATCTTTCTACTAAAGACAGGTTGTTCTACTAGTAAATTGATGTAAACTAAATTGTGTAATATAGAAACATATAAAGTCTTTCTCTTTATGCTTCTTTCTTTCTTTCTTTCTTTTTTTTGGTTGATTATATGACCTTTTACCCAGCACACATGAAGATGAAAGCGATCATCAATGCTTACTTAATAGAAGCCCTTTAGACTTTGACTCTCTCCATGATCTATTTGTGTAGGAAAAATGAGCTCCATCAGGTAGCTCAACAGGCTTCTAACATTGAGGACCTGACCGAGGTTGTACGGACATCAATATCAGTTATGTGTAAGCAGTGGTCTGATGCCATGCACACTTTTCGGGAGAAGTTCAATTCTTTATCATCCCTGATTATAGATCATGGTAACTGATTTAAAGTTTAAGGAAATATTTGTGCAAAATTCATAAATTCATTTGTTTCCACTCTACATCGTTCATGATAGGAATTGATTCAACCCCTCAAGAAGAGTTTCTGAGCCTTTTGGGTGGTGCAAGGACCAGTCCAGCAGTTCACCAATTTCTTGTCAACTCCCTTGGTGAAGTGGTACACAGATAGCCTTTTATTTGCTTCTTCAAAATTTGTCTGTAATTGTCATTTTTAGTCAGCATGTTACTGCTTTACAGGGTGTCAAGCGTGTTTCGAAGCTTCTCTGTGGTGCAGGAAAAGAACTTCAGCGTATTGTCTTGGACCATCTCCAGGTGCAAGTTCTTTTTCATTTGGCTTGTGTAGTAATAGCTACTGAATGTGTCACTGCTTGAACGCATATCTTATTGAAATCCTTATGCAGTAAACGGTTTGATACAGAATTCATTCCCAGTAATACTCTCTTATTAGTCTGATACTGTTAGAGATCAAAGGACCTCCTCTTTATAGTCTGGAGGAATCCTAACTAACTACTCTAATGGCTACTGCTATGCCATCAAGAAGTTGTTGGCTTGTTGCAATCCCTCCCCTTTTATTCTATTCTTAAAAGTTATTCTGTATCACAGTTCGAAAATTGATGTGCAGCTTTATAGCTAAATTCTGCAGTTTAGGTTCGAAGAGGTACAAAACCTTACAATTAGTAATTAATAAATCTGAATATAATTCTCAAAGCCCATGAGATCCTCGTTTTGTTTTCAAGTAGAACTAGGATTTAGAAACTTACATGTTGCAAATAAGAGATTTAAGGCCCACGTTATTATATTTGAGGTTAATAGGACCAACGTGAAATTGTTCATTGAGTCCAAATTCTTTTTGTTGTGAATGCGAGTGATGTTCATTAACAATCTCTTGTTTTAGAAATTCGATATTGTGATCTCCTGTAATTTAATTGTATAGCTTTCTTGACCTTCACCAGGTTGGCCAGTGTTTCTAACTTTTAATGTAAACCTGAACAAACACATACACTCACACGAACAGACAATAGAGTAAAATACTATAGATAACAGGAATTGGTTAACACGATGTTGTCTTTTTGGTACATTGAAATGGTTTTTATACAAATAAAAATGAGAATGGAATACAATTTTGAGGCCCAGAGTCACATTTGGCATGATATATAAAGGAATCAGAATGCCATTTTATTTTATACTTGGTTAGATGGAATAAATGGGGGAATGGAAAATAATGATAAAAATATGGCTGAAATACACTAAATTAAAAACTATTGTATATTTTAACCTTAATTAACTAAAAAATTGAATATTTTCAAATCTCAATTCCTAGCTCAAATGAATTAAATTACATCTTTATTATTAGGTTCTCCGATCAGAATTTGATAAGTGCATAGTCCTCTAATAATAAAATGACATATGATTTAATTGAAGAATGATACTATTTTTTCAAGAACTATATACTCGCCATGTTATTATTAAAAAAAAAAAATCCACCTTTTATATTTCAATTGGATAATTTGATAGTATTCAATATATAAGGATCTATAAGTTTTTCTTCAAGAAAATTGCAATAAAGCCCCACCCAAGAGAATTAAATACAAAAAAGTCTTTTAAAATCATCAAATTAATCTGAAGTCTGAAGGGACCTCACTGCAAGAAATTTCATTTGTCTAATTACTAACTTGCCTTTTTTTTTTTTTTTAAAAGAATACATTAACAATTGAAAGAGCAGTCGATTAACAATTTAAATGTAACGATTAAAAACTATCGCAGTAAATATTGACAACTCATACATTACATTTTTGTGATACGCTGAGAATATGTGTTATTAATACTTGTTGCAATAATTGTTAATCGTTATGCTTTAAGTTATTAATGACCGCTCTTTTAATTGTCAATGTATATTAAAAAAAAAAAAGATAAGGGTACGTTAGTAATTAAACAAGTAGAATCTCTTGCAATGAAGTCCCTTGGAACTTTAGATTAATGTGATGATTTCAAGAGACTTTTTTGTATTTAATTCTCTTGGGTGGGACCTTATTGCAATTTTCCCTTTGTCTTCTCCCAAATTCACCATACAACGTTATCTTTCTGTCTTGACCTCTTCAGTCTCACATTTTAGCTTCTAAAGCATGGCTCTCTTGAAGGTCCATTTGACATTTTACTCCTTGAATCTCTATACTAAGGCATACAGTTGTTTTTCTTTGCTTCATTGTAGATATTGTTTATATGTGGTTAGCTGCTTTAGGAATACTTTTATGTTAGGTATGTAGAGAGATTAAAGAGCATTCTTATGCTTATTTGCTCATCTTCTGTACTTTCTCCCACATTCTTTTATTAGCTTCGGCTCTAGGAGGATTCATTGTTCTCTGACTCAGTATTATTCCTCTCCCCCTCATAAAAGTAATTTGGTTGGGCGAAAAATTTGCGTCAATGCTACATACCAAAATGGTTCCAGCTATGTAGGCTGAAGAAGGCAATGAGCCCCAAACCTGTATTTTATCTCTTTCCTTTAACAACTGCCACTGCCACATGCCAGCCATATCCTGTGAAAATATGCTGCTACTTTTTGTTCTAAATAACTTGTATTCTAAATACAAGCTTTGCAAACAATTGTATTGTCGATGAAAACTAAGTGAAGCAGTACATGTGTCAGCCTGCTGCAGAAGTTATTGCCTTCAGGATGGGAGAACTAAGAGGGCTTTCAAGATGGCGCGCACGGTACTACAGCATTGGCTTGGATGAGTCTCTTCTTAACAATGCAACAGAAAAGGCTGGTATGCTACTTGTACAAGTTGAACGATTTATGAGGATTCTTTCATCTGTTGTGCAGCAGGTTCGCCATTTTTAAAATTATACATTTATCTTGAAGTTTAGCTTCAATCTTTCTAATGTATTTTTTATTGCTTTTAACGTTTTGATTTGTCATAAATTTTGTCACTAGTTGTTAACTACATATATATTGTGTGGTTACACTGAATTCTTTATTTGCTTCTACTGTTAAAGCATAGCATTCCCTTCTAAGTTCTGACAAATAATTAGAAGGAAAATTTTAGGAGACGCAAGAGTCATAGGAGGGAAGATGGAGGAAGAGGTGGAAAGAGATTTAATTGATCTCCATGATTCAGTCACTCATCAGATCTAGATTTCAGTTGCATGGATATTCTTGCCTACATCTAAAATTAGTCCAAACTTACTATGATGGGCAGGCAAGCATAACTGCCAAGTGGAAGTAACTCTTGTTTACATGTACTTTCTTGGGGCCAAAATATATTCTGTGGGATTAGAATCCTTAACACATGTCAAGTAGTTTTCTATATGAATAACAAGTCTCCAGAATAATAGGATAATGTAATAATTAAATATAATAATTCCATTATTAATTTATCATCTATAAATCCTCCATCTGTAATTCTTTATGACTAATCAAACTTCAACAATGAAATTAATACAACATATCCTAAACTCACACTGTTGTAGACTCTCAAGTCTAGCGCTCGTCAATTCATCTACTATACATAGCATCTCCTTCACATCCGTATGGTACTCTGACCACTGGATAAGAACAGTGGATAGGAACCAACACATGCTTAAATGCTTTTGATATTGGACGCGAAAACTTGGCTGACTGTTTTCAATAGTGTAACGGGGGGCAATTCTTACTTTTATTTAACTGGCCTCTATTAAATGTTAGGATACCATTTTATCAGGTTTTCGTACTAACTAGATATCCTTTCCCCATATGGTGTATGAGCGAAATAATAACTTGAAGGTTTCTCAGATATTATACTCATCTTTTTAGCATTTAAATTCTTATTGGAATTTTTGGTTTTTTTTTTTTTGGGGGGGGGGTGGACAAAGTTGTATGAAATGTGTCAAGTACAATTGAAAGAATTAAAAAAAAGGTTGCACAAAACCCAAGAAGAGCCACACTATTCATGGCTTGTGAATATTGATGATTCATATGTTGATTGCTCCGTTTTTATATGTCTTTGAAAAATTGATTGGATTATGACGCTCTGGCATCTCATCTACTCGGTCTCAATCCAATCTTTCTTCAATAAGTGTTGTGACCACATGCGTTAGCTATTAGTTACTCTGTACAAAGCCTACAGGTATTTGATGGGAAGAAGTCTATTACGCTTAAAACTTCTACTAGTCAGGAGAAACGATACTTTCTAGGTTGATAAATCCCTTCCCTACAAAACCATGAAACACACGCACATATTAATGTTTGAAAGCGATTTTCCTCGCGTATGAAGAGGATAGGATGGAGGAGAAATTTTGAACTTGGCTTCTACTGAAATGATTAAAGCAGAGCATGTTATGGTTTGATGTGTCTGAACAAAAACAATTTGGTGTGCATGCTGGCTCTTTTTTCCCCCCAAGAATCTTCTTTAGTATGCATATTTTGTTCATGGTTCATTTATAATTTTTTATAATTTTTCTTTTACCAGTTCTCAAACTTTTTCAACTGGCTCTTGAAATGTATAAAGTTACTCATGTCAGAACCTAGTGACCAGCTTCTACCATATAACAGGTTTGTTTTACAATCTCCTAATGTTCTGATTATAAAAGGTGTTATTTTTCTGACGTTACTTTTGAATTTGGCAGTGAACTTGTTGTAATATTCCTGAAATTTTTGTATGACCAAGATCCAGTTAGGCAATTGCTGGAGATATCAGAAACGGATTATGGTGTTGAAATTGATTTGTAAGTTTTTTCTTCCTTCAAATCGTATTCAACATTTAGTCCTAAATTATCGCCAGTTTCTGCTACAGTCGCATTCCATCTTTGCTTCATTAAAGCATTGGCTCATCCATAGCTTGTATACAGCTATAACAGAATTTTATATGATATTGGTGCCTGACTCTTGATATTTGTATTTTCCAGCATATTAGGCTTGGTTTTTATGCCGTACCTGCATTAAGAAAGTTGACACGTGGGAATTAGGAATGGTAAGGGGGTAAGAGGGTAGTTTGGGAATTTAGCATAGTATCTCTATAAATAGGGAATTGAAAGACGTATTCAGTGTCTAGTCAATGTACACATTTTTACTGTTTCGACTCCCTCTCTCTCCCTTTTTACTCTTGACAAATGTTTTTTTTTTTTTTTAAAAAAAAGGGAACTAAGTCTCCTATGAAAATTTAATTTCGTATCTCTGCTAGTCAGGTTTCAGACGATTGAAAGTGGATGGCTTCTTTATCCTTAAATATATGCATCCTTAAATATAATATGCACAGAAATGTGGGGTTATGATAACATACTTATTGGAATATGGATTTCTGATGTTGATCTGATTTTACCAATTTCTACAGGGAAACATTGGAAAGAGTTAGAGGGTTAGTTCAGTTTGGGGGATTTGCAGACTCCGAATATTTAAAAAGAACGTTGGCCAAAGAATTTCAACAGATGGAATTAAGGTATTATTTTCTTTCTTTTCTTCTCTTCTCTTTTTAAGTTTTTAGTTTACATTAGGAGAGTTTGCGGCCAGATGACTATATATACCCCTCCCTACCCTTACCATCTAAGCTAGCCTTCGCTAACTTGGAATTAAGGTATTATACTCCTCTTTCTATTACCCTCACCAATGATAATGATCAAGATACTAATGAGTTAAACAGCGTACTGGCCCATACTTTAGCTTTGGCGCATTGTTCTAGTTATTCTATTGTATTTATCAAAGTCTAATTGTGAATTTAATGTCTTTCAGCTTTAAAGAGGCTCTCCAAATGCCTTTTATTACAATTTCAGGAAAAATACTTTGTGAGGATTTGTTACCACTCTTACCTCTGTCATCTTTGCCAAAAGCATCTTCATCCGTTAGAATTCCTGCTTCAGTATCGTATTATGAGGTACATATTCGTGATAGAATCTCTTTAATAATATGAGTCTAGGTCATATAGGCCCTTTCTGGATCATCATATTTTACTTGGATTTCATTCCAATTTGTTGTCCTACATTATCAGTTACATCTCTCACTTATCTTTCTGTAGGATTTCTCCAAAGCTTCTTTGTCACATCAAACTTGTCAGCAGCAGTTTATTGATTACATATCTTTCAAAGTACCTGACGAGTCTTTCTCAGATATTAAGAATTGCATATGCATAGTGCGGGGGTTTATGCATGACCTGGAATATTTAAAAAGGGCCATGGTTCTTTGGAAGCTGTTTTGTTATGCATTCCTAGTGATTATCAATGCGTGGATCTGTCTTTGTATAAGGTGAAGTCCAGATAAAGGATATAAAACCTATCTAGTAGCAGTATTCAATTTTACTTTTGTTGAAGTCGCAGTTTAATTTTTCTGTTTGAAATAGGATACTCAAATCGTCTTGTTACTAAACCAAGCCACAACTACATCAGAAAGCACAGGAGATGGTTGTATGATGATTCTGCAAGCAAGTGATTTGCCCTTTGTTTCTATATCAAGATCTGCTTACACAGATGTCTGGAGGTTAAAACAACTCAAGGCAAGTCTCGCTATTTCCATTCTTTCATTCTATCCAATAGGTTCAAAGTTATTCTACTTATGGAATCAAATCACTAAAAATAATATACTAGGGTGGCATTTGGATAGATGGATTTGGGTTTTAGATTTAAAATATTACATTTAAAATTTATATATTTAAAATCCTTTGTTTGGGGTAGTATAAAAAGATCCACACCAACAAAAATGAGTTGTCCTACTTGGGGGACTTGTCCACATGTTTGGATAGTATTGAAGGAGGATGGTTGGGATCTAAAACAATTAGGGTAGATTAGGTATTTGAAATTCCAAAGGAATTCTAATTAAATTTGCTTTGATTTGGATAAAATCCAAATTTATAAAATTTTATGCGTCCAACTAATGGATTTGGCTCAAATCCAAATCCACACTAGTCCAAAACATAACATTAGGGTCTTCGAACTTCAGGAAACATTTGTGCTTTATAATTAATCATGCTTGAAATTATTTGTAATTTTGCATTTAGGATTCTGTTGCGCGCCTACATGTTGAGGACGAGAAAGCTCGCACCATTCCTCATTCTGTAATAGCTCCCTTGGCAGTGAGCGGTAAGTTGCCTCATTCTTTTTATCTCTATTAATACATTATGTTATTACTTGGATGCAAGATTCTTCTTGTTAATCCACCCAAAAAAAGCATATGATTTCATTAGAATTTGGAAGAGTATCAAAATTTGCTGCTTTTATTTTCAAGTTAGAATAACTCATCCCCGCATAAACAGCAAAATTGAAAAGTGTTGTTTGGTGTAACCTCAGGAACAGTAATATACAATAATGAGCAATATCAATTATATTGCGCGCACACGCCCACACAAATACACACACACACACACACAAATTGTTTTATCCAGTGAATCAAGTTATTATCTATGCATTTGTGTATGTATTTAGCTATTACTTTATCTTGCTAACAGCATCAAGAGGCGTGGCTTGTGTATTTGCTGCGAGAAAACGAGCCTTGGTTTACATCCTGGATGAGGACGAGGACGAAGCCTCAGATGCAGAATAGTCCACTTATTTCATTTCATCTATTTGTATGATCTTGGGTAGGAGAAAATATGCAGAAAATGGATATCTGCCATTTTCCCATCAACACCTATCATCATTGCATCCAGCGCTACATCGCTTATTTAATGCGCTTGAATGATCTCTTGAATGTAATTAAATGGATTATTTTCAGAGTTAAATGAGTTATTCCAGTCCAAAGGGGTCATAGATATTCAATGTGGAACATTTTATCATTTAATTGTATTTATTTTTGACCTATTCTTACCTCTCTTCAAAGGGTACCAAACAATGCAAGATGTCCGGAAGGACGTGTGTGTGTGTGTGTGTAAATAATTGTGTTAATGCTAAATTTGAGAAATAAATTGCGCTGATCATAATTTTTTAGTAAAACACTAGAACTTCCTAACCTTTCATTATATCTATTGAGATTTAATATACTGGCGCATCGATATTTTCCTGTTGCATCCTTTAATTGAAGTGTTTAACTATACAATAGGATAACGTAAGCCACAGAACGAGAAAATGGATGGTAAAGCTGAAAGCTGAGGGGATTCGCACATGAAATGCATGTACAACCCTCAGTTAAAAATTTCATTCAAGAGATCATTCAAGAGCATAACAGACGTCGATGCAAAGCAGGCACCTGACAGATACAATCTCTACACGCATAAATTCAATTCTAGCAACTTAACTAATGACGAATATGTTATTATTGGGCCACAAGGCAAACTACATAAAACACACTAGTTGAATATCACCTAACGTACAGCACAAAATTCCATAGGTCAAGGCCATTCTGCCCGTCATTTATGACCATAGTTACTTCAAACGTAAAGAAAAAAGACCTGAGTTTTCCGTAACTCCACATTGAACTCGTCAGTTTCAGCAGCTGCAAGCATTTTCCATCGAGCCAGGAACCCGCTAGTCTCTTAAAGAAGTTGCAGGCTTTAATGTGGAGACGAAAACATTACAGGTAAGACGGCTACAAGTGAGTTGTTGCAGGGTGATTATTCCTGTAAAGCCAGAGGTCTCAGCCTAACTGTTCAAAAGAATTAAGGCATAGTCGAACTAAGATCCTGCACCCCACCGTTTAATCCCGGATTATTGCCCTTGCTTCATGCTAAAAAACTTCAGCACCCCAGCAATTCCAAATACCAGGAAAGAGGAGTCTTTTATGGTATATAACCGGACAAGTTGTTCAGATCATTTTAGCTATGCCTTCTAGATTGTATTCTATGAATCATCCAACTCAACAAGTTGGGCCCTTCTTTCAGCAGCCTTCTTGCGAATAAAAATGCCCCATCTCAAAGCTGCCTTGAGCTTGAGCCAGCCCACAACAGCTTTTCCTGAGGAGCGGTTTCGATCATCCTCATAGTTAAAGTTCATGGGGGAAGTTGGCACATAAGCAGATGAACAAGGATACCCATATTCAGGAGCATTAAAGGAAGTATGAGGTTGGCCTCCCATGTTAAAAATACGCAGTAGATGCTGCATATCTTCATTTTCTAGCATTTCATGGCTTCTAATTCGAATCTCCTCCTCCGGGAATAAGTCTTCAAGGCCTCTATAAGAAGGATTTGACATGCTGACACTCTGGAATCCTGGTGTAGCTGACTGTGATGGACCACGAGTCAGTCCATCTTCATTCCTTGGAAGTTGAGGTTGGTTTGAAGAGCCCATCAACTGGTTTTGTAGTTGCATGTCAGTGCCATCAAACTGAATCGAAGAATTGAGATTAGCATGATGTGGTGGCAACGAAAATCTGGCAGCTGGAGCGTCATGGTAACCTGTAGACATATATAAGTGGACAGCAGAAAATAATCAGTCCATACTCATAAAGGGTGAAAATGACATTTTGAAGAAAAAGTGAGGGTAGAATCTGCATGGGCTTACAAGAGAAACCTTATGCGTGGTGGGTGCCAAATGAAATAAAATAAAATAAACACAGGCACACGCATGTGTGCGCTCAAACCCACGTGCGTATGTGCGCAGAGAAGGGCAGGGGAAGAAGAACAAGAAGTTCGGAAATTATGTGCACAAAAGATAACAGCAAAAGACTTTGCCTTCTGCTGCGAGACTGCGAGTACGTCAAAATGATGCTTGGAAATATATACCTCCAATTGCTACTCCTGAATCCATTGCAGGCTGCCCCGCAGGTACTGGAACAGGCAAGCTTGGGATGGAGATCTGCTGATCAAGCGAGTTTGAATAATCATGGGAGCCCATCGGCAGCTGAGGTTGAGAATTACCCAAAGTCCTATTCTGATTGTAATTTATCAGAGACTGCCCATCATACTCTACAACATGCATCCAATTGTCATATGCCTTCTTCACCAATGTGTCCACATAAACCTACAGGGAGTCATGAACAGTGATCATGTGCATTTTCACCTTTCTTTCCATCAATTTCAAAAGAAATCCCAATATAAAATTTACATTTCTTTGCATTATAGAAGAGAATCCATTACACCAATAAAAATAGCATATATATATATATATATAGACTAAATTCAAAATCAATTCTGCAGGTCTCCTTACCTTTTGACTTTCAGAGAGATAATCGGCTGAATGATATTGTCCATTAGTAATTAAGCCACTCAACTCGTATATGTTGTTGAAAACAACTCCAACATTCCTTGCATCTTCAGGGTAGTATACATAAAGCTTTCCACTAAGAACACAAGTCTTTGCATGCTCAACAAGAATATCCCACATTTTATTAGACATGCCACTCCCAAGAATCTACATAAAAATATAATTGACATGAAAAACCTTGATATAAGGAATCATCTCAAATCAGAAGCGTAAGCACACAAAGAAATTTAATTATTTGATAGAAATCACCACCATAGAAAATTATATTTGAAACCCAAACAGTCAAAAGGAGTCTATGCTTACATTTCGCAACCTCTGAGGATCTCTGACCACAAGTCGTAGGAAGTCTTCAACAGAGAATATTCCTGCTTTGTTTAGCCTCTTGTGAAAAGACCCATCTTTTCCAATCTTTTCTAGCCTCCAGACGTCATCATTCAAGGCAGGTGGATAGTGTTTCTTGTATACTATAATGTAATGTAAGTTTTGTCAGGGAAAATGCTAGCAAAATGGGTGAAAATAAGTACAATGTTAAGAACTTACATTCTCCACGGTGATCTTTAACAGTGAAGGCTTCTGTTTTGGCTTCACGAATACGCATCCCTCACAGCAACCTGAGGCAACTCTAAGCCCCAGCCTGAATTTCCTACTCCTTATCCAGCTAGAATTGTCAGTAAATGTGAGCTCACCTAGTGTTCCTACACCCTCTTTCAGAGTGACTTGCAAATCACCAGTTAAGAGAGGCCTTTTTCCTTCCCTCTCCTTGACAACATGGCTTTCAAATTCTTCTTCACTCCAATTATCATCATCCTCATTGTTGAAATCCCCTTCGAGCACAATAACATCTAATCTCGCAGAGGACTCTGGGCCAGATGTGACAACATGGCCAGTGTTTCCATCAATCAAAACAATATGAATGGCAGCACCTTGTTCCCCCTCCACTTTCCCTCCAGTAAAGAGGGGAAGGGATAGCCTGGTCTTAAAGTGCAACTGTAAATTTCTACCATCAGGGCCTTCTATACGTTTAGGAGATGTCCTGCATTATAGCTTGTTCATTAGAAGAACATCATAGATATACATGGGCCATTCAATTTTGCATTTGAAGGGCAATGTATACTCAATAAGTTAGATTTCAAACATATGCCCAACTTTAACTTCCAGCGATACAAGATTACAAGTTATTGTAATGGGATAACCATGCCATGAAAGTAAAGATTCAAACAATGATGGAGTGGAATAACTTCAATTTCAGATACCATCAGATTCATGTGGCAACCATACCCTTCAAATGCGTCTTTAGGAATGCAAATCAGCAAGCAACCATAATAAAGTCATCTGTTATGAAAATGAACTTGATAAATTTATTGCTACATAATAAGATTAAGGAATTAAAAATACCTCCCAGTAAGCTTGGCAGGGCCTAATTTTGCTAAAGCACGCTCCACTTCTTCACTAACCTGTTCAGTAGCAAGCAAGAGTAAGAAAAGAGATATGCCCACGGCTTATACATGCTAAGGTGCAAATGCAACCATGATTTACAAAGGTTCTCCAACACGTAATATTTGACAACACCAAGACATAAAGAAATATCAGGGACCACTTTGCAATGATACAAACAAACCTGAGCAAAGCAAATAAATATATTGTCATGCAAGTCCGATTTTCCTTCCATCCCAATTAAGAGCATTTAATAACAAAAGTTTCTGTTCTTCCCCATTTCAGTTCAGGGTGGGTTAAAAATGAGAGCTCAAACTAAGAAATATACCTTTCCATCAACTTAAGGCCTACCATCCTGAGGGGTGTTACACCTTCTGTTGTCGTTTATGGATTTCACTATTTTTAGCACACATTGTGTGAGTAATAGATGCAAGTGATTACTTCAGCTCATATAATTGAACGAATTAAACATGAAATCATGCCCATCAGATTTCCATATTCAAGATCAATACCACAGTGAACTTAATTATCTTACAACTCTCCGTAGAATTGGTTCCAGTGATGAGCAAAGTTTCTGCAGACTGTCCACTTTGAGGGCTTCAACGATTACACTGCATATAAATTTAAAGATAAAAACAATAAATGCATTCATCAACAAATTCAAGACATCAATTTAAACACAACAAATGAACAGCTTTAGTGCTTAATATTAAAAGTTAGTTTAGCTAATTAGATTCAGTGCTCAATCATCACAAGGGGATGTATGTAAAACATCAAGTACATAAGATTGCAAACAGCGGCAGTATGAAATGCATCACGCACTTCAAAGGAGATTGGCTACACTTTCATTTTGCTTTTTCACATTCTTTCACTGATTTAATATTCTCCCAGCCATCATTGTGCTCTCTCCCTCTCTCTAAAGTGCTTAGATTGAAACCTTTGTAACACTTTTAAAAGAGATGTTAATGAAGTTGTCCCATGCATATAGATTAACATGACATTATCAGAATGAAATAACTGACATATCCCAATTCATCCGATTTGTTAACTTCTGATCAGAAAAAATACTGTAACAATAATTTGAGAAGATTTATGTTGTCTACGACAGTTTTATCTACTTATTCCATTCAACCATGGCTGTAGCTGGTCACCCTTCCAGTCAATTACTCTTCCTACACTCACAAAATGAAATGACTTAGAATGCACATGCCAAGATTTGAACATTCCTACTTCCTCTGTTTTAACAGTTAACTCGTTTAAATTCCTACTTCCTTCTTTCATGTTAACATTTAAGCTATGTTTCGAACATCAAATCGCCAGGTAACAACGCCCAGTAGCATTAAAAGACCTGTTAAGCAACAGATAATCAGGAAACTTGTGTATTTTACCAGAATTTGCCAAAGCATATAATTTAATTAGGCAACACCTCACACGCTATTACAAGCACGAAAGCAAAGACATGACTACATAGTAAATCATCACATCGACCAATAAAGTACAACCACAACCACATAATTCATAAAAAGAACAGGTAAAGTATACACTTGGTCTACGAGGTTTCAATTTGGTTCCTTATCTTTAAAAAGCATACATTTGGTCTTTTAATCCTAAAATCATTAGGTTTCAATGATAATTTTTTGTAACAATCATGAGTACTTTGAAAATTAAACTTAATACGTTAACATTTGAAATATTTTATTATCATTTAAGATCTTAATGTTATCATTTTTTAAAAAAATTTAAAGTTAAAAGATTAAAAATATACCTTTTAAAGTTAAAAAATCAAATTGAAATTAAAATTTGTATAAAATTATAAGACCAAATATACACTTTAGCCAAAAAATATAGAAAACATAAGAAATAGCATAGAACCCGTGAAATGTTCACGATGCACAACTTAACAAGACGGAACTTCAAGAGTGGGAAAAGATTGACGAAAGCAAATTACCTAGCTAAAGCCGGCCGCTTCCTATCGGGCTGATCTTCCTCAGACGAAGTCGAATCCAGACTTCGCTTTTCCCTGGCCATACTACCCGATCTCTCCAAATATCTAGTTTGCATTTCCCCGTTGAAACACCTCCAACACGTCACCTGCCTGTTTGTGTGCTGAGAAAGAGAAAGAAAAGAGCACCGGCAGCAGCAGAAAACAAGTACTTTCCGAGTCACGTAATCCCCAAGAATTCAGTTTGACTCGAACTCTCGAGTATTCGGAGAACAAAAAACCAAAGAAAATCTCAAGTATTGGACTTTTCCTTCGTTTTCTCAGCAGCCAAACGGTTAATAGAGCAGACGAATTTACCAGTTCGGATCGTCGAAATAAATAAAAAAGGAGAGAGAAGGAAAATCTGAAGCCGAAAACGAAAGGGATAAAAAGTAGGAAAGAGAGACAAAGGAGAAAGGCGAAAGATGCAAAACGATGGATGAAGGGGAATATGTGGGAAATTTCGCCGAAGGGACTGCGAATTTTCTCTTCTGTGCGTATTTGTATGTGAAGCTGACGCTTATTTTGTCGCAGTCGGGAGCTGGAGAGAGAAAGAGGTTGCTTTATTTTCAGAGAATATAGAGAGAGAGAGAGCAGAGAGTGCATGAACAATGGCGGCTTTTCTTAACAGTCGCGAATCTGACCGCGGTGGGGCTGGACAAGGGGGCTAGGTTTGGGTGCTGCAGCACCACCCGATCCGGCGATCTCAGCCATCCGATTTCGGAATCTTTTTGGAATATTTTACTATGATTGCCACGTGGGATTATAGGAATGGTTGGGCTGGCTCTAAAGGCTAATTATCAATGCCCATCGGCAGGCACCAGCCACATGCACGTTACTGTTACATTACAATTATAAGGTTAAACTATACTTGTAGTACTCCTTTAATTTTAGATAAGGTTTAATCCCTTAATTTTAAAAAGTAAACTTTTAATTTTTTAACTCTAAAACTGTTAAGAAAAAATGATGATATAAAACTCTTGAATACTGATAAAGCATTACTAAATACTAACATATTAAGTTTAATATTCAAAATAACTATGATTGTTACAAGAAAAATATCATTCAAAACTAATAATTTTGGGATTAAAGGAGTAAAAGTATACTTTTTAACATTAATGAACCAAACTGAAACTTTACACCAAATTAAAGAACTAAATGTGTACTTTAACTTAATTATAATTATAACATCAGTAGATATTGCATGATACGGTCTTAACATAATTTTTTTTTTTTACCATATGTTTGTTTTTATTTAAAAAGACGTGTCCCCATCCCCTCCCACCTGTTCAGGTGGAATAAAATTTTTAAATTGCATATATTAATGGTATTCATAATTTATTTCCGCAGGTTATTGCTAGTTTATACGATTTCTTAAATTAAATATCAAAGAAACAGAGATCGAAGCAATGCAGCGAGCTTAGATTGCAAAACATACTCCTCACCAAGTCTAAGATTTTAGAAAAGAAAATGGGAGAGAAGATGAAAAGAAAAAAAAAAGTGGGGAAATAATTTTTTTTCTTATGCTTGGATGAGCAATAAAAAAAAAGAAGAAGAAGAACATGTACCCTTTTTTGAGATATAAATGGGCGAGAATAAGAAAATTGTTTGACAAATGTTCAAAGAGGTTTTTGCACCCAACATGTTCCCATTTTTGAGAGAAGTGTCGGAAGAAAATGCGAATCCAGCATATTATTTTTCCTCCCTCAATTGTCTATTCCCCTTTTTTCTGTGTTCCAATAGGAGAAAATTTAGGGGGATGTTTAGTTTTCTGTTCTAAAGTAATTTTTATTTTGAAAAATAAAAATGTGTTTTCGATTATGTGTTTTAAAAATTAAAAAATTAAAATGGTCTATAAGAAGTCAGATGACCAAAACTTTTTTCAATTTTTATTACTTTTTTGTTCTCGAAAAGTAAAGAAGAGGTGGATAATACTACATTTTCATTAATGACAGTCATGTTAATAAAATAAGCTATTCTTTCATCCATCAATTTATCATTTTATATACATTTTTTAAAAAAATAATTCAAACAATTTTTTTAATTTTTTTGTTTCTAAAACGTGTTGTGAAATTATCAAATTATTCTATAGAATTGTTCTGAAAATGTTAAAAAAAAACGATAGAATCAAACATGCCATAGTTTTTGCATGTTAATTTCCTTTTGTTTTCCTATATCATTCTTTTTTTTTTCCCCAATTAGAAGGCTGGGCACCGGTGGTTCCGAATAATAAGCAAGAGTGAACCCATATCTTTTTACTTGTAAGAGAGTTTTTAAGCTACTAAACTACTATCTTCGATCTTTAATATATGAACTAGTTAATTAATTTAAGTAGATTAAAAAAAACTAATTAAGTTAGTTATGTGTAATAAATAAGTGTCATCTTTCTTAAAATATCATTATTTATCAAGTGTATTAATTAAAATTATCATTATTATAATGACTATTTTTAAAAAAAAATGAAAGACAAGTAGATTAGAAGTCTTATATTTAAAATCAAAATAAAAATCAAACGAGTTCTGATATCAAAAGACGAGGTACATGCCATTGGCCTCAACGTACATTTCTAAATGATTGTTGGGTGTGGTAAGTAGCCCGTCAATGTATCTAAAAACAAAAGGAATGAGTGCCAACGCATATACTTATTTCCTTCCGTCTTAAGCATGTGTTCTTTTCAATTAATTTGTAAACTCTAAACAAGTAAATGAGGTAGTTATTTGTTGGACAAAAAATAAAGTAGTTATTTGTAATTAGTATATAGAAATTTTTGTTTGCATGGGCAAAAATGCTTGAATAAATAGGAGTGCAAGTGTAATGGCCCAATGAGAGATAAAACCCTAAGTTTTTCAAGGACATAAAGTAATATCCAACATCATAATATTGCTTTTCAGCAGCATCGAACACATTAATATTATTTATAGCGTATTTAGTACACTGATATTATTTTTTCTAGTGTATCCAGCGTCTTCTAATATTATTTTTTTAGTTATATCTAATACTCTAATACTATTTATGTTTTAGTGTGTTAAACGCACTATAAATAAGATTAGATAGTAAAAATAATATTAGAATACTGGATGTAATTAAAAAATAAAATGTTGAATGTTTTATCCTTTTTTTTTTTTCAAATGAAACAAAAACCCCACAAAGAGAGGACAAATAGGAAATGCTGAACCCTTCAGTCGACTTTTTGCGATAAAATGATGGCTCACAAAAAGAGTTGTCCTCTAATACCTAGCATTCTTTGCAAACCAAATTCACACCACTAGCTCCTTCTGCAATTGTGTTTGAAATAGACATCTCAACCACAGTACGTTGGGTCTAATAGAAGAGGCTAATTCTCATAACATGATGTATTAAAGTTTAAATTCTCACTAGGAAAAGCACCCACATTTAATATCTGACAGGGTTTCGAACAAAATTGCTTTTAATAAAATAATACTTGTACCTACCAAAAAAAATTATATTGGCTAATTTTTTTAAAATTAGAGTTGTTAAAGTGTCAAAGCTATTCCTTTTAATAACTTACCCTTTTTTGGGGTAAAACTTTAATAACTTACGTTGTTTAAACAAGTTTGGAACTTAAATCCCACAAAGTTAACATGTCACTCAAAGTAAATTTGAAAAAATGGATTAGCGTTCTTTGCAACAGCCGATATCCTCCGAACATCAACAACCATAATAAATAATGAATTTAAAAATCTAAATACTCTAAATAAATCTCTTAAATTTCAACTGTCAAATAAAAACAATTACTGCTTTATTAGCTCCAGTCTCATCAAATAACTAAAAAAACTAGATGTGGGTCTTATGCATTATGATGAGACTGAGTGCATTGTTTAGTATTCATCAATAGTACGGATTGCAGTTAATTTATACATTGATGATGATATTGATAAATTAGCTAACGTAAAATATCAGATTTTCACCTCAAACAAATTTGACTTTTGTCCTTTTTAAGGGTAAATTTTAATTGAAACACCTGTTCAATTATTAAAATATAAATTTTATAAGTTAAAAATCGTCGTTACATTACACGGAATGCTCTCTTAATTCTTAACCCAGATCAAATCAATGTAATTTAAAAAATATAGAGGCAAGCAGAATTCAAATATAATCTCTTTCATTAATATATCAAAGAAATATACTCAATAAATTCAACTCATACCAAGGGGTCTAATTTAAATATATTTGTCGGCTAAAGCTACGGAAAAGATCTTGCTTAAAGTTTATTAAATAGACAGGATAGGAATCATTACTTTGCACGTGAAGAATATTTCACTTTCTCTTTTGTAAGGAGCCTCTTTTTGGTACTCAAAAGTTATGGTGATAAGCCTGTTAACAAGTGGTCCAATTCTTTTAAGTATTATTATCATCATAAAACTGATCAAAAGAGCTCTTTTGAATATTTATGTATTTAGCACATAACGTCACTACATTGATTTTTTTTTTTTTAGAAAAAAGGAATAATGTTGTCAAATTTAAAATAATAAGTAGCTTCTAAATAACATAATGATGAAACATGTTCTTAAACGATAATTTTGACGGCATACTTCTCAACTGCTTTTCCCTCCTGGATACAGTGTCTTAAGACAAGCCTTGGTTTCATCTTTAAAGTTAAACACCTCCCTGATGCTACTTTTTCAAAGCAACCCAAAAAATGAACAAAAACAAATCTTCGAGAAAAAAGCGGATAATGTTGACATCTTAAACTGTAAAAGATGCTGAAATAGCATATATTTATGGAACACTATTCTTCTCACTATATGTTTCATAAACTGTGGCAGATAAGATAGCTATTTCGCAGGGAATATTATTTCATCATCTTAAACACCGACATCTGCTTTAGATTCTTTGAAGAATCCTTATCAGCTACTTAACCACCAAATTACTCCATACAACTAGTTGGTTCGTTAAATGCGCGTGAGTAGAATTCAATAAAGGCCACGTTCAGATGTTCAATGATGAAGTCCGGAAAGAAAAGCACAGCATGACAAATAAGAGAGATAATACAATGCATATATGAGAATGAAAATTGAAGATACAAAATGGTCACAGAGCAAGTGATTTCACAAGAACTATGAATCCCGTAATAATAAAGTTGCTTGTGTCGTGTGTCAAAATTTCTGCACTGAAGCTTAAAGTACAAGATAAACTGTGACAGAAGCTCACATTCCACAATGTCAACACCCACGTAGAAGTTTTCAACAGGTAAGTTCCTAAACTCAATAGTTCTTCTGAAGGGGCAAAATCCCCTTACCTTTTCTTGTCCTGTTTTTTCCCCTTCTTTTTACCTCTTTTTGGATTTGGCCGTGACTTGTGCTTGGTAACTTTTTTAAATGGTTTCTTACTTTTGATTGGTACATTGTGCTTCTTATCAGCCCCAACAGGTTGTGAGACAACTGCCACCTTTCTTTCACTACGATAACATTCCTCTTCTTGCCCAATCTCACTGGTTATCACAGTAACTTTCATATCATCATTTTCATACGTCTTCGTCCCTGTCAACAGAAGAAGGTGAATCCAATCATCAACAAGTCGCCAACTTAAAGCTAAAAGAAAATCACAAAAATAATTGAAGGCGATGGAGAGAGAGAGAAAGGGGGGTTTTAGTAAAGCTTTAAGCAATAAATGCCCCTATCATGAGTATAACAATAAGCTTTGGATTTCACATAATACAAAATTTCAGGACAAGAATCAAAAGATATTCCAAAGCAATTAATTGCACAATTCTTTAACAAACATGTGGAAACTGCCAGCTTTCCTTTGTTATGTATTTAACTGAAGTGTCAGACTGAGATTCTTTAAGATAATGTTTGAAATTATATAGGAGTTGTACTAAATCATCTCAAAAAAGCCTAAAGGCCTAGTACATGGAATCTGAGCATCAGAGAACAATGGAAACATCTTCAGGCATCAGAGAACAGGTGGAACATACAAAAGCATCTTGCTTCTAGGAACAAATATTTTTTAAAATAAAATCAAATGAATGGTTGCAGCATTCATAATATCTTACCAGCAATGGACTCAACTTGCTCCTTATCTTCTTCATTCTCATCAACTTCATCACCAGGCTTTGGGTCAGCGGTAGGCAGAACCCCACCATACAGAGCAAATTCCCTTTCCAACTTTCTCTGCAAGAATAGCTCAACCAGAAAGATTACAAAATAAACATGGAATACAAACCTATAACTCATGTTCCCAATCTCAAGTGTTATACTGTTATCCATGAAGACATCGAATAAGGCAAGGCTGAATGCTTCACACAAACCTTCCAATAAATAAAGGATAAAACTATATTCCATTTTTTTCTTCCACCACATATTAAGAAAATGAGTTTAGAGCTTTTCAAGGTAAATTTGCTTATTGCATGCATTAGACCACCAAACATCTAACAGACATGCTGTTATTGTCCAATGCCTCAATTTGAATTGTCTAATACTAATGCTCGGGCAATAGGCTTTATGTGTCTAATGATTGCAAATCTGGACATACAAGACTACGATGGATCCCATTAAGGAATGCAAACTCAGGCACTCGGCCACGTGTATACATATGTATGTCGCCTGCACAGCATCAAGTCTTTGCAGTTGCCAATCTTATCAGCTTCAGTTGTTGTTACATTACTCGTGTGCTCCAACACCCCCCCGGGAGGCGCCGGCGCGCGGGGGAAAACCCCCTTCCCCCCTTCCAGTCTCTCTTCCTTTCACATTTTTATTACATTAAGTGGCGTTTTATTTATGTAAGAACAATTCTCAATCTAAGTCAACATAGGAGCTGAATTTCACATGCCCTGTAGAACTAAGTCCAGAAGTTTGCAACATTCAAATCCAATAGTTCACAATAAACTACTTCGATCCCAAGAACACGTATACTTGGTAGTTAGAATGTTCCAATCATGCATTAAAAATGAATGTACCATCATACACCAAAAGACCTCACAAATAAGAGGACTTAATGGCAGGAAGAAAAAAGACAGGACTCATTGGGTTAACCATATAACTATGTCAGTTAAACAGTGAATGCCCATTACTACTAGAAAGACTCAAGGACATAATTGCAAGCAGAAGAATTAGGAACATATTTCAACTGTTGTACCTTTTTGCGCAGTTCTATGCGTTTCCGTCGTTCCGCCTCCTCTTGTTTCCTTTGGGCTTCCTTCCTCCTCTTCTTCTTCCGCTTGTGGAACCCAGACACGTAATCCCTTCAAATGTCAAACCCCACACGACCACACACCACCATCATCATCAATTTAAAAAACTGCAATATTTTACTCGTACACAAGAATCAAAACAATTCGAGCTTTAATCGTCTTATAGGGAGGCGACACAGTACCTAAGGTCCTTCTCGTTGAAACCTACTGCCACAGCTTTGTTCTTCAAAGCCCTCTTCTTGAGATGGCGACCTCGAGACCCTTCCTGCGGAACTACTTCCCCTTCCACGTTGTCTCCCATTCCGGCTTCCAAAACCTAGGCGCCGCTTCGTGAACCACAAACAGCGAACGGACGACCCTGCCCGGAACACGGCTCAGCCGCTCAGCCCCTCAACGGAGACTCCGACAAAAACCTCGAATTTCTTTTTTTCCAAAAAAAAAAATTTATAATCAAATGATATGAATATTTTCAAAATAGAATACATAAATGTGTGTATTGGAATACTTAACTTGAGATAAGTGTCATCATTTAAGTTTACATTTAATATTTAATTATTCATTGAAACGCTGATTATTTAATTATTAATCAACATATGTCCGTCTGAGTGAGAGAGTAAAATATAATTACTATATTTGGAATGCATTTTTTGTTTTGCATTTATTTAAACTTTTTTTCAAAGAGAAGTGAAGGGGAATTTATATCAGCGTTGGTAAGAAAAAAATCGCCCGATAAATATTTTGGTTGAACCAATTTATTCGTTTAAATATTGAGTAAGTTCCTATTCTTAATTAAAATTAAATACAATTACTGATTAAGCCAAACTAAAATAAATTATCACATTTAACTCATTTTTTGTTAAATATTATGGTTTAATCTACTAATTTCAGTACTTAATATAAGAACTAGTTGACTAATTTGAGTAAATTAATGAAACTAGTTAAATTAGTTATTTGTAATAAATTGGTGTTATCTTTCTAAAAATATCATTGCTAATCAAATGTATTGATTAAAACTATCATTATTACAAAGATTATCTTAAAAAATATATATATAAAAATAAAATAGATTTGAGTCTTATATTTAAAATTAAAATAAAAATTAAATAAGTTTTTATATTAAAAAATAATAATACTAGTGACTGTACTGTGCACTGCATTGATCCGTTTAACAATGCCGCGCGTAACCTTTCTTGGGGCAAAACCCACCGGTGAATTCTACAGCCAGATGAGGCCCAAAAATCAGCCCAGTAATATGTATCTCATTTTTTTGCCAGAAGTATATTTACCTGCCGGCAGAAAATTTGCATTGCTTTTTGGATTAGCTTTCTAGAAGTAATCTTACAGAACATATAAGAGGAATTTGGTCTCAAGTTATATAAAAACACTTTTTTTAGTTTTTAAGTACCCCTCCGGTCCTTAATATAAGACCCATTTAACTAATTTGATTAGATTAAGAAAATTAGGTAAGTTAGTTAATTATAAAACTCGTTTGTAATACTCCTCCGGTCCTTAATATAAGACCCATTTAACTAATTTGATTAGATTAAGGAAGTTAGGTAAGTTAGTTAATTATAAGAAAAGTGACACATTTTTCCTAAAATACCATAATCAACTTTTTTAATACCCCCTTTCTCTCTTCTATTTGATTATGGTTGAGGGAGTATCTATAAGGGTAATTTAGAGAAAATTGATAAATATGAGAAATGAGTCATATATTTAGGATCAAAACCAACTCAAAAATTAGGTTCTATATTAAGGACCGGAGGAATAGTTTATAAACAGCTTTTTAATCATAATTTATGAAACCTGAGATAAATATATGAGAAAAATTTTATTTTGACTAACATGAAACATACTTATAAATTATTTCGGGCCATAGGGTTTTCCAAACGCCTCCTATAATTCCCAACATGCTTATAAATTATTTCGGGCCATACAGTTTTCCAAACGCCCCCTATAATTCCCAAATCCGGTATTCGCACGCGCAATGTAGGAATAACAATGTGATGGAAAATTGACAGAACCGCGTTTTCGAGGTAATTAAAAAAAGAGAACCGTAGTGATATAATTAAGAGTTTTTCTTAACCACAACAGTTGAGTGATTCTTTTAACGGCAATTTTTATTTTTCTGGGAAAAAAAATAGACAATTTAACAATCCTTTCCTGTAAGAAAACCCATACACCCATCATGCAACCACCCCGCTTCTTATTTTAGTAACATGGAGTATGGAAGTTATTTACATCAAAAAAAAAAGTATGGAAGTTATAGGTTCCGTTTGGATTCACAGTAAAAAAAAAAAAAAACTTATTTTCAATTTAACTTTTAGAAAAATAAGATTAGATAAAAGTTAAATTGGCTAAGGTGAATTATGTTTGGATTGGAATTTAAAAAGTTAATTTGTACAAGTTAGATTGAGTAAAAGGTGGTTTGGATTATGATTGAATAAAAGTAAGTTTGTTTATAAAATTACCAAAATGAGTGGGAGTTTTAATAAATAATAAAACATGATAAAAAAATCTTACCTAATATAATAAATTTAAATTAATTTAATATAACGAAGTGAAATTTAATGAGTGAATTAAATTTTAAAATGCATAATAAGGGATGAGCCAAAATAAGGACTCCCAAATAGCCAAATAATCTTCGTAAGAAGAGGTGTGAAATATTTAGTGCCGCAGCAATTTTTGTCAAAATGCTTTGGGAAGCAGAAAACTAACACATTATAATATTTCTTGTATCCTATTTATAAGTTACTTTTAGTATATTTCATTCAAACTAAGAAAAATTTTAAATTTTATTAACTTTCATTTAAAATTTAATAACTTTTTAATTCCTTATTTAATATGCATTATACATAATGAAAACAAAATCAACACAATAATAAATTATAGGTAAAATTTTATATTTATGACAAAAGTTTATCTCTCCATCTATAAATAGGACCTAAAATTTTTTTCTTTCTGACTTATAAATGAGAGCAGGGAGTATATTCATTGATATAGTTTTTCCACGGGCATCTAATTTTATATCTGCCACACAGAAAATTAAAATGTAAATGATTTATAAGGAATTTTTTCTATTTTACAATTTATCCACACATATATTTGAAATATATTCGAAATTTATATTTATATATTTAATTTAATTTAATTATTCACAAGATATATTTTACATTTATTAAGTTATATATTTATAATTTTTTAAGCTGTAGTACCCAATATTTAGGAGATAGGATTGTGTGGGGATGGCCGGATGGGGTTGGGGTTTCGATTTGGGACCGTGGAAGTAACGAGAGAAGGGAGGGCAAGGCACTAGTCTGGGGGTCCACGTTACCGAAATATTTGTGGGCCCAAAAAGGGCATTTTAATATTATTGTTTTTAATATATGTATATTAGTATTTTATTTTTGTTGGTGGCGTGGGGCGTCGTTTGCTTGCAAATTACTCTTCTCGTACTGTCAGTCGTTTCTTTGCGTTTTGTCTTTTTACGTAGTCTGGACGCTTCTCATTAATATGATGCTGACCTTCTGTTCCGGCCCCCAAAAAATTTGAGATTTATACTTTTTTAAAGAAATCGGTGAAAAATCCTTATTTACAAGCATATCTAAGTTGAAAAGTTGATGCTTTCTCCACACGAAATTTTGTAGAATACCAACCAATACTTTCTATTAATAAAAACATATCAAGTTGCTTTGATTAAATTTTTTTATTAACCGCAGATATTTTCTTATTAAAGGCCTATTTAAAATATTGTTTGACATTAAATATAAGTACGTCATCCAATAAAAATTTAAATACTCTCTCCGATTCTAAATATAAAACTTATTTTATAATGTAAATTATACTACAAAATAAATTTTACATTTAAAACTGAAAGAATATTAATTTATCACGTTTTGAGCGCGTTTCCCCTTCAACTAGATTCATCCTTTTTGGTTGCCAATAAAATTTTTAAATAAATTTTTTTACCTATTTTTCCTTTAAAAAAAAGTTTATGGATTTTGAGTCATTAAACATAAAAATTGGGAAGGATTAATATTATTGTCAGTCTTTATAGTTTAATCCAATTTTAATTTTGATTTTTGTAGTTTCAAATTATTGATTTCAATCTCTATAGTTTCTTTTTTTTTTTTTTTGGTTTGAGTTTAACAAATAGTTCTTATACTTTTAAGGAATTTTAGTTTTAATCCTTATACTTTAAAAGCGAAACAGTGGGCTATCCTCAAAAGCTTAACTTTGGCTTGAGATTATGGAGTCAGGAAATTAAGGCTTTGTTTAGTTCCTTATTTTAAAAATATTTTTATTTTTAAAAACAAAAAAACTTGTTTGGTAATTTGCTTTTAATTAGTGTTTGTAAAAACAAAAATCTGTTTTTAAAAATAAAAAAATCAAATCAATTTTTAGTTGTTTTCTTGTTTTTGTATTTACATTTCTTATTTTTTGTTTAAGAAAATTGGGACACTTTTTATTGACTTTTCCTTTATTTGGAAACTTGAATTCTAATTGAAACTTCCTTTTAATATCAGTATATTTATTTTCACATAAAATTTTTTTAGAACACTTATCCAAACAGATATAATTTACTTTTTTGTCAAATTTATTTTGAATTTGAGGAAAAAAAATACTCGTACAAAACAAGAACAAACAAGTCCTAATTGTCCAATCAGATGCCAAATTATTAATTGATATGCCCATTTCCAACATGGAGCCTTCAAAGTGCAGTTTGCTGTTGTTCAAACTTCAAAATACAAGGAATGCTGCAGCGTTACTGGGAAGGACGCCAGCTTGCAGTTCATTCCTGGATCCTGCATCAATGTAGCTGACATGCAGGCGAAGAAAGGAGTCGCGTAATGTTCTGATTTTGATTTGGGCCCTGCTTGCTGCTTATTTCAAGCGCCTTGTTCATCGTGACTGTTTGGGAAGTCTTCCCACCTAGTTTGTCTCTTTATTTTGGACTCTTACCCCTCCGTTCATACTCCACCCTATTCTTATTATAAATTCTAAATAATTAATTCACCTATTACAAATAATTGGTTCAAATTAATTAAAAATATATTTTTATTTTTAAATATGTCTTTATAATAAATGAGAGAATGGCTAAAAGAGGAGAGAGGAGTACCTGTTGTCCCCTCCCTCCTTCCCCCCATTTTCCCTTCCTTCCCAAATATTATTTTCTTGTTTCTTTTGATTAACAGATTCTAAATTCAATGAGTGGTATTTTGACATCTTATGGGTAAAAAATGGAGCTGTTTTCATTTTTTTTTAGAAGTATTTTCAAACAAAAAATACTCAAAACAACACAGATTTTTATGCAAATATTTAAAAAATCATAAAAAAAATTGAAAACAGCTTTATTTTTTGCCCATAAGATACCAAAATGTTAGCCCTTGAATGTAGAATCCA